AGTGATCAAATGGTCGAGGAGGAATGACGATCGGTTGAACGCCTCCACAAGTTTGATCGCTTCTTGAATACGTCGCTCTACACTTGGAAACGATTTCAAGATATCGGCAACACAAAGATTGACTTGATGAGCAAAACATGGTAGAAAAACTATATCACGGCGCTCGCGTCGCAGGCGGCTACGTGCTGCTCTGTATGAGCTTGCGGAATCGGTGACCACCGCTATGACCTTTATGCCGTTATCTTGTATTCTTCTTCATCTAGGAGTTTCTTGAGCTTGGCAATCACGTCTGCAGTATACCCCAGGTCCCTTGATGCGTCTTCTGCATCCCACACGATGCTTTTTCCTACTGATGTCACCAGTACGACGCCGAAAATCGACTGCTTCTTGACGTTCCGCCAACCGTCGCACGTTAAAGTCACACCATCCGGATCTTTGGCTAGTTCAATGATCTTCTCGTCTGACTGATCAGCTACGCGTTCTAAGATATCGGTGGATAATTTTTGTCTCCGTGGTATTACTCCACGTTCATTCTGTCAAAATACGTTAGCGAACGAGAAGTGACTGATATAATTGAACTCCACTAATACCATTCTCTAGTACCTACTCTGAGATCAGGTCGCAAAAAAAAAACAGAAGCTCGCGCACTTCATTGTTATCCACCCACATGAGCGGCAAGTTGGCGGAAAGCGTGGCCAGAAGAAACAAGTTATGACAGATTAATGAACCATTCGTTGGACAATTCAGGTGGGCTCGCGTTCGAACCGTTTGTGATAAGGCCGCTGCTGGCAAGGCTCATCGCTTGTGAAGAGCTGTCTGTGTTAACTTGGCTGATAGAGTCCTCAGGTCCTATGTCCGACAGATGTCTTTGGAAACATGAACTTCTGGTGGATCAAATTATGGTCTTATGAAAGTTGCGATATTTGTGTAGCTGATAAGTTTGGACAGACCTAAAACGAATAGTCAACGATTAGGTCGGCCATGACAAATGCTGCTCATTACAAACGAGAGGTACGTCTTACTTTCAAGTGATTCTCCCAGTTGTCTTTTCTTGAATTGAAAGGAGCAACGTTCTCTTCACAAAGTTTCTCGATGCAGGCTAAACACCATGACCAGCCGTCATTGTGAATTTTGTCCCCTTCTACTCTTATTTCTCGTTTAAAGTTGGTGCTGTACGAACTACGAGGTCGTCCCCTTTTCTTTGGTAGTACTTGGCTACTGTTGTTACTGGTGCTGCCGCTGGATCTATTCGAGTAGTGTGTCATCGAAAATTTGACACGGCACTTGGAGAGTTTGACACTGCACTTCGAAAGTTGAAGCGAAAGGGATGTGACGCGTCACTTGGGAAATCTCTTATGGGAATGGGCCAATTGCTAATGCACTAATGGTAATGTGATCAAACTACACACACTGAACAGGCGATTGGGCAATAATCATGTGAGCACTTATATTTTTCGTGAGTTTTCGTCGCGAAAAACCATTTTTCGTGAGTTTTCGCGAGATCCACGAAAATTAGGGTGCTGAGTTTGTCCAACACTGATATATAGTGAAGCGTGCTATTAAAAAATTGTGGTGATAGGCTGTTGTAGCAGTAGTCATCATTCAGACATGCGCTGCGCCTATTATAAAAGCTCTTTAGAGCCATATATCACTTAAGACTTGAGCTTTTTCTACAGTTTGAAAACCTTTAAAATGTCTTGATCATATAGCGGGATTTCGTATGACAAACGCGAATATCAAGGTAATATCCTGTCAGTACAGAAACGCATTTTCAGTATTACTGGATAATAGCATTTGGCATTAAGTATCACACAATTCCCGTAGTTACGTTGTTGTCAGTGACTCATTGCTCAAGAAATTGTGTATATGCGCCATAATATTGATTTGCTGCGTTGACTAGTAAAAAATGATCATCAGTAAATATGAGCAGCAATTAATTTGTAAAACAGTCTAACTTGATAGCGAGTTTCCTTTCACAAACAACGATAATCACAACTGAGCATGTTTTTTACAGCTCATCATAGCAGCGTAGTATAGCACTGACAAAGCTCAACATGCTCACCGAAGTGTAAATAACAAAAATCATTCATTTATTGGATTAAAATAACACGTCGTGGTATCCTACAAGGAGCATTTAATATACCAATCCGGCCTGACTGCGTTTAAGTAAAGTTAAACCATAAATGTTCAACCTTGTTGCTTTCTATTGGTAGCACTCTTAGTTCAAGATTCCACTGATGTTGACGTCAAATAGAAATAATACATCAATATCCCTTTATCCAGCATCAATCCGACGCTTGAGGATAGGCCTCGAAATGGCAACGCTACTGGTGGGTTGTAATCTTTGCCCGGGGTATCAAAGATCTCCACCATCACTTAGGAGCCCAGACGTAGTGGATACCTCCCAACCAGACGCAGTGGATGGGGGATTACCTTAGGCCAAATCGAGGACATCGCTACCTTTTTGAAGGTTGCACGGTACAGAAACGTCGATTCTAGCAGCTAGACAGGCACACTTACAACCATTAGTGTTCATTGTCCAGTCATCATTATAAACAGAAACTGAAGATTGCTATCTTGTACTCTCCTGTCATCCAGCATCAATCCGACGCTTGAGGATAGGCCTCGAAATGGCAGCGCTACTGGTGGGTTGTAATCTTTGCCCGGGGTATCAAAGATCTCCACCATCACTTAGGAGCCCAGACGTAGTGGATACCTCCCAACCAGACGCAGTGGATGGGGGATTACCTTAGGCCAAATCGAGGACATCGCTACCTTTTTGAAGGTTGCACGGTACAGAAACGTCGATTCTAGCAGCTAGACAGACACACTTACAATCATTAGTGTTCATTGTCCAGTCATTATAATAAACGGAAACTGAAGATTGCTATCTTGTACTTTCCTGTCATCCAGCAACAATCCGACGCTTGAGGATAGGCCTCGAAATGGCAACGCTACTGGTGGGTTGTAATCTTTGCCCGGGGTATCAAAGATCTCCACCATCACTTAGGAGCCCAGACGTAGTGGATACCTCCCAACCAGACGCAGTGGATGGGGGATTACCTTAGGCCAAATCGAGGACATCGCTACCTTTTTGAAGGTTGCACGGTACAGAAACGTCGATTCTAGCAGCTAGACAGGCACACTTACAACCATTAGTGTTCATTGTCCAGTCATCATTATAAACAGAAACTGAAGATTGCTATCTTGTACTCTCCTGTCATCCAGCATCAATCCGACGCTTGAGGATAGGCCTCGAAATGGCAACGCTACTGGTGGGTTGTAATCTTTGCCCGGGGTATCAAAGATCTCCACCATCACTTAGGAGCCCAGACGTAGTGGATACCTCCCAACCAGACGCAGTGGATGGGGGATTACCTTAGGCCAAATCGAGGACATCGCTACCTTTTTGAAGGTTGCACGGTACAGAAACGTCGATTCTAGCAGCTAGACAGGCACACTTACAACCATTAGTGTTCATTGTCCAGTCATCATTATAAACAGAAACTGAAGATTGCTATCTTGTACTCTCCTGTCATCCAGCATCAATCCGACGCTTGAGGATAGGCCTCGAAATGGCAACGCTACTGGTGGGTTGTAATCTTTTCCCGGGGTATCAAAGATCTCCACCATCACTTAGGAGCCCAGACGTAGTGGATACCTCCCAACCAGACGCAGTGGATGGGGGATTACCTTAGGCCAAATCGAGGACATCGCTACCTTTTTGAAGGTTGCACGGTACAGAAACGTCGATTCTAGCAGCTAGACAGGCACACTTACAACCATTAGTGTTCATTGTCCAGTCATCATTATAAACAGAAACTGAAGATTGCTATCTTGTACTCTCCTGTCATCCAGCATCAATCCGACGCTTGAGGATAGGCCTCGAAATGGCAACGCTACTGGTGGGTTGTAATCTTTGCCCGGGGTATCAAAGATCTCCACCATCACTTAGGAGCCCAGACGTAGTGGATACCTCCCAACCAGACGCAGTGGATGGGGGATTACCTTAGGCCAAATCGAGGACATCGCTACCTTTTTGAAGGTTGCACGGTACAGAAACGTCGATTCTAGCAGCTAGACAGGCACACTTACAACCATTAGTGTTCATTGTCCAGTCATCATTATAAACAGAAACTGAAGATTGCTATCTTGTACTCTCCTGTCATCCAGCATCAATCCGACGCTTGAGGATAGGCCTCGAAATGGCAACGCTACGTTAACAGAGAAAGAAGGGCTGCGGAAATTGAATTCATACGAATTTTCACGCAGCAGAATGATAGATACCTAAGCATCTCCGGAGGTGCATCATGCTGTAGGTAAAACGTATGAGTACTATAGAGGAGGGTTGTGTAAGGTAAACTGTTCATTATTAGTAAGGAACACGACGCCGGTTGTTTTTACAGATGTTGTGAATGGATAGCAGCTTGTGGTGATTGTGGTAGCGATGGCGGCTGCTGTGTTTGTTGTTGTAGTCGTTGTAATCGTTGTAATTGAACAGACATGAGCGGAATCGCTTGACACGTTGATGCAGTCGGTAGAGAACGTGGAGATTGACCTTGTTTTGACGTTTTGCCCGCGAATTACCATTTTCGTATCGTTGTCACTTCTCGATCGCAATAGTCTTCAATGGAGAGTGGCCGTCGTTGATGATGTAAACTCTAATTATAATACGGAAAAAGAAATGTTTAAAGATCAATAAATTTCTGGTAATTTTACGCGTGGATATATGTGCGTATATGTCCTGAAATTCTTTTGCAGATGCGAAAACCACACAGGACTTGAAATCTCTACTATCTAACCACGACTTACCATTTGTGGCCGAACGGTGCATCCTTGACAAAAAGTGCGTGCAGTGGGGCGTGTAGGTACGTATGTACCAATGTGTCCTCTACGATATTGTTATCGCATGCTGAGGGAACACCAACGAAACTGTTCAGAACATCAACAAAAACCGATGCCACGAAGTCTCTGCTCTCGATTGCGGCTGCCTGATATTCGTGTATTCTTTGCTTTATATCCCAGCTGTCTGTTTCTTTGTCTTGTGACAGCTGTAGATGCGTCAGTAACTAGACTTTAATTCAATATAGTCATATTCAATGAATTTCATACCTGTTCGATATCGCTCGCCCACGTTGGCAACACACTTGGTAAATCTGGCTTGCATTGGTTGCGAAGCAATTCGTCTTCCTTGACGGTTACCACCGATTCCTTGAGGCCGAAGAAAAAGATGCAACAGAGGCTCCTATGTAAGAATATCATATAGTCAAAGGTACGCTAAAACGAAAACAATAATGATCGAGCAATAATAAAAAAGCTACTTACAATGCTCGAATATTGCTAATGGTTTTGTTTGTTTTTTTGTTTTCGCTAATAGATCTTTTTTGATAGGCCTCGAGCAACTTGGTTATATCGACATTGTTTGAAGCGATCCACTTTAATGATTGCAACGCAGTTAGTATATCTATCTGTCAATACGTTTGAAATGAAAGAATTGCTTTTTCTTTTACCCGATCAGCACGATCTTTGATTTCTCGGTCAAGGTCCAAGGGAAACACTTCAAACCGGTCTTTGTATAGCTTCTTCGGATTTTCATCGATACTAGGTAATGATTTGGCGGATTCAAGGTCGTCATCAGGAACTCTACATGAATATGTTGTTATTATAACTGTCGGGAAGTATCAACTAATTTGTGGCAGCAACACATTGCATTTCGCACTTACTCTTTTGTTGTCGCGGAAGAACCAACAAGAAGGACGCTTCGAATAGCCTCATTGGCCGGTTCTGCTGCTGCCGTTGCTGTTTTTACTGCTTCAACGTGATACTTTACCTTTGCAACACGCTGGTCAAAAAAACATTACGCGTTAGTATCATACTCTCTTCTTAACCTCTCTCTCTCTCTCTCTCTCTCTCTCTCTCTGTGCGTGGTGTGTTTATGCAGAAAACGAAAAATGTGTTGCTGACTGCTGAAAACTTACAAGAGCGAGGATTTCTTGCCAAATAAGTGGATCGCAGCGTGTGCTAAAATGATAGGCGTTCAGAAAGTTTAACAAAGACTTGACTATTATTTATACCGTACTTACTTTGTTTCAATATGTGGGCGCAAATACTTAACGCTGTGGACAAATCGACGCGACCACACGCTTGCCATTCCAGTCCAGTCTTTAGTCGATTGACTCCAGGCACCTATCTGTGCTTTATTCTTGTCCACAAAGCCTGCTAGCGTTGGTGTATCAGCACCAGCAACGTAGCCACATAGCTCTATCATTTGCAAATAAGCAACATACGTCGTGAGCTTCATTCTTCGGTTCTTATGCTCCTCTTTCCCGGTCCGTACCAGTGTATCCTTGGTAGTTGTTATCCATAATTTCGATAAGTGTCGCTAAGTATTGAACGAATTGTTGCTATGGTTATGGTAATTGTCGCTAATGGTTCTGGTAATTGACACTAAGGATTCAACGATTTGTTGCTATGGTTTTGACACGAAGAAGAAGCATGCGCAGCACGCTCAGTAGAAGTCGGCTCTTATTTCTTTATAGCGGGACCTCAAAAATTGGATAAGAGCTACCGAAACCACTACAATCAACAAATTACGTGACCGCAGGGACAACAGCTGTTGCACATGATACCGGATTTTGCGTTCAAAACGTCTACAGGCCCAAGCTTCTTTTTTGCCTGTGGATGAGCGGGTTTCTAGCTTTGGGGAGTGGGCAATTTTTGCTTATGAAAATTGTTTGTGGACAAGCTTATTTTCGCTTGTGGACACCCTATTTTTCGTGCTCTGGCAGTGCGTTTTTTGCGATCAGACTCAGCTCGGATTCGCCTGTGGGCGGACCTTTTTTCATATAGGACCAAGTCCTTTTTCGCGTTGGGCTACTAGTTATTCGCTTGAGCCCATTTCACTTTTTGCCATGGAGCCATTAGTTATTCACTAAGGGAGACCTATAATATTCGACTCCGGGAATTCGTTTTTCATACGTAGAACCTCTAATTCGTATATGAATTGCAGCATTTTCATATTTGACACACCCAAATAAAGATCATCTTCTGCCTAGTTGTTGCAATTGGATGGGTCGGTCAGGTCAAGGTTCTGACCCATTGACCCGCGGTTCAAGAAAACACTTACCCGATTCGACCTATTCAACCTGATGGGTCAAAACTTGGGTTGACGGGTTAAGACTTATTTCGATATGATGATGAAGGAAGTGTCATCCAACCTAGACTTAAGTACTGGAAATGCAAGTCCCCATATACACACAGCTCTCAAAGATGATGGCACGCAAATTCCTAGCAGTGCTAGTAATATCTACTTTGTAAGTGATTATTCTTAAAGGTAAAGGGTTTTATGCCATCAGAAATAAATCACTTGGGTTCATATGCATCAAAGAAAGCTTACATAATGGCTAAAGTATCGACTCCCCCACACGCCACTAATCCTTTTTCCTTTTCTTTCACTTCCTTCTTATTTCTTATTCCTGCAATCGTTTTTCTTTTCTCAATTCCTTTTACATCTTTTATAAAGTCTCATCTCTTACTGCCACCCTCTATTGTCCGTTCTCATTGTATTATTGCTACTTTTTTAGTCCTTATATTGCTTATAGCTTACTTATACTCTTGAGTATACTATATAATCCCCCACTAAAAAGAACATAAGGGCATTTTATATTATAGTTCTTTATCAGATATATTACAACGACATCTTTAATATAATGATGCTTCTTAACAAGAAGATTGACTACTTAAATACCAGTACATCATACATATGATATGTATACATGGGTCACAGCAGGTCAACAGGTCGGGTCAAGGGTTGGACGGGTCGACCAATGGGTCTGAAAAGCATCAACCCGACCCGTTGACCAGTCCTTGACCCGCGGGTCGGATTTGAACCGCGGGTTGGACTGCGACCCCTACTTCTGCCAGCTAGAAACGATCTAATTCAATGTTGGTGCACTTTCTGACTGGAACGTTTGTGTTGCATAATCTTGAAAGCTTACGAGTCCTTTTTATTCAGCGACACAATCTTCTTTTGCATATTTGTCTATCCATGAGAAGAGGAAAATATGTCTTGTCCAAAAGTCCCTCATATTCTATGAAGACCGAGCTGAAGAAAAAAGCTACAGGGCCAGCAGCAACAGAGCTCAAGGAGTTATAAGATAAACTGCACTCGTTTACCGGTGATATTAAGAATTTACAAAAAGCCCTGGGACAAGCATGGGCTACTAGTGAGCGCGGTATCAACATGTTGTCAAAACAATTTGGTCAGCTTCATTTGCACCTAAACATTTGATTCGAACGTTTCTGGCTGGCAGATGATCTTTATTTGGGTGTGTCAAATATGAAAATGCTGCAATTCATATACGAATTAGAGGTTCTACGTATGAAAAACGAATTCCCGGAGTCGAATATTATAGGTCTCCCTTAGTGAATAACTAATGGCTCCATGGCAAAAAGTGAAATGGGCTCAAGCGAATAACTAGTAGCCCAACGCGAAAAAGGACTTGGTCCTATATGAAAAAAGGTCCGCCCACAGGCGAATCCGAGCTGAGTCTGATCGCAAAAAACGCACTGCCAGAGCACGAAAAATAGGGTGTCCACAAGCGAAAATAAGCTTGTCCACAAACAATTTTCATAAGCAAAAATTGCCCACTCCCCAAAGCTAGAAACCCGCTCATCCACAGGCAAAAAAGAAGCTTGGGCCTGTAGACGTTTTGAACGCAAAATCCGGTATCATGTGCAACAGCTGTTGTCCCTGCGGTCACGTAATTTGTTGATTGTAGTGGTTTCGGTAGCTCTTATCCAATTTTTGAGGTCCCGCTATAAAGAAATAAGAGCCGACTTCTACTGAGCGTGCTGCGCATGCTTCTTCTTCGTGTCAAAACCATAGCAACAAATCGTTGAATCCTTAGTGTCAATTACCAGAACCATTAGCGACAATTACCATAACCATAGCAACAATTCGTTCAATACTTAGCGACACTTATCGAAATTATGGATAACAACTACCAAGGATACACTGGTACGGACCGGGAAAGAGGAGCATAAGAACCGAAGAATGAAGCTCACGACGTATGTTGCTTATTTGCAAATGATAGAGCTATGTGGCTACGTTGCTGGTGCTGATACACCAACGCTAGCAGGCTTTGTGGACAAGAATAAAGCACAGATAGGTGCCTGGAGTCAATCGACTAAAGACTGGACTGGAATGGCAAGCGTGTGGTCGCGTCGATTTGTCCACAGCGTTAAGTATTTGCGCCCACATATTGAAACAAAGTAAGTACGGTATAAATAATAGTCAAGTCTTTGTTAAACTTTCTGAACGCCTATCATTTTAGCACACGCTGCGATCCACTTATTTGGCAAGAAATCCTCGCTCTTGTAAGTTTTCAGCAGTCAGCAACACATTTTTCGTTTTCTGCATAAACACACCACGCACAGAGAGAGAGAGAGAGAGAGAGAGAGAGAGAGAGAGAGAGGTTAAGAAGAGAGTATGATACTAACGCGTAATGTTTTTTTGACCAGCGTGTTGCAAAGGTAAAGTATCACGTTGAAGCAGTAAAAACAGCAACGGCAGCAGCAGAACCGGCCAATGAGGCTATTCGAAGCGTCCTTCTTGTTGGTTCTTCCGCGACAACAAAAGAGTAAGTGCGAAATGCAATGTGTTGCTGCCACAAATTAGTTGATACTTCCCGACAGTTATAATAACAACATATTCATGTAGAGTTCCTGATGACGACCTTGAATCCGCCAAATCATTACCTAGTATCGATGAAAATCCGAAGAAGCTATACAAAGACCGGTTTGAAGTGTTTCCCTTGGACCTTGACCGAGAAATCAAAGATCGTGCTGATCGGGTAAAAGAAAAAGCAATTCTTTCATTTCAAACGTATTGACAGATAGATATACTAACTGCGTTGCAATCATTAAAGTGGATCGCTTCAAACAATGTCGATATAACCAAGTTGCTCGAGGCCTATCAAAAAAGATCTATTAGCGAAAACAAAAAAACAAACAAAACCATTAGCAATATTCGAGCATTGTAAGTAGCTTTTTTATTATTGCTCGATCATTATTGTTTTCGTTTTAGCGTACCTTTGACTATATGATATTCTTACATAGGAGCCTCTGTTGCATCTTTTTCTTCGGCCTCAAGGAATCGGTGGTAACCGTCAAGGAAGACGAATTGCTTCGCAACCAATGCAAGCCAGATTTACCAAGTGTGTTGCCAACGTGGGCGAGCGATATCGAACAGGTATGAAATTCATTGAATATGACTATATTGAATTAAAGTCTAGTTACTGACGCATCTACAGCTGTCACAAGACAAAGAAACAGACAGCTGGGATATAAAGCAAAGAATACACGAATATCAGGCAGCCGCAATCGAGAGCAGAGACTTCGTGGCATCGGTTTTTGTTGATGTTCTGAACAGTTTCGTTGGTGTTCCCTCAGCATGCGATAACAATATCGTAGAGGACACATTGGTACATACGTACCTACACGCCCCACTGCACGCACTTTTTGTCAAGGATGCACCGTTCGGCCATAAATGGTAAGTCGTACTTAGATAGTAGAGATATCAAGTCTCTGTGGTTTTTTGCGTTTTCCAAAAGAATCACTGGAACGTAGACTTCGATATATCTTTCACTACCAAGGCTGACAAGTGTATACTATATTTCTCTTCTTTTTTTTTTGGAAAAGGGCAAACGCTGTGCTGGAATCCTCCCGAGATTCCCCCAACCAGCTGTTCCCTGATTTCACCGCCTACAAACGTGCTTCCGGTCGCACGTACGATTTGTTCGTTGTCGAGGTTAAGCGACCAACCTCCAGCAAATCGGATTTTATAAAAATGGGTATCATGCTTCGCGGCATGATTGACAAGCTAGTTGAACTCAGCGTGCCCAACCCGACAGTATGCGGATTGATCGTGAAAGGTAGCACTTTAAATGTATTTATCTAGTGCGGATTGGTCTTCGCGTCAATTTATTAACAATATTTCTGTACCATAGGTTTCAAGTGTACAACGTACCGATTAGACCTCAAAGCAAAGCATGTGTACAGAATGGTCGAATTGCAAGAATTCCTTCTGCCACAAGAAAGCTATCAAGTAGGCTGCTTGCCGACTTGTATCCAAGCGTTGGGGCAAGTTAAGGTAAAACAAAGATCCTGATCCATGTTCGCTATACACTGTATACCGCTCCAGCTAATATTATCGATTTAACCAATTCATAGGAGATCCTGGCGCAAACAGCCAAGAACATCAATGATTGCGACCAACTCCTCAATAACGGAAATGTTCTTAAAAATCGCACGCCCATTGATTGGATTGTAAAAACACAAGCTTCTTCCACGAAAGAAAAAAAGAACACAAAAAGCAAGGGCAAAGGACCAGCAAGAAGCACATCGTCTTTGGGACAAAAAAGAAAGCGATAATTATTGATCATCAAACACTTATACCCCCATCCTTTCTCCTATAATCAAAGCAATTCTTCATTTTTATTACATCGTTTAAAATCAATGTTTGTATTCTCTCCTTTCTGCCGCTGCAGTTGCAGTTGCTGTTGTATCAGTTCCACTTGTTCCATTCTTCGTTGTCCAACGAGCCATTCACTTAAAGACAATGCCTTGTGTCTCTGCTATTCCTTATTGATCTAGGATTTGATCTATGAATTTCGGTTCGAAATCCATGACCGTGAGTCCTGGTAGTTCGTGGGGAGATTCATAAGTCATTATGAAACAAATAGCCTTACATCATTTCGTGATCTATATGATGCCTCTCCATATATACTGCACACATGTAATTCATCAATATATTACGAAAGAAAGAAAAAAACTTACAGTAGAATTCGCTACAGATTTTCTTAACGCGCCATATCTATACAGATAATATCGCATTTAACGTTAGCACAGAGCTTGAACTGCGCATTGTGTGATGTTAATACCGACAATGGCAAAGGGATACCTGATTCTAGAAGAAGTGTTTGCATTGGGTTAATAAAAAGGACAAGAGCTTCTGGATAATCAAATCAAAAGTAGAGTAGCAACAATGATGCAAGTAGGACAAGAATTTTCTTACCAGCTTACCAGGATACCGGATGTCGTGAGCTTGAAAAGGTGCGTTGAGCTGAATCCGTGTGTGTCGTTGCATAATAGACAAGATCATCGAGGCCCTGGAGTCCCATGCCACGGAAATCAGTTGCTGGATCATAACCCTGGAACCCGATCTTACATGATAAGTTCGATATATTTTTGAAAACTGTTCTTTTTTTGAGGAGTTGGTCGCAATCCGATGTTTTTGGCTGTTTGCGCCAGGATCTCCTATGAATTGGTTAAATCGATAATATTAGCTGGAGCGGTATACAGTGTATAGCGAACATGGATCAGGATCTTTGTTTTACCTTAACTTGCCCCAACGCTTGGATACAAGTCGGCAAGCAGCCTACTTGATAGCTTTCTTGTGGCAGAAGGAATTCTTGCAATTCGACCATTCTGTACACATGCTTTGCTTTGAGGTCTAATCGGTACGTTGTACACTTGAAACCTATGGTACAGAAATATTGTTAATAAATTGACGCGAAGACCAAATCCGCACTAGATAAATACATTTAAAGTGCTACCTTTCACGATCAATCCGCATACTGTCGGGTTGGGCACGCTGAGTTCAACTAGCTTGTTAATCATGCCGCGAAGCATGACACCCATCTTAATATAATTCAATTTGCTCGAGCTTGGTGCTTAACCTCGACAACGAACAAATCATATGTGCGACCGGAAGCACGTTTGTAGGCGGTGAAATCAGGGAACAGCTGGTTTGGGGAATCTCGGAGGATTCCAGCACGGCGTTTGCCTTGTCAGCCTTGGTAGTGAGAGCTATATGAGGGTTTAAGCTCCAGTGGTTCTTTCGGAAAACACAAAAAAGAAACAGAAGCTTGATATCTCTACTATGTATCTAACTACAACTTACCATCTGTGGCCGAATGGTGCATCCTTGACAAATGTAGTGTGTGTAACGAGGCGTGTAGGCTGTACAAATGTGTCTTTCTGCTTTTGATCGCGGCTGCCTGATATCCATGTAACGCTTGCTTTATATCCCAGCTGTCTGTTTCTTTGTCTTGTGATAGCTGTAGATGCGTCAGTAACTAGATTTTGATTCAATATAGTCATATTCAATGATCTTCATACCTGTTCAATCTCACTCGCCCACGTTGGCAACACACTTGGTAACTTTGGCTTGCACTGATTGCGAAGCACTTCCGTCTTCCTCGACAGTTACCACCAATTCCTAGAGATGTTTACGATTTACAGTTACGACGTATGGTATCACTCGCTCTACCAGATGCTGACCCCAATCTTGTTCATGCTGTTTTTCTGGTGATAGCGTTTCCGCAAACTGCTGAAGCTCATCAAAATCACGGTCCACGTTGGCTTTTCACGCCAGCAGCAAGTTGAAACCAGCATGATGTAATTAAAAAGATCAACACGTGTGTTTTCATGTTTCATCACCGTAATAAACCAAAGGCGGCACCTACCTGCAGCAATATGGTTTGATAGATGTCGACACTACTAGGTACTTCCTTACCATCATAGTACCCTTTTATGCGTTCGCTGCTGTCCGTTTTGATACCAAAGCCATATCACCCTAAGACAAGCATTTTAAGACCACAATCTATAACTTGTAATACCATCCCTCCCATTCAATTGACAATAAATAACTAACCTTGACCTGCCAAACCGTGGATTAACTAAGACCAACTAGACCAAGTAGACCAACTAGACTGACTTGTTGTCACCTAAAATAAAGCCAAAGATTATAAACTATTCCTGGTCATTCTTTTGATGGCGTTTTGACCGGATAAGTGCTTCTTTTTTAGCCTAATGTCAATATATTTTATCCGCTTTATCGATTGAGCTTTATGGTTTCACCTTGCCATGTAGACCATGTGTATTGGTCTGACTTTATTTACGTACTGCCATCGAGGTCTTATTTTTTTATGGGACTTGTATGTATTCTATATGAGGCGCCTCAATAGGGTTATTAAGTCGCACAACGAAGAAAAAGAATGTATTACGGGCTGGTAAGCTACGTTGATCGCTCGCGCTCTTCCTTTGCATTTTTGCTACAGTATCCAACTCGTACGACACGAAAAGCCTAATCATCGTACAGCTGACCACATCCTCCTCCAGCTAACATTGCCCAAAGGATCTCACAAAAAAAGCACGGCAGCGAGAATCGGGCCTTGTTGATAAGGGAGCTCCATCATTTGCAGCCCTATATGCACAAAGATGAAACTTTTATGAGTGCTTAGAAAACTCATTCCAAATAATTCAGACATAGCTACTTCGTTACCGTACTCTAACCGTAGCTGGTTGGGTCCGCCAGAACAAGGCGTATTCTTTGACAAGTGAATCTAGTGTGACCCAGGTGAACTTGTCAAAACGAATGCCCTAACTTTGTTTTGGTGTCGTTAGTACCGGTTTTTTAAGTAATCTCAGGTAAGGCAATGTATGGCCCGCTCGATGAAATGCTGTTGCTGTTGGAGGCCTATAAAATGGTGTACGATGATGGTGATGGGATGGTATGTATGTTGATGGCTACTCATCCACACAACGAATTTCGTAAACGATGTATGATATGCATTGTTAATCCGGTGCCCGCTGTGGCCGTCGCACGGTGAAAAAAGCCATTGCACATTCGAGTGCTACATACCCCTGATATAGGAAAGGTGCGTCGACGACGTTTCTTGGTTATTTTATCAAAGGACTCCAAACTTGATAATGTTGCCACGTATCAAAAAAATTTTCGAAACCAACTAAAAGGGACAAAAGACATGCTCCAGTTGCGACTGTCCGTGCACATTTCCCGCCCACTAGATAATTGTGGTCCCAATGATGAGTTGTCTGTTGTTTAATCGTCCGTTTCAATCCATTCTTCTTCAATTTTAGCTCCTTTGGATCACGTTTCTATCATGCAATTGTACTCGGTGATCAGGCTGCGAAGTCGATATTATCTATTGTAGCCGATCGTTCTTCCCGTTCGACGACGTATTATTTTGACTATTACCAGCAATACTTATATGTTCGACAGGCTCAACTAGCGTATGTATGAAGCTATTATTATGTGTCCCTTGTACTAATGATCAAATGTTGTTACGGCTATTAGTCGTTGCAAAAGCAGCTGTTATACACGCACCATACACTGTCATACCTAATTTTAATCCGGGAAAATAATAAAATAAAGGAAAAGAGGCTGTAAAAGGATGCAGCTTCGTTTTGCTTTTGTTCTATATATTTGTACGCAAAGGAGAAGAAATTCTTCATGCACTACTGTAACACTTGCATAATGGCTCATTAAGCAGTGACTTTACACGCTGAAGAGATAGTTTTTTAATAAATGCTCTACTTAAGCAACCCCTTAGTGACTCTTCTGGAAAGCCAAAGCTCGTTACCACCCAACGGGTTCTCTATCAGATCCTTAAAAATCAGAAACTACCTATGTCCTATTTAAAATCAGAAAGCCTGTCAGACTCCCCAAGTGTACTAGCTGTTGGTATATAGTTTTTAGGTACTACTACACACTACACTGCAAATGACGTCATGACATCAATATATTACTTATATATATAATTAAAAGCATGTGGACATTCAGTTTTTTTTTGGTTACTGTAGGTGCTATGCACACTCCTGCGGTATTGTGTATCGATCAGATGATCCTTTCTTTAGCCCCTCTTGAAGGTAGATGGAGTTGGTTTATTTCTCTATCATATCTGGAAAATCAAAATGCTATGTTCAGAACCATTCATTGAAAAGTACTGCTTTACTATCACATTTACTACGACTTGAAATAATAAAACGTCATGATACGTAGTGAACTTTTGTCGCATGAATTTCTACCCGCCTATTTTGAATACCGGTAAAGTACCAGAAGAGCTAGTCGTTACAAAATTATCCTTTAAACGTAATAAAAAAATATATCGATCAAAGTGCCATATACTCATTTTCAAATTTATAGAGAATACAAAGATAGTGGCGAGTGCAACAAGAACTAGATTTTATCAACGTTACTGCATTTACTGTATATTTCGGATTATTGTAAGTTGAAGAAAACAATTTAAACAGGCAGAAACCTGTATAAACTGCACAGATTCTTCACTCAACACGAGTCTGATATACGACTCATTGTAGTTGATAAAGCAGCATGGTGCAGCATTTGTTATTGTCGAAAATCTGTACTGTTAGTGTATGTTTACCTATTATGACAGCCATAATTGCAGCTTTATCAAGCTTTGCTGCTGCGACAAAGTGACAAGCAATTGCACGTAGGGCTTGTCAGAAGACTGTTTCTTTCCTAGACTACGCTTCCGACAATGTGTAAACGGGTAAAAGTTGAGGTCAAGACTTTCTAAGAAGTGCTTGGTACGACTAGTGCCGATGGCAGATTTCGGTGCTTTCACGCTGACCAAACTATGTGATTTTACAAACAATCAATATCGTCTAGATACAGTATGTATACACCTACTGCGTAAAACCAACCGTCCCCTCTATCTTACCAATAGCTATCGGATATCAACACGTTAAAATAATAGGTACCAGGTGAATGTATGTCACGTATCGACGAGCGGGGTATGCTTCTTTACTAAGCCTATATATATTCCACGGAACATTAGTCTGGAAGCCACAGGCCGGTATAATGTCTAATAATTCCATGAATCCTACATTAATCTAGTTGAAGACTGAAATTTTAAATTGTATTTGGAAATCAAGCTTGTACACATATGAAAGATACAAGTAATCATGCACTGCTAAATATTCCGTCATTCACATTGTATGTCATTTACTAAGTTATAATGGTAGTTCATGTAAATGAAAGAGCTAGTTTTGACCTCATTAAATGTGTGGAGTGCACATCTTCATTTACTGAGCTGGAGTGAAACAGAAAACGAGTAAATACGGCCATAAACAATTTTGTACAAAATCAAGAGCGTCATTTTATTTCGTTTTGAGAGATAGCGAGATATTACAAACTAAGATACAGAATTGGGTACAACAAACAAAGAGAATGCAGTGATCTTTGTCAAAGGAGAAAAGAGCAGAGGAAAGAAAAGATAAAGAAAAGTAATATTTAGTCGAGGTCAGCATCGTCCTCCTCCTCAACAAAGTCATCATAATGACCGTTGAGAACATTCAAGGCATTGTTAACCACAACAGCAGCACGCTCTTCCATTTCACGAATGGTAGCTGGGTTTTTCATGTGCATGGCTTCATGGATAGCGGGGAACACCTGAACATCATAGCCGTTCCACATGGCGGGTGCATAGATGATATGTCTGTACCACTCACGACCAGGCAAGCCTTGAGGATCAATAAAGGCACGCTCCATTTGAGTAAGATGCTCGTTCGACTTACGAACATGCTTACGGAGCTTCTTGTTGTGCTTGCCCTTGTCGATCTTGTGCTGGTACTTCCGCAGTTTCTTTTCAAGCTTAATACATCGGTCTTGAAGCGCAGCTACAGCTGCTGAGAGTTCGGGCAATGCAAGACAGCCTTGCAAGTTGCTGATGTGTGCGGAATAGCGGGCGATTTCGTTAGAGTAATCCAAGGGATGCATGGGCAACAGCCAGTCAGTCGACAAGCGCATCACCAACAAGCCCCAGATGCGGACCATGGTGCGATGATATTCAAAGGTCGGATCGCCAAAGTTCTCCATCCAGTAGATAGAGTCGTAGTTGCTGTGCGAAACACCATAGTCGCCCTTGAACTTTAGGTTCAGGCTGCTGATGCCAACATGATCTTGGAAGGCAACAAAATCAGAGCCGGCGCCGAGTGGTTTGGCCATAGGGAAGGCAAGTTCGTCAGGTTCCATGCCCTTGCCGGCGGTTTCCTTTTGATGCCGTGCTTTCCAGGCTTCAAAGACGGTTTTGCTTGTGTGTGGGTCGATCACTTCGTCAGTGATCTCGTACAGAAGTTGCATCAGCAGAGGCGAGGATTGAGCATCAAAGTTAGGACCAGTGACAGCGGTGTCGACATTAATGTACGCCACAGCCTCTTCGGAAAGCCAGTCCTTGTGATCCTCGACCCATTCAGTGCTACCGACGGTGCCAAATTCTTCGGCATCCCAAGAAGCAACAATGATGGTACGGCGTGGTTGCCAGCCTTGTTCGAGCATGATACCAAGGACACGGACTAATTCAAGCTATACAAAAGCAAAATTGTGACAATTTAGGGCAAACAAAATACAGAAGATTCTTTTTCTTTTACACAAAACAAGCTTAGATCAATTCTTAATCTTACCATGACAGCGGAGCCAGAGGAAGGGTCGGCAGCACCATAGCCCCATGCATCACGATGGTTACCGATGATAATGGCACGGTTGGGTTCTTCGCTGCCCTGAATACGACCAACGACATTCCAGATAGGTGCGATCTTGTATTCGTTCAGGTTGACCATGTTCACCTTGGCTTCGCTGGGACCACTGTAGTAGTTGACGCCAACCAGACCGCCTTGCCATCCGGACTGCTCGGATCGCAAGCCAAAGGTTTCAGTTGCCTTGAGAAGAGGCTTGGCATCTGACCAGGAGATCGGAAGCGATGGGATGCGTGGCAATGCACGGGCTTGCTCCATTTCCAAACGCGTGGCATTTTCGGTAGCAGCATAGCCGGGAGTCAAGGGATCGCCAGGATAGACAGAAAGATAGTGGACAGTGCCCCGTTCAACAGATGAAGCCGAGCGCCTGAATTACATGTATGCAAAGGTTATTTAGAGCCTATCATCTTTGAATACGGAGATTGCACAGAGCACGTGGTTATTATTTACCAAGGGCCGTTAGGATAAGCTAGGGCAGGAACGCCGTCGTCGGTTTCCTTATTGGCCGGTCCGTCATCGGAAGGATCCGAGTACAAGAGGACGCCACTGCAGCCAAACATCTCAGCTGCTCTGATCTTGAGGCCACGTGAGACCATGCCGTTGCGAATCAAAGCAATAGTGTCGGTGAAGTTCAATCCTTGTGATGATAAAAAGTTAAAGTCTTCCAGGCGACCATAGTGGACATAGACAACGTGCCCAGTGACATTGCCATCAGCCGAGTAAGCTATTTAATATTCAGCAAAACAAAGTATAGAATTTAACAAGTGAGTTAAAAAAAGCTGCTGTGATCTGTGGTTGATGTTCTTGTACATAAAGTCATGTGTGCGCTTGATAACAGAAAACAAAAGTGCATACCATGGAAGGTAGGAATGCGGCCATCACGTTGGGTGGCATCTTCAGCCACTGGCGTCTCCTGAAGCTTAGCCTCGTACAACAGTTCTTGTGGACCATCGACGATCGCCAATCGGCGCTTGATAGGGTAGTTCATAAGAGGATAGTAAGTTTCAATCTGGGTGTCTTCGATGCCGAATTCAATAAACTTGTCGCGAGTCCACACTGCTTGAGCCTGGTCGTTAGCTGAGCCAGCAAGATGCGTGACAGAGGCATAGTGATGGAAGTATTCACGGATATATTGGCTAGATGGAAGACCTTTCAATAGCATTTTGATGTCTTCCATTGGCATTGCTGTCATTTTCATAAAAAAATATAAAATATAATATGTTAATGTATACCATGACTACATCATCAGGAAAAGACAAGAGAGCAAAAATAGAAAACATACTGCTCTGTGAAAAGTTGACCATTGTAAAAAATCGGCTAACAAAGAGGCCGGCGGATACAAGCATCGCCAAGATGACACCAAGCTTGAGTGCCTTGGACATGCCAGAAGACGTTGACCGATGGTAGTAGCCCTTTTCGTGCAGCAATGGCTCGTTCGTGTGATCATTCGTGCCATGGCCGGTCAACTGAGTGTACCAAAGTTTGAATCGTTCCAACATGACAGCATTATGCTGCTGCTGTTGCTGGTGATCAATGCCACTGTTCGAGCTGTCGACACCGTCGTACTGCGGTATTTGTGTATACCCTTTACGCATAATATCTCTGTTTTTATAATACAAAGAAGCGAAGAAACGAAAAAGGTTTGAGAATGGGATTTCTTTTATATAGTTGCAAGTTAAAATAGGTTATATATCTTCTTTTTTGTGTTTATTATAACATACAATATATACCTCATCAGATGACTTGGTCAAAGTGTTTGACATCCAGCAACACTGTTTGTTGTCAAACTCTCTCTATTTCTCTCTGACGCTCACTCCTTTCCCTTTTGCATTAGACTGCAACAAGAAAAATAGAAAATGTAAACAGTGCCATCATAGGACTTCAGCCGGGAACTCGCATAATCAAAACCATAACAACAGAACATACGTACACAACAACACATGGTTCCACGCTAAATGCCAGATGTACATGCAACTTACCTGCTTTCACCAAGTAACATGAGGTAACCACCATCAAGCTACGTAGAAATGTGTTTACGTGAAGTCACTGAACAGTAGCAGAGTATAGGCTTTTATGGAACATTGTCACTGAAAGCGACCTTCAAAAAAATTATCTAAAGCGTAGTAACCTACTACATAGTAGGTTAAGTTGCTTTGACATCTGCGGTATAGTATGCAGTAATGTGGTACGATAACGAAAACTTACAGCTCGGAATGCCATTCATTTCAACCCCTCAACTGTTTATCCTATCTCTTTTTACATCCAAACATACGCATATAATGCTGGACAGGGTAACCCGCGTTTCAAAAACGGTATGGTGTAGTATAACAAAGAATGTAAGCCGGCGGGTTCGAGGCCATCAACAACAGCAACAACAACAATAGCGCACCATGTGAGTTCCTTCTTTCAAACAGCAGAGCACAAGACACCATGTGAGTTGCAGAAAAAGAATAGCGGAACCTTTGTTTATGAGTGACGACGACGACAAAGCAATCCTAGATTATATAAAACCTTGTTATAATCGATCCCTTCCCTTTTCTTTGTTTCTTTTATAACCACCGAATCTTCGCTTAAAGAATTGTTTACGTCAACATTACTTGCTTCCTGTTACAAGTCATGTTTTTCAAGTTTCGATTCTCTTTTGTTTTTGTTTTTGTTGCACAACGCATACACACACACACACACGCACACATATTGTTCTCGCCGCGCCTCTGCTGGCCGACAGTGATGTACATATTATGCATCTTCTTTCTGTCTATCAAAAGATGCAGAAGCATTAACTGGACACTCGTACATGACATCGATTGTTTGCATTTCTCTGTACTTACTATAATGTTTTATTTTCACTCTTGCAAATCACGGATACGAGCAAAAAATAAGCTTTTTTTAGGGTACGAAGACAATAGCCGCTTATTAACGTTCAATGAATTGTTTGTTTCTTCTTTTAATATAATCACTACTAACCGTTGTGTTTTAACCCTCTAACTCTCTCTCACGCTCTCAATTGGGTTTTGCAGCGAATGAGCTTGTTCCTGCGAAATGTTCAGATAGAATTGCTAGTTTATTATTGTTTAATGATTGAGACTAGGGAAAATAAGAAGTAGCTATCAAGTACAAATGTGATGGGGAAATACAAAAGTTATCTCAAACTTCCTTAGCAACAGCTCGGTTATTGCGTGCCTCTGAATTAAATCCTTCCTTGACGTTATCCACGCGCTGCCTAACAATGTCTGCACCCCACGTAGCCTTGCGCAAGACACGATACTTGCTCACCCTGGGGTTCTTATTCAATCCATACATCTCTCTTGTGTACTCATCTGCACTATCTTCCTCATCCGAGACAACTGTTGACGCTGTATCCGAGTTCATTGATCCTCGATTGTTTTCGTTTCCATTAGTTACACTGTCATCTGGCTCGGTCTGCTCTCCATGTCCGCCTCCTTGCTCGCGCACCCAATGCTGAGCCTTGGCCTTCATCTTCTCGCTATGGAACGGGTCCGCGCCAACCATGTCCATGTTGAACGACCGCAGGTGTGTATGCACAGGTGAAAATCCAGGGACTATCTTGACACGCAAGGTAGCTTGACCATTCGGCCCTTCAGTATCCCATGGATCTTCGTTGCGGTTGGATTCTTTGCTGTGTTCAGAAATCGATCTCTGTAGGCCCACTTCCACATCTTGCCATTCATTATCTGGAATTTGCTTGAGCCATATACGACCTGTAGCCTTGTGGCCACCCATAGAGCCTTGCGAGATATGCACATACAATGCAGATCGATAGCGCATGATCAGTGGGAAGAACAAGTGATTGTCCATCCATGAAATTTCGCCAGGCTCGATATCACGTGCTCTCAGGTGCTTCTCAATGCCTGGATCGACGTTGACTGCTAACGTGGCTCGTGTCACGCTCTTGCGAGTAGCGTCCAATGTGCCTGATAGGTTCCGAAGCCGAACGCTATCGACAATCAAAGTCCCAACATCAGCTCCACGAAGTTCGCGCGGCAATGTAAGGCGTACAGGCTTGTATTTGAGTGTCACCAATACTTTGCCGAATCCGACACCGCTTGCCAGAGGAAACCACGCTTGACCTTCTTTGTACTATCAAGCAAGAGCAATAATAAGGCATAAATTTTCTTTCTTTCTCATTGACAACATTCCATCACACTAAATAAATATACAGGCGTACCTCACTGCTTTCCTTGTCTTCAAACAGATCTGGCAAGTTAAACGATTTGAGACCAATGACAGGGTCGCGTTCCAAGTCGAGCGATGCTTTCGCAGAGATACGAATGGTGGTGGAGTCGAAATCTTTGATAAAGTGCTCAGAAACTGCATTCCAGTGCTACATTAATATATATTTGTATCGTCTACAGTTAGTAATTTACTCACTATTGAGAGAAGTCTCAACCTTTTATAACATAACAGCTTACCGGACTCGGATTTCGAAGCTTGGTTCTGGTTTGATAAACCTTGCTATCATTCAGATAAAGACATGCATAAGGGCTGACCACCTGATCCGCATTGTAAGGATGCTTGAGATCTTCGTCGACAAGCGATCCAGCTTCGCCGATTTCCAAATCCATGCCTTGGCGGATGAAAACAGAAAGTATACCACTCTTGTGCCCAGGATTCACAAAAACGCTTTGTTCATCGGGCTCTCTTTCTTTTGCGGCGGTAGTCTCTCCTTCTGTTTCCTGGATCGCTTCCTTCTTTTGTGTGCGATATTTGGGATGAAAACTAATTTTGCAGTTGACCTTCATCTTGCATTCTTCTAGTGGCTTTCCATCCAAAGGAGCCCAACTATTTGAACGGGAGTTAGTTGATTTTGAAGAAAAGTGATAAAAAAAGGGATGGAAACAAGAAAGAATGCGTTACACTAACCCATCAAACGCTACGCGTTCCTCTTGACACCATTCGGTGACATTTCCAAGTCTATCAATCTTGCTTTGAAGGATTTCTTTGGCAGGCATCGAAAAGGAACCCCACATGTCGTCGAACTTGACTTTGTCAGCATCCCACACTTTGATATCAACATTGGTGTCCGCTGAGATGTCATCTCCGCCTACCAATACATAGAGAACTTCATTCCAGCACGGATCTGTATCGTTGGTTAGTACGCGAGTAGTCGATCTACTGCGTTGCGGCTGATTACTCAGCGACAGGGTAGCATAGGAGTCTTCGATTTCTGCATATTTATCCAATAAATGCATCAGATACCGATCTACCATTGTTTTCTCTCTATATAGAGCCCATACCTTGGAAACGGAGCACGGATGGATCTGCCTCAGCACCTCGGATTTCGACTCGGACAACACCTAAAGCAGAAGTATCTTGTGCTATAGCACCCATCAATTGCTGGATGTCGACCGTCATACTCTTTGGATCAACCATATCCGCCAGCCCAATTCGAATGCCCTCGTTGACTAGCATTTTGAACATCGGAAGCTATAGCAACTATAAGTAAGCGCGTCATGTACTTGGATTTTTTTAAAATGCGTGGGTGCAATAACAGTGATGATAACAGGAAAAATACTTACATGCATCAGATTCACGTGTTTCGAAATAGGCATAACAGCTGTTTCGATGGTGGGTAGACTTGTGAATGCAACGGTAAGTTTGGATACAAATGGAAGTTCAGGACCTGTAACAAGCTTGAACCGCATTTTGCCAGATAAGGCCGTGAGTTCGCCACGAACATTGATGGGTGAAGTGACACCTGTTTGGATCGCTACAGAAACACCAGGAGGCGATGGCTCAATACGTCCACGCTCTTGTGATAGTGAGGCTGCTGGGTGTTGATGAAAACTGAAAGAAGCTTCGCCAAACTATGTAGTAAACAATTGCATAAGAATCTATATATTCGCACACGGGGTTTTCTTTTTTTTTTCTTTCAACTTACTATGCTCTCTTCTGAATGGCCGGGTAAAGGAGGAAATACGCGGATGCTAAAACGATTGGGAAAATGCCTTCCTGAGTACATTTTTCTGTCCCAAATACCACATCTTGCTACCATAGTCTTTTTTCTTACGTCTGAACGCGAGGAGCTTGCGCACCGATATCGAGGTCATAGATTGATATTCCTTTCTGTATGTAAGATCGAAATCGAAATCGTTAATTCCCATTCTTATTTACTGGAATATATCTGTTTTGCTTACAATAAATCCTGGAGCGACGCTCTGGATATTATCTTCAATCATGGATTGAACGGCCGTAAAGAATTCTCGATCGATACTTCGCCAAATCTTCTCAATAATAAAGTTCAACCATTCGACCGTTTCGCCTTCGGATGTATACAGCTTTTGAGACAAAATATGTGGCAGAATTGACGTTTAATCAACGCTTTTAAACACACGGTCTATGAAAAAAGAATAAGGCTAAACTTACCGATTCGACCTCTTTTTGCTTATCCAACTGCCAATCCAAATCCCTTCGGGGCTGTGTACCAAAAATCCAGTAGCCTACACCACCCAGGGCGACAGCAGCTATAGCCAGTATCACGCTAAATCCAAACTTGCCCAACAGAAAACTGATCGCACAAACACCACCAATATATTGAAACGCAGTGAATTCAAGTTGTCGAATGAGTTTTGCTGGCTCTGTCGCACGATCTTTGGCAATCATGTTTATAGACGATTTTCTGTTGAGTTTTTGGATTGACGGACGGCGGCGGCGACGACGGCCACCACCAGAGCTAATGGTGCTGTTACTGGCAATACTTGCCGCGTCATCGTCGTCGATGTTTTTGGCAGCGATATAGGAACTTAATCGTCGTTCGCGATCGTAACCCATTGGGTCTTTTGAGGAAGACGGTACTCCTGGAATGTGCGAAAGACCACCTAATTCTTGGGCTTGCACATGGTTTTTATTCTCTGCATTTTGTTTAAAAGTAACCGTGTGAGCTTAATAAAATTCATGCGAGGAAACGCTGTTGTATTACGACACATACCTTTGTCACGAACGATTTCCTTCTCCGGTCGTCGATTGACGTCCATGGTGGCAGGCGGTGGTGGCTGTACCGGTTGTTGCTGCTCATTCACCATGCTATCTGTTGTGGCTATGTCCTTGCCATGCTGTTTTTCACTTTTGCCTTCGTCCTTATCACCAGCCTTTCCGTGCAGTCGGCCGATTTCTTCAAGGTTTTCCTGTTGTTGTTGTGGACTGGTGTGGATGCCTGCAGTATTGGCGCGTCCTAGCTTGGGGTTGACGTTGCGATCTGTTGTTGTCTTCTGGCCAGGCAGGGGCGCTGCTATTTCAGCTGCTGCTGACATTGTTGTGAAAGCTTGTTAAGAAGAAATAATGACAGAAAAGAATCAAGGTAAAGAGCCGTAAAGAAAAGTGTCGAGCACCAAAGACATGGGCTTTTTCTTTCTTGGCTTTACCCATGCGTTTGCTGTATTGCTGTCAAGGTACACCCCAGATATCATCACCATTATGTCATATTTTAATACGGAAAATCGGCAAGAACTTCACTTCAGTTATGGAAATGCTATTTAATGACGCCATATTGTGTACCTATATCATAAGCAGTGCAGTAACTATTACATATGAATGGTATCTAGTCGCATTAGCACTTTATGGGTACGGACCACATTACACCACATGGAAGATACTAAGTGAAACATAAAAAATGCACGTGAAACCTTTCAAATAACAGTAATGCTGTCGTCTTGGCAGAATACTGACATTTTCAAACATGAAGAGTACTTTTTAATGCAGATCGTTACAAAAAACAAAAGGGAAACCAGTACTAGTTTTCGCAAAGAACATTACAGCATGTAACAGACAGAATACTTGAAGGGAAGACTAGTAGTATTATGGTTTTATATACAGAATAGGTCGTTGAAAAGAAAAACAGAATGTGTGTGAATCATGCAAAAAAGAGGAGAGAGGCAAGGCAAGGCAGAAAGAGAAAGAGAAAGAGAAGAGCGACAGTGATAATTAAGAAAAGACAGAAAAAAATGGATTGCAGCTTTTTAGGCATTGCGGTTGTATTGACCAACAACAACGGCGTGATCTCTTTCGTAAGGCTCCAGTGTCAGCTGTTCTTGGGGCTTGACACGTTCTTCTTGAAGCTTCTTGACTTCACGAGCAAAGACAGTAGCAGCATCGACCGTCGAATCGATACACGATGCCTTGATGGAAATCACAATGTGACCGCCGTTTCGCAAAAAGTGGTGAGCGTTCAAGGTGATGATACGGGCTTGATCGGGCTGAGCAACATCGGCGAAGATGACATCGACCATGGGCACGAGCATACGGTACTTTTGAGGCTGACGGGCATCCTCGATGATAGGAACGACGTTGGTGCGCTTTTTGGACATGTTGATCAAGTCACGGCCAGAACGATGCGAGAATTCGACGGCGTAAACGGCACCTTGTGGGCCAACGATATCGGCAACGTGTGAGACTGAAGTACCTGAAGCAGCACCCAAGTACAACACCTTTTTGCCGGGTGCAATGTGGATATGGTCGACACCACCAAGCACAGCAGCAGCGAGCTTACTGCGGAAGGGATTCCATACACGATATTCAATCTTGGTGCCTTCGGGGCCGTCAACAGAAATACGCTTTTCGCCATATACGGATTCGCCGGGAACCAAGTTCTTTGTCACCAACAGATCTTCTTTGCCGCGGGCAATGAAGATGCCTTCATGACGATGGGGTTCAATGATAACCTTGTTGCCGCCCTTGGCACCGCCCATGGCACCGCCACGACCTCCACGGCCACCACGGCCGCCACCTCGAGGACCACCACGGCCTTTGCTGATACCACCACGGCCGCCACGATCGCCACCGAAACCACCACGGCCGCCGCCACGACCTCCACGATCGCCACCAAAGCCGCCACGGCCTCCACCGCGGCCTCCACGATCGCCACCAAAACCGCCACGGCCTCCACCACGGCCACCTCGTCCGCCGCCGAAGCCCCCACGGCCGCCTCCACGATCGCCGCCGAAACCTCCACGGCCACCTCGTCCGCCACGATTATCGAATGCCATGGTAAATGTGTATATAAGAGTTTTTTGAAGGGTTACAAGGTTAAGAGAAAATGAAATTTCCACAAGAAAAAAAAAATTAGGCAGACCGAAATTTTTCAAAGCCACCGGCGTGATTACCCAATTTGGGTCTAAACCAATAGGTGCGGACGTTGTCATGGAGATGCTCTCTCGGTTGCTTAATTTGAATTTCATGTCAGGGCAGGATCGAGTAACCATGCAAAGACCACCTTTCGGAGACTACCAGATAGCACGGATATCGCGTTTGCATTCTTCTAGTAAAAGTCGGCATATACATCATGTCATTATATATATATCCGCGTTTATTGCACAACACTAGCGATAATTAGGATGTCTGTCCCCGATTAATTGTTCACCGCCATACTTGATCAACACTTGCTGCCTTTTTTTCAGAATCCATCTTATCTCATCTTTTGTTGATACGGCTCAACATGACACAAAGTGTCAGAACAAGGAGGATGCTTGCACCCGTGCAGCCTAAAGCAATCGCATGGCCGATGAGATACCGAGGAGGGTCAAAATAGGCCTGTCCGCCAATCGTGTTTCCCGCAGCCTCTGCCTTGAAAAGAATGCTGCTCGTCGGGTTGAGCCTGAAAAGTTGTCACCGCACCATGCATTTATAACAGGAGTATCAACCGCCTAGAATAGTAAATATTAGCGACGGGGTTCTCTTCCTTTTTTTTTATCCCCACTTTGATACATGATGAGAAAATAGCCAAACTCGTTAAACAGGTGTACTCCAGGCAGAATATATGCGCGCTGACAATATCTCACCTGATGATCTCACCCATTATATCCTCAAAATTTGACTATGTATTAGCATAAAACATGATTCTCGATGATGCTACATACTAATAACAAAACTTGCATAAAGACTCTTACAGTTCTTTACTTGGAGCTGATGTGTCACACACATCATTTGGCTACGCCATTGACAACAACACGGAAACAAAAACAAAAGAATATCTGCGACTTATCGTATAACATATAGAGCGTTGCCATGGATATAGCAAAGCTGTCGTTGTTGTTACCACTCATGCGAGAATACTTACTTAACGAAACACGTATGCAAAGGTGTAGCACTAGATACCATTGATCAGACAGATTGGCTACGCTCACACTATGGGACAGCGTCCGACGATACCCAAGCGTGCGATATGCTACAATTAGCGCAGGGATGTGGCGGTGAGCAATGATTCGATAAGCGATTCCAGTTATCATTAACCGATTCTTGAGGCAGCATGCCACATTTTTTAGCAGTATACGGCGTAATGGAAACGTCCGCTTTGTTTATCCACTACGCTTACACAGTGGATTGTCAATCCTTCTCGGGCCGTGCAGCCGAAACTTTGGCGCAATCTCTCGAGCAAATTAAATCCATGTGGCTAGTGTTTATTATGCTTTTCAATGTGATGAAAGTGTCATTTTTTGATAAATAAATTCTATTACGCTGATGATGTTATGACTCGTCACAAGAGCTTTATCCAACTATGTATCAACCTTTGCAGTGTCTAAATCATGCCATGGGATCAGCAAAACTAATGGATGTTTATAAACAATAATGCTCTTGACATGTGACGCATGTCAGGCACAGCCCGTCCCCTCTCTTCCTTTAGGCGTAAAAGATGTGAACAAGCCAGCCATTTTTGTTTTAGATGATTGTTTAAAATATGGTTAACTACTGTTACTACTACATAGTATCTAGTATATCGTACACACTTATTACTTGCAAAAACACCAATTAGCATTACAATATTAAACGGGAAATACAAGGTCAGTTGGATCCATGCAATCAGGAGCAACCAGACCAGTAAACGTATCAAAAACCCAGAGGGCAATACCGTTTGTCCATCCAAATCCTGCCTGAACGACATATTCGCCACCTCCTCCAGCATCTCCAATTTCTTCGACATCGAACTTTTCAAACATATGTCCGTTGTCTGTTTGGTTGCTTAATTGCTGTAGCACACCCGGGACGGCGCCACCAGTCTTGTACCACGAGCAGAAAGCCGATGCAATGTATCGTTCCGCAAGAGTATATGCCAAACCAACCAGGCCATTATCCGGCTGCTTTAACCAGGAGTCAACGTTAAGCATAGCCTTCATTGCAATGTATTGCAGTGGCGGCCATCCATTTGGCAAATCCCACTGAAGGGTCGTATTGTAGACCGAAGTTGTCAAGATACCCGGATACTCTTCCAGCAACTCACGCGTCTTGTCAAACACACGAGACAATGTCTTTGGAGACCTTTTGATCTTGGAGGGTACAGCCCCGAGCCAGAACGGATACAAACATGCTGGGGTAAAGTCCTTGTCTAACGCGTTGGACGTCACATTATAGTCATAAAACGCAGCATCTTCTTCGTCCCAAAAGATGTGTTCGAGCGCTTCAAGTCGTTTCGCAGCTTGACGTTTGTAATACTTGGCCTTGCGCTTGCTGGCTCCGTCACACTGTGTATGCCACTCAGCGAGCGTCGACTCCATACCCCACAGCAGAGCATTCAAGTCAATGGGCACAATGTTGCGTGTGCTGAGTGAGCGCAAGATCTCAAGTGGATCGTTCGGATTATTGACCTTGGACTTTGTCCAACGACTCGTAAAGTCATAGCCTGATTCCGCACCGGTACTGAGGTCGGCATAAAGTGCAGGAATGTGTTCTGGAGAGGAAAAGTCGGCCAGCGTCGCCGTTTCGTAGTCCTCACGATAGGACTCAGGTCGCGGTGCCTCGTTAATGACGTTGTAGTGGTTCAGCACGTGACCGTCGACATGAATACTCTTATTCTTCATCCAAAACTCGTATTCCTTGTCCAATGTGGGCAGTGCCTCCTTGAGAAAATCGTCGTCGCCCGTTGCATTGTAGTAAGCTTTGACCATTTCTACCAAGAACGGAGGCTGCGACCGGTTCAGATAGTAAATTCGCGCGCCATTCGCTATAATTGAGCAATCCATATCGTTTGTTAATAACAAGTCCATGCTACTCCTTGATTCACCCCCGTATTATCATGCCAACTGTATAAACTTACGAATAAAGCCGTATTCTTCAATGTAATCTAAAAAGTTGAGAAGCATATCCTTGGCAACATCGTGTAGTTCACTGAGCAGTAGGCCACGGATCACAAAGTAACTATCCCTGTGAAATTCATGCAATAAAAATGGTGTCAGCTTCACAATAGACATATTTATCAGCGAGAAGGTTCGTTCACGACGTTTGTTTTTTTTTCTCAGCATATATAGCATACCAGTAGTAGAATTCTCTGAATCGTCCTCCAGGTACGACGAATGGGCGCTTGACCGGAAGTGTACTAGTCGCACAGCCCTCACAGAGGAAGGAGGTATCAAATTCAAATGTCAGTTTTGCCCAGTACTGATGGACTTGCGTGGCCCAGCCACGGTAGCTCTCATCGTCAATTTTTCCCAGTAACGGAATATTGTTGTCGATCGTGTAATTGACCGGCCTGACCTCGGTTCCTTCTTCCAAAAAATTATCGTCGACAAAGCTGCGAATGGCGTCGTCGGATGGGTTCTCTCCCAGTTCTTCAAACGCTGCCAGCACTTGATCGACCGGCCTAGATGTTGGCTGAGAAAGAAGAGGGCCATATCGCATTAGATCCCATATTTATGACATGCAATATGCATATTTACAAAAGAAACATGCATATTACCTTATCGACAAATGTTTTAGAGTCGGGATAGAGGGAAGCGAGCTGAACTATTCTTAGCAATGGTCCTTCGCAGTAGATGGGCGAGTCACAACGTTCTGGATAGGATACGTCGCCATTGTCTTGAGCCGCTGCCCGCAATGTCAGTAGCACTGCAGTGGATAGTAGCAGCAGCACACTGTTCAGATTCGGCATCTGATCGGATTATAAACAATACAGAAGAAGTAAAGCCCAAGAAGAAAGGGAAAAAAAAAAAACGAGACCTTATATAGGTTATGGGGATGCGGGTTCATGTTACACACGTCGGACGCTTGGGAAAAGGTGCGTCTCGGACACACACACGGATTTCTTTTTGCCACCAAAACCTCCTTGCCTCCATGTAGTCAATGCAGAGTATACGAGCGACATGCCATGCATAGATTATGCCTGCGTTTAGGTAATGAGGGAAGAGGCTGCGCCCTCTATCTCTCTTACTACTTTTGTAGGCTACTTTGCCGGCCTTGCACTGCATGCAACACACAGTCGCATATCTATCTAGCTATCTTTATGCACGTATATAATCCAGCACATGGGGCAGCTGTCCTATTTTTGCTTCTCTTTCCTTGCTGATTAACTGATAGAACACTGTGCAGGTAACCCATTGTCCACTTTGATGACAATGACGACAGAAACGAGCATTACGCACAACCCACCTCTTTTTTTTTCCTTTACTGTTGTTTCACCACGCACCCAGCCTGTAGATTCGCATGTCCTCATGACCTCGTGCGTTTCTAGCCTACTCTATACGCGTACTTATCATTCATACATCCATTCTCAGCATGATCATCATCATGTATTACACCAGGGTCAGTCCGGGAGCTATCACAGTTATGGAAATATGTCTTTTTTCCCCCCTTCTTTCTTCCCGTTGGCGGGAAAAAGAAGAACGTGGGATTATAAAAAAGATACCAAACAGTAAAGGTCTGCTCTAAGCTTGTTTATTCAATACCAACTCTTTCAACATAGTCGACCACTTGCAAAACAACGGGGACCAGAGTAGCCAACAAATCCAAGATATTGCAGATCAATATTATCTGCTTCGTATTCGGACCGGAGCAGTTTGACAAGTACGTATTTTGCAGATCTGGTTGCACAATTGGGCCAGAAGAAACACAGAATCAGTTTTTTATTGCGTTCCCCGAGATAGAACATCGATGACCATTATGGCTGCATGAAACGTTTCTTTACCTGTCGTTAATGGGAATTACCATTTGTTTTTCTTTGGAAAGTGTGAACCAAGCGACCGGATCCACTCCGTCGTCCTCAATGGTGCTGTATTGAGCCTTGTGTGCCATGTACTGTTCAAAATCTTCTTTCGTAAACTGATCAAATATGCGCGAGCCTAGAAAGAGTAATACGTGAATCTATTTTTCGCATGTAGAGCCCCTTGCATATCTGTTATGGTTTTCTTTTTTTTTTTTTTGGCTATACATACGTTCTACATCGATAGGATGTCGAGACATGAATATTACACCGTCTTTGCCTACACAATAATGAGATGTTTAGTTTTCGCGTAGCGGCAAGGTAGACAGGATAAAGAGGAAGGTGTCCTACATGGAGCCGTAAATCTTAAAGTGCAAAAGAAGGAGGCTAGTGAGTATTCCACGAACCGTTTTAAAGAGGACGCTATGAGTGATGATAACATTTACCCGTATTGAGGAGATTTGATGACAATATGCGTAACGACGCAACTCCTATCGCTTAGTATGCCGCTCTGCGCATAGCCATTATAACGAAGCAGCAGGTTGACCGTACCGCTCCTTCCCGAGCTATTCTTCTATTGTTAGCCTTACTGCCACTTTGCAGTTCCATATTTTTTTCTTTCCCTTCATGTTACCAGTAGACAGAATTGTCGTTACGCAAAACGTTTTCAACGCCGTACGTAGAGCTGTTGTGATAAATTGAGGTGCGGTGTTTCAATATTGACATTCTGTCATGCATAAACTTCTTATGTATTACCTGTATTGACCGCCATCATCCACAGCCACCTCGAAATCAAGCTCCAGATAGCTGCTGCTGCCTCCTTTACGTTTGGCACTCAATGGCAAGCCACAGGCCTCGGTTAGATCAACAGCCTTGTCGCCGGGGACACAGTTGTTGTGGCGCTGTATATATCGATTATAGCGAGTCATGTCAACAAAATACTCTTGCTGCTGTAGTCGCTCGCCTGGCTGTGGATTGAAGCGTCTTAATCGTGGGATGCGTGGAGGATGTCGCAGTGCCCGTTCTCGTAATAATGTCGATGTGCGTGGATAGGTATTCGTGTTTATTGGAGGTGGTAGTTGGGTAGGAGGAGGAGGAGGCGGCGGTGGTGGCGGTGGCGGCTCTGAAGGTGGACCGTCGTTGAATACCGGATCCAGCATCACTGGCGATAACGGCATCGGCAGCGATTCGTCAATAGCCGCACCTTCATAGTGATGTGGCGGAGATACTGCGGGTGACATTGTTCTATTAGGGTGTGTGTGTGTCGTTGAGAACCTTTGGCAAAATTAAATAAAGTAGTTCAAAAAAAAAAAAGAGAAGAGAAGAAAAAGATTCAGCGCATGAACTGCGTGTGTTTCTCAAAAAGGGAGAGCCAGAACACTCGTGGCGGCGGGGGCGGGGTAAATCAACAAGTGACTTTCACGCTATTTTTCAAAAAAAAAAAATGCACCGAGACAGACACCCCTTCTCTAGTTTATTTCAGATTTGTTGTATGCAAGGCCTCGTACGATTAAATAGTCCACCTCTACCTCCTTCGTCAGTGGGATCACCCAGCGCTCGTACAAGTCCACTACCAGTTGCACCGGAATGCGCAGATGTGTGTTGATCCCCTCCTGCTCTTGATCCAGTGTTTGGCCGTACACCAGCGCTTTGCGACGCAGTCGTTCAAGGAGCTTCTTCTCGACACTACGGTTGGTGAGCAGCTCGTTGATGGCTTCTCGATCGTTTGCGCGCGCAAGACGAGCGTATGCTTCGGGATCGGATCGGAACTTGCTTTCCGCAATGAATTTACCTTTTTCATTACCCGGCACGTGCGCACACACACACGCACAAACAAACGCAGAATGAGTATCAGATAGTATTTTCCCTGGATCTGCCCCTGTAGTTGCTGCTTCCAACAAACCAACAAACCAACAAATCAACAACATAACAAACAGACACCACTGGCTGGATAACAACCACAGCCATACATACCATAATGAACACGTCGGCTCAATGCTTGCATGCAGTCAATGTCCCGCGTGGCTGCACTACCATAGTTGGAGTCGTCTCTATCCTGACAAATCTCGGGAACGATGGAGTTGGTATAGATTTCGGTGATCTTGGAGTTTACGTTAATGTCGTTAGGGAACAAGAATTTTGGGAACTCGAGCGGTGGCAGGATCGGTTCAGGCAGGGGCGAGGTGAATGCATATTCATCTGGACTATTTTGCAGAACCATTCTATCACAGTAAGCCCTCCGAAGCTTTCTTTGTGCCCCTTCACCATAACTGACTGATCCGTTGGAGCTTTTACTTACCTGGTATATCTTCGTACTTTGGCTATATAAAAGGTAACACGTCAGAACTTTGGGGGAGGTTGTGTGGCTATCTATATCCTCCTTACCATGGACTCTTTCTGTCTCCCATAAAAAGTATTCGAGGAAGCTTCGGTCTCCCGTTGCTCCATTGAACTCCAAAGCACCTGGAACATAGATGCACTTGTTGAATGCAAACTGTGATCGTTCAATCAGGGCTGGGTGGGTTTGTGTGAGTCGTAGTTTGTTTCCAACCTTTTTGTGATCTCGAATATTTTTGAAAGTCAAAATCTCTATAGCTTTGTTTTACCAAAGATGATTGTATCTTCGAGTCGAATCAGCGTGCTGCGAAGCTTGTCAAGCGAGAACGGATCATCTGTAAAGTTACTCATGGCGATTCAAAAGTAGAAAAAAATGTAACCGATTCGAGCTGTTGTGTGCGGACCTCAACACGGGGCGGGCGAGAGAAATGGATATCGAATCAAAATCATTATCAGGTTGACTCATCTAAAAAGAGTGCTGCTGCTCTCGTTAACCTTATTATCCATGGACACTTTTTGACCGAGTATCATGCTTAATCATGACTTGATCACCGTCTTCAAATTCTTGACTTATCGAGCGGGAAAAGGGGTTATGCTTCACGGTTTGAAATGATGCTTGGTTTTGATATTAAAATCGTTCATGTGGTATCATATACAAACCAACGGGGTTACACAGGATCCATTCTGCTCAGTTCTCTCCGAATGTGCGATTAAGACAAACAGATCGCCACGGGCAGATGTTACCTGTTTACTACAGGATTCCAATTCTGTAAATTATGCGTAAATGATATGGTTGTTGCTATTTCGACTTGATGTTGAACAATATACACAAGAGTGTGGTTGTCAATGCATTATTAATAATGCTTGTTGTGAGACATTCTCTCTCTCGGCTGCCAAAATTCCAAGATTACAGCTACTAAACTACTAAACTACTAAACTACTTACACCACTATCCAATTTTCGATACTTTTGAGAGACATACAGTAATCGATCAATACTGAATCTTCAAAGGGTACCGCACCCTTATTATTTGACACAATCCAGACAACAGAATGTTCCGCTTTATGTCATCAAAGAAAGGGGGGGGGGGTTGGTACACATGTACTGTGCTATTTATTACTGTCGCCGTTCTTTATGGTAGCATAATACAATGTGCCCAAAGAGATGTAATGTCGTCGAAAACGTACTTTGGCATGAGAAGAAGCTGTGTTATGCTATGATTTTTTACTACATAAATTCTCTGTGGCGTCATACGCTTACATAGACTATATGATACAGTCGCAGATGCTTCAAAGAACAATCTCAAATATAGGCCTACCTACATAAAAACAAGTCTTACAGCAACGGTCCGCTTTCTGCTTCTGCTGCTGGTGATGATAAGCCTCGTACTCATCCATGGAGTATATGCTGAACGTATGTACATGTTCAGGGAAGATCAGCAATAGCAGTAACATATTGTGCAACACGTATGGCTACTAAAATAATGTCTTCGGCCACGCCTATGTCATCTTTCATGCAATGTTGCTGCGCATTACTATGGTAGGTGGTTGAAGAAAATCACACACACAACTAAGCCGATACTTTCTGATGTATATCAGATGGATGATCATCCTCTCAAAGCGCCACTAGAAGAAAGTTTGTACCCGTCTTGGCGCATGATGTGAGAGCGGCGCGCATTATTAAGTGCTAAGAAAGATGCATGCAGGGTATGTGGCAGGTATCGCGTAATATATTTGCTACTGTACCAAACTTTTTACGAGGGACAATTACTAGCAACAACAGGGGACAGGGGTAGTCATTCTTATTTTATTTTTTTTGGAGTAGGAGGAAAATGAAAAACAACAAAAAAGAGGTGGATGGATTGGAGGTACATTGGTTATTCTGGATACAAGCGTTCAAGAATCTCCGGGACCGCACGATCCACATTTCCATCGTACTTTTGTAAGAGACGTAGCGAGAGTTCATCACAGAAAGTCAGGCCCTGTAGTAAAATATTACACATTGTTAAGCACAATACTGGATACCAGCTGTCTTTATATACGGTGGTCAAGGGGATAGGGGGGAGGTCATCTTTGCCTACCATCTCATGAATTTGCGTGAGCTGAGCTTGGTATGGTCTTTGTTGTGTGCTTGGACGAGGCGGAGAAAGGGTACTGTTCTGCTCTTGTTGTTGAGTCACATTTTCAGCAACGGAACCGGTTGCCGGCGGCGTCTTTTCGTGCGGATTCGACAGAAATGTATTCGTACTAGCATCTGTGTCGACAAACACATAATGACTGCTGCTGCTGCTGCTGTTGATGCTGCTGTTTTCGCTTTGAGAATGTGATGGCGAAGTAAGGCGTACACTGTCGCTGCTGCTGCTGCTGTTAAGCGGATGCGAGTCACTAAGCGGATAGCTGACAACAGAAGCAGCAAAAGTGCTGCGGCGGCTCTCGGTGGGCGATACCATGACTGGATCTGAGAATGGATCATATTCGTCATCATCAACGCCACGGTGAGAACCAGTCTCGGTGAAATCGCTTGCTGTTGTGGTGACAGTGCCTGCGATGGATTGGACTTCTTCATTCACGGTAGTCGATGTTCTGAGCGTTGGGTAGATCATCGAGCTACTCAGGGACAAGGATGATGCCGTTTTTGAAGAGAGCTCGTCACCGCTCATATTACCACCACCAAATGTTGTTGTTGATCCTGAATTCAAAGGTGCTGCTGCTGTCGTTGTGATCGTTGATGCTCCTCCAAACGACGCTACTGATCCCGCCCTTGAAGCTGGTGTGGATGGAGGGTGTACTTGAAGCTCACTCCACAAAACAGGTCCAAACATGGAACCGTGGGGTGCACTTAACCGGAAATAGGTCTTGTATTTGCCCGGGTTTCTTGGCATCTTGAGTGTAGCGAGCACTGTAGCGCTTTCGCCCGGTTTGGCTGCAATCACATGAACGTTGCCACCAGGTTGTTGTATAGAGTCGCCACCGGTGCAGACCAAAACAGATCCTTCGGGCCATGCGACTCGTCCATCATTGGTCATTTTCCATATCTAGAGTGTGCGAACAGTTGTTAGAAAGAAATACATACACACACACACACACACACACAGTCAGTCACGTATAGGAAAGAAGGGGCGGGCGGGGTGGTCTTTTTTTCTTTTTACCTTTAAAACAGTGCTTCCACCTCGAACAACGGTGCCGTCGGGGTAATTCACGTCTTCAACAAAAGCGGCAGATAGACTTGACACTGTAGACTGCTGCTGCGCTGGCTCTACTGTCGTTGTCGCTTTGACATTGTGTTCTTCTGGTTTTGCAACTGTGGCGGCCGTTTCAGTAGTCGCAAGGCTTGTGTTGCTGGAAGAAGAAGCTGCTGCTGCTGCTGCTGCTGCTGGTACTTTTGCATCGCTGTTGTTGCTGGTGCCGAACAAGGTTGGATTGGCTGTGGGTCCGGGTGCTTGTGTCGGCTGGGCACACGCAGAAAAACACCTATGGCTCGACTGAGATCGAGCTGGTTCTTGAGGAGCGAGTGCCTGGAAGCGAGGCAGCAGCGCAAAGCTTGAGCTTGTTGCGACTGGAGATCTGATCTTTAGAAACACGTGAGCACTGTTGTGGCATGTCGGCGCAAACGGTTCGCATTTGCTGCACAGGTCAAAGTCAGGGCAGTGGCCACACTACGTATTCACAAACAAAACATCATATGTCAGTTGGTTATAGTTAGACAAGTCATCATGGGTGTGGTTTGCGGGTAGAGTATCTTATTGAGGCGTCGGCAGCAATGGAAACTATGGTTACCTTGTAGCGGATACCACGGACGTCACCGTCGCATCGATCACAAACGATACCCCTGTGCAGTACATTACTACTGCTCTTGTCGGCAGTTTCTTGTTCTGTACGTGGCCGTGGAACATGCGTGACAAACACATGTGGAGCGTGATTTTCTTTGACAATCGCAAAGCATCCCTGGCAAAGATCAAAGTCTGGAGAAAAAGAAAGTTTATCATTTTTAATCCCGGTTTATGTGACATTTTGTTGTCATCAGATGAAATTTTCTCCATCAGGCCGGCGTTCCCCCCCCCTCCTCCCCTAAACTATAATCACCTTGGCAGACCGAGCACGAGTGGCGAGCGCCGTCAATCCACGCTTCGCAGAAATTACAGACGTATGCTGCACTGGATGCCTCTTGTGCCCGCTTGCAGTTGGCACCTGGGACTTCCATCAACGAATGAGTGTGGCTGACATTCTGTGCGCAAGAATGACACAAGTTGTACGACGTGCAATGAATACAATGAAAACGTGAGCTTTATAAAGGACGGGGGTTAGCAAAAACCATGTGCGTTAAAGTTCTCTGTGAGTTCATAAACTTACGTATTGGCGTCAAAGCTCCTGGCGCAATTGTTACAAACAGGTGGGGTAGTATGTTGTACAAATGGTACGATCGCGGCTTGGTAAATTTGCGCAGCAGCCTTGGCGGCATATTGCATCGACGCCTCCAGATTGTTGGTCCCTTGTTGGGCCGCAATCTGCAGTTCATTCAGCTTGTTGTTGAGCTGGCTCAAAACTTCTTGCGAAACCTGATTCATCTGATCGGCCGAGGATGACAGAACTTCCTCCTGTGCTTGCTGCTGCTGCTGCTGCTCTTGTTGTTGTTGTTGTTGTCGCTGCGGTAGCTGCTCCTGCTGCGCCTCAGGTTGTGTTTGTCGCTGACGCACTTCAAGCCTAGGTTTGGACCCAAAGCCCGACCGTGATATTGCTTCCTTGATATCGTGGTCACTCGTCATGGTCACCCAGTCGCCATCCGAGTCTCGATACAGAATATCAAAGTCGGCGGTGTTGTCGAGCCTAAACGCCAACTTCAACTACAAACAGAACACTGTTGTTAAGCGCCAATAATTTCCGGGCTCAAAGGAGGAGTGAAAAAAGAGAAAAAAGGGCTACCTTCTCGTATAACCCCGAGTACGTAACGTTTTCGTTGAGAGTGAATCGACGAATTTCGTTGCGTTCAGGGATAATAACCTTCACGGCAATTTCTGGCGGAGCCCCCATGCCGAAAAATAGCGGGCCAGCCTTGGAGAAAGTAGTAGTACTGCCAAAGTGTTGTTGGTGCGCCAGTTTGAATAATCAGGAAAAGGGGTGGGAGGAAGAAAGAAAGAGAGTTCTTGGCTCGCCTGGACCGCATAAAAAAGAGCAACCCATTTCACCTCCGAACTTGGATCCTTTACGCAAATAGAAAGGCGCGCGTGATCTTTTGTTTTGCGAGCATCACAACGATGATCAACTATTATGTTTGGATGCAATGGATAATACTGTTACTACAACATATGTCAAAGTACATGAAATGGAAGGTATATGTAAATGTAGTGTCCGAGGGGATGATGTCTAACAAAGTATAAACAAGGTATATGATAGTGCGTTACTACTACTACTGCTGTTGCTACGCCATGGAAAACGTGCGACTTCGCCACCGGTTGTTGGGATCCCCATAGTCCTGCGACACTTCAGCGTGTCGTCTGCGCATTCTGTGCTCTTGCTCTTCCCTCTCTTCCAACCGATCGGAAGGCAGCAGCACAGCATGGTCAATGGCTGACGGAAGTCCTATATAACCCCATCGCCACCATAAAGTACAAATCAGTACAACGACAAGCAACAGCAACAACAACCCACTACCAAACTTTACCTCTGTGTCTCCCTCTCACCATGAGTGCAATTAGGACGAGCTTGCTCAAGGTGCGGTAACTACCCGCCTGCGAAGTGGTTACCCCTGGATACCCAGTAGACGATCCAGAATTACCAAATGCCGAGACGCACTCATATATGACCGTCAAGGCCGTAATGGGCGCCGGCGACATGATGCTCTGCGCCTCAATGACACAAATACAAAAGATCCCAGCAACGACCCAACATATTTCTTGTGCCAACTGTCGCTGAATCTGCGTCTTTACGTAAAAGCTAGGCCCTTTCGGAATGAGCTTTTTCGACTGTGTCATGACGCTGCTCATGGTTGGAAAACGACGCAGTCTCGATGGGGGTGGTTGTCCCAGCGTTTTCTCGTCTTGATCGGTTGGGCTGCTGTAGATGCCCAACTCACGTTCCTGATACACGTTACTGTTGCGGATCGATATACCGATGGGATAGATGCTGACATACATGGCGATGATGTACACGATTTGTGTACCTGGGTTGACCATGAGAAGATTGATGGCGGTAAAGCCAGCTAAAATCCATCATTGCATATCGTTAAAGTTGAAAGACTAATCGAGAGAACGTGCGATATGATCCATTGCCATAGTGCAAAGAGTGAGATGGAAAGGGTACACACGTACCATTGCGCACTGAAACACCTTGGAAATATGCAAGAAGCACACGCGATCCCCACGAGATACCATCCAGTACGGGCAGCCAGTAATTGGTAGCCAGGAAAACGATAAACTCGACGCTGTTGATTGCAACCAACACAAACACGAGCCACCAAGTCTGTGTTGCAGGAAACAAGCTGGTGTAACACCGACGCGGATGATCGAGAAGATATCTGAGCGTTTCCCGATCCATAGTCCAAGAACGCGGCATCAGTTTGTACAAACACCAAATGTAGAACCGCAGCACAATTGCATAACCCACGTTGCCCATCATGATAGTAAAGCTCAAGAGTAAAAGAGGTGCAGGTGCATTTAAAAACGGCGTAAGACTTGCAGCCAATGGGGATAACCCCAAATTGTTGTACGCGGAAAAAGTAGTAAAGATGGAAAAGAACCAGGGATCGACCGGTCCGTTTGAATTCGAAGTACGCAGCGCTTCTTGCGCATAATCGTCGGCGGCAACGTAGATTCGCATTGCAAAGCTAAACAAAATGTTGGTTCCAAAATACACGATGGGGATGAAGTTGGCTAAAAAGTCTAGGGCACGGTACTCTGCACCTCCAATCGCATAGCGCTGCTTGCGTGTCAGCTCGTATTTGTGAATCGGGCCTCGCATGATGCTCTTAATTTCCTCCCGTTCGATCTCTGCAGCTACCAGCATATCGTCGTCGTCGTCGTCGTCGTCCAGCGGCGAGTCTGGATGTCGGCCTTCGGCGATCCTGCGCAATAATTCGTTGTACGGTCGATCGTTTTCAAGCTCTTTGCGAGCTTCACTTCGCTGGCGATCAATATTGTCTGCAAATGCAATATTCTGCGGTGGGGCTGGCGAAGAAGAGCTGACATGTTGTTCCAGCGCGTTGCTGCTTGGGATTGTATAGGCGGATGTGGTAGTAGCTAACGGAATGCTGCCTTTAGGCGTCGAGTCTGCGCGACGTAACGTGGGGGTTGAGGTTGACATGGGACACATTACACGGTCTGGTGTTAATGTTCCTTGATGACTACTTCCGCCAACAGTTGACCTTTCGGCGTCCTTGTCACGCAACTCGCGCAGTTTGTCGTAGATCTTTTGCTCTTCCAGCTCTCGGTTATGGCGCAGATGGTGTCCTATTCCTCCTTTCAGCGCATGAAACGGCTGGAAACGGGCCATGGTGGCCGAGAGTCGCAAATGTGGCAGGATCCCGTGGTGCGGTGTCGGTAAAGTACTGCTTCGGAGGGGCATTGCGTTGCTGTTGGTCTTTGACTCTTGCTGCATCTTGGCATGCACGTCTGCCAAATTCTTGTTAAACCGCTGTCTGTTTTTCTCGCGTAACCGTTGGGCGCGGTTGAACAAAAGCACGTCCTCGAACCGTTTGGAAAAGTAGTGTCGCCGGATCAGAACGATCACCTCGGAAACAGTAACATGGTTGCCGAGGATCGACACAAAGAACATGAGCAAGAGCTGATACAACGAAAGAGCTGATATCTCGACGGTGTTGAGTCCGGTGTTCGTTACGGCAGTGGTGCTCATAAAGAGCGCGTCGGCATAGTTCCAATTGGTGCCTGGTTGGCAGTAGAAGAAGCCACTTACGATCAAACACAAGCTGATGATGTATGTGTAGTGAATAACCAGAAAGTTGATTCGTCTATGCCATATGTCATGACACCATTCCTTTATGTCTTCAAGGTCTTCGGCGCAAAGCATGCAAGAAACGAGGAAAGCAGAAGGAGGAGAAGGAGGAGGAAAGCGGCTGGACTTGCCTCGATTTATATATGGGCATATTTGCCCAAAAAAAAAAAAAGTTCGGCGTTTCAAATACATCATTGCCCCCCCCCCTCCCCCTCACACACAGAGGAGCGATAGTGTTTCGAGACGCCTCTTTTCAACAAAAGTGCCTCCCTCTTTCACGAAAATTCATTGTCCTTGTTTTTCCCACATGACACGATCTGCGTCATTCCACACACCAGGCATCATTATCAGCCCTGTGATGATGGAGTTGTTGCTAATTTGAAAGAACGATGTATATTTGGGCTAACTCTTACGGAACGTGTTGGGAGAAGAAGGCGTTGGGGAGGCGCCAAAAACAAAAAAAGACAGTACAGAAGACCCTGGTGTTTTGGTCGGGCCGATCACTGTGCTGGTCATCCGTTCGCCTTTCCCTCCTCTTCCGTGTCATCATGGCGACAAACGGTTAAGGGAAAACTGATCTACTGATGCACCTTGTCTAGACAAAACATCCTTCCATAGGGTGCATCAGCAGCTAACGTAAAAGCTTACTGATTTTTTATTAACGAGCAAGGATAGTATGACTAGTAGTAACTACAAGTTATGACACGTCTTTTAGACTTCTTGGAGCTTGATTACGCCGATGCATCTTCTTTGGTGACACATTCCCATTGGTGGACTTCCTGTGGCTCGTGAACCGGAATTGTCTCCGAATGGAATTCTTGGCATGTGGGACAAGATATCCCACTTTTTCAACGGAGGAAGTTGTTGTCTATATTGGTAACCGGCTTCTTTTGTCGATTGCGGCTTACTGAACTTTAACAGCTTTTCAATACCTGCGCAATAGTTGATTTTACAAGGGTTTCTCTATCTCGTCATCCTTTCTCCAAAGATCGAATCGAAGAAAGATGGATCGAAAGCAAAAGAATTAGATATTAGGCGACGGTACTGTATCTATTTCTTTGTATCTTAGGGTTGTACAAAGTATAGGATAAGCTACATAGTAGCACACTTGAGCATGAGAATGGGATCATTCAGTTGTGGATGGCTCTACAAGAAAATGCCTATCTGAAAAAAGTTTTGTCTTCCTTCGACCCTGTGATCAGAATATTTACCTCAATATGAGTTATTTATGACGGAAAATATTTGGTCATCCTTTAGCTTTTTCGCAAGATTAACTGTTTAAACTGTTTAAATACAAGTTAGTGGTAGCAGCATTATTCAACAGTATGTGAAAGGTGACTAGATGGTGCATGATGACGAAGTAATATCATAGGTATCATCACTGTACACTTTTCTCCGTTCAGTTCATATGCCTAAATAAATAACGAGCGATACTGCTTCTTCACAACTTATACTAGTAGGAGAGAAGCAGGTACAAATTTTGTATGTGAATACTTTAAAGGACATTTTGGGAATGTTGACGATCTTCGCTTTCATATAACTCCAAATCTGGAGAAATGTAACGAAAAAGTGGAACAGTTTTTAAGAATACATACATTCGTATCCTGCGAGTAGCAGGGCATAAGAAAAAAGGTACTGTTACATACGCCATCCGTATCCGTAATTTACATATTTAGCAGATTTATACCAATAACATGGGGTGTTTGATACATTTTGCACAAGAATCGTAACAACACGGTCACTCATGGATCGTGGTAAAGAGAGTCGCAGCTTAGACATCGTTTTTTTCTTTGCATAATGGTGCATGTTGCTCGTGAATTTATCTTTCCACGTGAGCAACTTACCACATCACCAGAAAAAAAAGCTACTGTCTTGCAGAGTTTATTTGCAATAGTCTGAACGGTACAATTAAGTTTTTCCTTGCTATTTAGGCTACAAGCGGTCCTAAAAAGCATGCTTTTCCATCTATTAAGTTCAAAAGGATATGTAGAGCATATATTTCTACAGGTTATGCATAATCCTTTTCAGCTAGCGTCATTTACTGAGGCGCACTATTCGCACACAAGTTTAAACAGGTGACTTAAAGAAGAGAGCAAGTCGACGATGATTGATATTCTGATTCAAGTTGGTATATCTTGTATCTTTGTGCTACAAGGTTTAGGAGAGTGCTATGGTATAAGGTAAGTAGAAGAAGGGAAAAAAATGATAAAAAAAATGGCTCTGTTCTAAGATGTGCGCATGCTCAAAGCCAACCACCTAAGATAATATTCTTTTGCATAACAGCAGATGATGCAGCACTACAGCTTCTTCTTCATGTCATCGACATGGTTGGAATTACGATGCTAGGTGGTCCTTTCATGGTCATTTGAATTGGCGGGCCTTCTTATTGCTTAACATGTTCTTGAGCCGCAGTAATGTCTGTCGTGGCTGGACTATTTATTAGAAGGATAGACCAAATAACAGGAATAGCCCAGCGGTAAATAAATGCATTATTGTTGCAGTAGTTGCAGCAGCTCTAATAGTAGCACTCGTGATGGTGATGGATTGAGTTTGTAATTTTAATAATTGATAATATATATAGAAGTGTGAATATTAGCCGTAGGTAGTTGTTAAAAGAGCAAAAAAAGAAAACGCAACGCTTGTGCGACAAGGTTATTCTACATCTACCTTCGCTCCTTTTATTTGTATCTCCCTGCATATATGATACCTTGCCAACAAAATGCAGCAACAGCGTCATCAACAATAACTTGTCGATCCAAATAACACGAACCAAATTTCATTTTTTAACAATATTTCTATGATGTAGGCCCTTCTTTTTTGTTTTGGCATATTTCACCAGTCTTTATATCCTTGTGATGCTTCTCACCGTTCAATGGAAGATTGCAGTCATGAGTTTTGTGAAGTGTATCATAAAGAAACGTAGGCACAATGGTTTTTGATTGCGAGCCTGAAATTAATGCACGTATCATACAATACAATATCATGTATTACACCTGTTAAAGTTCCCTCTTCCGAAGCTGCTGATGACGACCTATAACAAGTATATAGAAAGTAGAATCTTCTACAGCTTTGCCTAGTGATTTATAAAAACGATGTTTTCGAGTGTCTTCACTGATTTGCGACGAACGCCATTGTATCGAGTTTGTGAGAGAGCTGCTAATCGACTGACAGTGTGCCCACGCTGCTGTCATTCTCGGATGCAACCAAACGTATAGATCCGATTGGTTTTTTCCTTGATATTGTCATGATTTTCCTCTACTATTACTGATACTATCGCTAGCATGTATATAGAACGAGCGTCGAGCAAGCTTAGAAATTTGAAGTGACTCATTAGATTGCATGTCAAATTCAAGTTAGTAAGTTGCTCACAAAGTTAGCTTTATATAAGATATATAATACTCGAGACTTCGCCGCTTGGTGGGTAGCCTAATTCGTAAACAAAAGCTTTGACACGGTCGTCACCACATTTCTGGGGATCTTCTTGGGTAATGACTTGCCGGATGGGATATTGAGGCAGTTGAATGAAGTAGTACAGCCAATGATCATGGTGGATAAAATGAGTGGCTTTTGCTTCAAAATGTACAAGATGAAAGCCTCTTTACAAATTTGGCCCGGTGAAAGCTTCTGTAGATAAAAAGCAAGTATAACTTGTTGGGGACGACTTGGTGTAATCATAAGCAGTGATGGTACATTACACATCCAAAATATCTATGAGTATAAGTAGTATACTGTACGTGTATCAGTGGTAGTAATGTCGAGAGACAGTCCACATCGTACTAAAGCATTTTTTTGGGTCGGATACCAGATATATTTCGTTGTTATAGCATTCCATATTTATAGCCACGACACATAATAAACACAAAAAGCGTTCTGATTACGCGCTGTGCTTAAAAGTCTACAATAATGATCCTTTTTTCTTCATCATTAAATTCAGGGCTAAGGAAAAGAGCTCTTTAGAAAGTAGCACTGATCATGGTCCTGATCGAGAAAAGTGATTTTCAAACGTCGGTGACGATATTAACTGGAGCTTTTTTGAAGCTAGGAGTAAGCAATAACAGCAGTAAGAAAACAAGCGATGTCCAGGGTCATGTAATGAAGCTTATTTCATATTAAAAGGTCCGGAAACATAGGAAGGGTAGCTGGGCACCATGTCTAACAAAAGGAAGAAGCGGTTAAGCCTCATGCAGTAGGAGGAGTATAGCACTTGTGGCGCACAACTTACTTAGGCCTGATGCTACCCAGATTTAGCCATCATGTTACAAAAGCATCCCGCTCTGGCGCAGTGTGCTGGCATCAAGAAAGAAGCAAGAAAAACGGGCTTTGTCAGTGACGAGCTTGTTTGTTCATACACCGGCGATGTTAATGAGATACTAGGCTCACGACTCTTACTTCTTGGGAAAAATGAATACATATAATAAGAAGTATGATATGTACTTGCTATCTAAGATCCGTTGTAGTGTATTGGGCAACATGTCCGCAAAGGCGCAATTGTATGAACTTACACTGCCGAAGAAAACAATCCTCAAACGTTATAGAACGATACAAGGCATTAAAATGGATTTCGTTGCAAAAGAAGATTATTGGAATATCCCACATTGGAGAAGATTAAAACGCGAAACTAGGTCGACTCACACGCATCAACTACAACGCTTGTTTGCCATCATGGTGATCATTGCGTTACTTTGATCATCAAGAACAAAAGTAAAAGATCCAAGCAAGACCGTGATCCGACAAACGATCAGGATCTAAGCAATTCTCCCAACCACCTTACGTCTCTCGGGGAGCGTTCAAATTTTTCTGGAGCATACACGTTTGCGCTTCTATATATTTAGTCTTCAGCCTTCAACTTTCCAGGATTTGTTCAATATCAGTACATTAAAATGCGCCGCGATTTGAGACGAACGAACATGTTGTTGGAAAAAAGATCCGGATAGCGACTGCCATTTCTCCTTCTTCTCGATCATCATCCTTCAAGAGTTTTTCTTGTAATTTCGCAGCTCTATGAATCTATGCGGTCTATTAACAAGAGTGTTCTCGTACCTGGAAGAAACATATACCTTTGTTTTACGCCGCCATTTCTGTGGTTGCTTACAAATGAGAATACAGTCGTAAGCGGAGGAGATGAGATGGCTCGGTTGTTGCGCGCTTAATACAACTTACTGATGAAGAATTACATATGCGTAAGTAAAATATAATACATGTACATGACGCAATATAAAAGATGTAACACATCATCACCATCTCTTTCTATTTTCTGTATAGGCTACCGAAGCTGAGGAACCTGGAAGTGTAGTTTATACACAACGCAAATGGCGAAGAGCCCGAAACGAAAAGATAGCATTAGAGTCTCACTCAACCAAAGGCTTGGCTGGTAAGAACTTATTTGAGGCTCTTACTTTCTTTGTGGATTTAATCTTTATCACTAACTCGCAATGATACGTTTACTTTTTGATGTGGTTAGGAACCAGTCGTTGGGACGAACAGATTGTATCGATACACAATGAAACGGAAGCAACAAGGTTACTCTTCCATCAATACGAACCTCATCTAGTAGCAGCTGATGCATACAATTACCTTGTGTAAGTACGGATTTTTCTTATTTTGTTGTCCTTGTGCCCGTCCTAATTGAGTGAAATTCTCTAAAAAAATGCAAATTTGTATAAATTTGTAAAATTATGTAGGGTCTGGGATTGGAAAACATCTACGCCACTCAGCGTCATCGATAACCGTAACCCATCGCATAGTCAAATTACGGATATGAAGTTCATTAATGAAGATGATGTGGCTATCCTGCTTACTGCATCAGGTATATACATTATCATTATCATTTCTTGCGAGGACGACAAAACAGGAGCAATAAGGGTGGGATATGCTCTCAGTGAAACATACACGTATATATTAATTTGACTTTAACCACACAAAAAAATATTAATCTACATCATGACTATGTATATTAGATGATGGTGCCATCCGATTATGGAAAAATTATGATGGCGCTGATCAGGAGGACGCCCAGCTTGTCAGTCCATGGCGGGCACTCAAGGACATGGAAAAGAGTAATATGCGCCAAAGCGGGCTAGTATGCGACTGGCATCAGGAACGTGGTCTCCTATTTACTGGCGGTGATGCACGCGTGATTAAAGTATGGGATGCACATCAAGAGATATCGGTCATGGTAAGTTTTCTTTTAATATCTCTTCATTGGAAAATAAGAATGGATTCAAAAGGTTGCGAAATGGGATATTCATTAATTCACAACCTACAAAACAGGATATCGCGACACAGTCTACAGGCTGTGTGACGAGCATAACAAGCGATCAGACGCGTGGAGACATTATTGTTGCAGGATTCGGAGATGGCCTTGTTGGTGTGTACGATCGTCGCATGAGGCCCACATCTGCGTAAGTCTTGCGTTGTTGTTATCAAATACTTTCTCACGATAAGTTCTCAAACTTAATCTTTATATGTTATTTATCCATGCGATAATATAGAATGGTACAACGATGGGATGAACACAAAGCATGGATCACTGGTGTACATCTTCAACGCGATGGTAATCGAGAATTGATTTCGGGATGTTTCGGTGGCGACATCAAGATTTGGGATATCCGGGAAACATCGTCGCTTCGAACAATCGAGGCACATACGCATGCAGATATGACTGCGTTGGCTGTCCACGACCATAGCCCGGTCGTTGCGAGGTAATAAGTCTTGACTAAGGGAGTACTGAACAGATAGGTAGGAAGAAAGAAGCAAGTCACTTAAAGTAAGACGACATTTCTAGTGCTGGAGATGACCATATCATCAAGGTATGGAACGTAAATGGCAATCGTCTATCTACGATCCGACCCTCGTCTGGCTTTTTGGGGCAGCGAAACGCGTTCACCAGGGCACTTACATTCCATCCTAATCTGATGGTCATGGGGGCAAGCGGTGACGATGGCTCAATTACAGTAAGTGACTCTGTCCACATACAGTTCTCTTATGGCTTGCTAAGGTGTGATTGATTCTGGAAACGAATACTAACCTATTTTGCTGTGCACACATCTTAGCTCTATCGATCAAATAATATCACTGCAACGCATTTCTTTTGAAAAGCTATTTTTCTCTTTGTATACACCAACAAGCAACCCGAAATCTCTTACTTTTATATTTCTTTTACTTTTTTCCTTTATATATATACCATATAAAGCAATCGTATATATTGTTTTTACACACGTACACGCACACATTTATACAAGCACACCAACACAATCCATTAATTATTATTCTTATCATTCCACCAATGCCGCATCGTTCAAGTGTGTCGGTTACACAAGCCCTTCGAACTCCACTGTGCAATTGTTCTTGCTGAATTCGCCATGGTGATCAGAAGACGGTATCCGGCTTGAGTTGCCATGGTTATTCTGTATTCTAGGAAGCAGTAATGGCGGCTGTTGTCGATCCTGCAACTGCAACAGCCTGCGTGTTTATCAGATCAGGTGTGCATTCCCCCTTTCTCCTACTTTTTTTTCGGGAAAGGCTGATCAAGGGTGCATCGTGCATCTTCTCTGTGTATTCTATGTATCTTTCCATCTGTTGTTGTTCTAAACAACGCTTTAAATGACGAGCCGATCTGATTATCAATCGACTTGAAACGGAAGGATTTAAACGAGATAATCCAAAATTCTTTATAAATAGCGCAAGCATCGAACAAAAGGCAGGCCTTATCATGTTTTCCAACTCATCCCCTGCCTACCGCCGTACCGCCTCGCCAAAACCGGTAAACCCCCCACTCTTTTTTCATGAGGTAATTAAAAAAAAGATCGGTAATCGGATTATACCTTCCCGAAGGGAGAGTTTACTTGCCGATAGAGATTTTTTTTGCGTAAGACTTGCCGATAGAGATGTACCGAGTAGATAAATTTTTCCACGGCGGGTTGTATCTCTTATCTGCCACCTTCTTCTCCTCTTTCTTTTCTTCTTCTTTTAAACTTATTTCATGAAATCTGTCCATGTGACGTAGGTTACCATTATCCTCACAACGCCTCACAATGTTATCCGCGATTCTGCCAATGTGCTCATGGACGAGGCACGTGTGCTGAACGATTGCGCACAACGACTCTATTGCAACGACACGGCTCGCCAAGGCTACCAAAAAGCGATCGACTTGATGCTCACCTGTCTCGAATGCGGCGGCAAAATTGTCGTGACAGGTGTCGGCAAATCCGGCAAGATTAGCGAAAAGATTGTTGCGACCATGCTGTCGACCGGTACTGCAGCCACGTTTTTACACCCTGTCGAGGCCATGCACGGCGATCTCGGCGCTGTCAACGAAAAGGACGTTGTGTTAGCTCTATCGTATTCTGGCAATACCGAGGAATTGATGCGCATTGTTCCCAGTTTGAACCATCGTGGCGTGCCTATCATTGGTCTGGGTGGTAACGCCAAGTCGCAACTCGCCAAAATCTCGGCAGCTTGGATCGATGGTTATGTTCATCGCGAAGCGTCGGAAATACCAGCACCAACGAGCTCGACCACCCTCGCTTTGGCTTTGGGCGATGCGATCGCGTTGACTTTGGCCAAACAACGCAAGTTTACGACACATGGGTTTGCGTTGAATCATCCCGGTGGATCGTTGGGTCGTCGATTGTTGCTCAAGGTCAAGGAATGTATGGTTCCCGCACAAAAGGTCGCGACTGTGCCAGCCAACGCATCGTTGGACGTCGTGATTATGGAAATGACCAGACATCCCAAGGGAGGAGGTGTGGTCGTGTTGCGCAATATCCCAGGCTCTTTGGCTGGTAATAACACTATTAACGAAGATATCGAACAAGAACTATCGCCACCGTCATCGGTTGCTTCGGATGATGCCACAACGATTGCCTCGACTAGCGAGGAAGACGAGGAAGGAAACAGTGCCATCCCGCCAACAGAGACTGGCCAAGTGATTGGTGTGATTACCCACAGCAACATCCATCGGATCCTCAAAACCGCAGCAAGAGAATCTGTGTTTGACATCCGTGCGTGCGACATCATGACGCCTGAGCCTGTTGTTTGCTCGGCAGATGAGTTGGCTACGGAGGCATTACGCATCATGGTCGACAAGAAACCGCAAGGAAAGGGGTTGCCATTGCTGCCGGTCATTGATGGCAAAGATAAACGCGGTGCTTATAGAGGTGTTGTCACCCTCAAAGATTTGCAAGAATTGTTTTAATTTGTTTTAATTTGTTTTCTCTCGTATACATTCCATCCCAACCCTCTTCTTCTCTCCCACATACTCAACATACACACACGATCTCCTCAACATCGCAAAGCTGCTGCCATGAAAAGCAGCAAGTCATTATATATACATACTACACTCATCTAAACCCCCATTATCAAGCGTTATCTCTCTCCTTCAAGCCCCCCACTCCCTTGTCTTTTCTTTTCTTTCACCACCGTTGTTATCTTTTTCATTCTTTCTTTTGCTTCTATACATCTGTTGATGGTATTATTCCCTTTCTAGCACACTATATATATTATATATTATACATATGTAACGTCTTTTTGTCTATCACTGCTTGAACTATTTATCCGTTCATCGAACTAGTAGTACATCTGTTGTTGTGTCACGTATCACATTCTTAGATAAGGTATAACAGAAGTATACACAATGCTCCTTTCAAAGTTTATCTTTCTTATCGAGGCATTAGATGTCGTACTACGTGCATGAAGAGAAAAGAAATTCCATCTTCTGCTTACACTGCCTGTGAAGCAAAACGGGAGATCCGGTCTGGTTTTCTGCATCTTCGGCTGCTCATACTATTCCCCATTCATCACGCGTATAATAATATTATTGCATCGTTTACTCATACATTCTTTAATACCTCGTGCCACGCCAACTCTTACCACGAAAAATAAGCTGACTGATGCAATTGGCAATCTGCATTGTATATGTGTATATGTGTATAGCATGACGTGCCACATTAAATTATTCATGGAGGTTACGCGACAGAGATAATGCGAGGATGATAACTAAAATGATAAAAGGGTCATTCTTCGCCTGTAAGCGCGAGGGAGAAGTAAAGCAAGCTCAAACGCCATTGACAAGGTGGAATCCGTTTACGAAAAACGAATGGTCAAGAGGAAAGTGGTACTTTTTGAAACCGGAGAATAGCGGGAAAAAAGGCATCCTACTTGCGTTATAAAATATCGTATAAGCCCTTTTTAAACCAAGCTTTGACAATGCGAATCCGCAGCAGTCAGTCAAGCTTGAAGTCAAGCGTGTCTCAATTGCTGCCGTTGGTGGTCATTTGTTTCAAACGGATCTTGCATCACAGAAAAGAAAAACACGGACGCAACCTCTTTTCTTTCTTTCAAGAACAATAGCAGAGTCCGTGCGTAGAGAGCACGGTGTCAAAGAGTTGCCACCGCTTTATATGCACTTGAAAGAGATCCTAAATCTCAAATAGTACATTTCACAAACAAAGTTCAAAAGTACTTCTTCACAAGGTCGATCAGTAAGCGAGAGATCTTTCTTTGTGAATTGGAAAGTCATTACCCAACGAAAGATTAACTTTTCGTTATAAAAATAATCAAACATAGAAAGCTTCTCTTGTTGATTATTATCTTTTTGTCATTTTCTTATTGTATTTTAAAGAGAAACCCTCTTTTCTAGGAAGTTCCAATAGAAAAAGAGGGGAAAAACTCCTGCTGTCTCTTTTTTCCAGGAAGACAACAAAACCTGATCGAAGACGCAGGTAGTGAATGGTCGCTACGCAATGAGAGACCTTCGCCATTCACTAGTGGCGCCCGTGCCGTGTGTGCCCACAACGTCAACTAAGCACAAAGATACTTCAAGGTTGTTGTATTACGTTGATGCAGCCCTAGGGCATGCTTCCAACAACCTTGCTACCGTTGAAGCATCTTTCGGGTTAAAACATCCACCTCGACTCGGCGGATAGCTTTCCAAGTCAAGGATTCACACAACACTTTGCGCTTCATAAAGTTTGTGTAAATGGAACTGAAGAAGAAAAAAAAATGGGAGGGATGGGGGGTTTTTTGGTATTCTTATTCAGACAATTTTTTGCCGTCACGCTCGGGTCTTCAATGAAATCCATCATTTTGATTGGCTCTCATTTGTAAGGCTCTGGTTGGCTCATTTTATGGACCGCTTATATCATATGACGCAACTTGGCACAAAAGCAAAGGGAAGGGGAAGGAGATGTGTAAGTGATTGTCGTCGTCAAGAAGTCAAATATGTTGGCAGCAGTGATCGGCATGTATCACCCTATGATACGCTATATATATGTTTCACCATGCCGATGTGCCCTCCGATACTGTCGCCGCTTGTTTTGGGAAGAAGTGTCAGTGCACGCACCCAGCCTCCGCGTCAAAGACAGGTACGTTTCGAATGCCAACTTGTTCAATGAGTACGCAAGAAAAAAAAAAGATGCGACTGAACAACTCAATTAGAAATGACAAGGAAGAAAGACAGAATGCCAACGACGATTAAGAACGACGGATGAGTGCTCGTGTGCGATCTGGGAAGCAGTAACTGCTAAATTGCCAAGGACTCGCATCATTTGCCCTGGCGGACCAGATATCTACAAGTGATAAAGTGGATTCTGTTCGACCCATGGAGTATTCTGTTGAAAGTTCGCTCGACCCACTTTTTTATAGGTTGCTGATTTGTTATGTATACGGTGGCGAAGGTGTGGCAAGCTCCTTTTGCGGAGCTAGCAAATCGGACGGACACTTTGTTATTGCGATTGGGTAATAGCGCTGTCAAACTAGATGACGAGGGCTGGTGATGTGCATTCTATCAGGACATTTCAATTCTACGATGTTTGATTCTCCTGTTAGACTTTGCACTGCATTCTCTTTTAGAACCGCCTCCTTTTTACACTTCTTGGGGCTTGGATGAATAAAATTTTTGAAAGTTAAAGCAGTGCAAACTGCTCGTTGTTGATACATCCTGTAGTTAATGGAAGTATTGCAATTAGACAATTGTCAAGAGCTCTACTATATAAAACATATTACCAAAGTTGTTGAATAAACTCTTCTCGTTCCAAATACACGAAGTTGTCTGTTCTCTCAAATTGTAGAACAAAACTGAATGCTTAATAAAAGGCAGCAGCCGATGGTTGCGACCGTATATCTACGCACTCATTATTCCCTGGATTGCGATCGCTTAATATGGTGCTCCGGCGTTCATGCTATATACGCTTTGATGTACTCTCGTTTAAAAGGAAGAGGTATTCTCACTTCTTTTACAGACTTTCAATTGAGGTCTTTCTTCATGTTATCCACGATGCAGAACATACAGTTGATTAGGTTCATTGACTGCAAGTAGTACAATTAACAAGCGGTCAGTGTGTAGAAATAGATATGTCAGTAAATATATTACCAGGCTTCCTTGCTTTACGCCGTTGCAAAGAGTAGTTCCTGACCATTCGTGCCGAAGCTTAAAAACAGTATGGTAAACTCGACGGAGCCCTGAAGAGCGCTAGTCGCCTATTGTGACGCTAGTGTTTTCTTCAAAAGAAACAACCTGAACGAAGCGGTCGAAACATTTGATGATTTGCTGGTTAACGTCATTATTATCCTCTTGGGGAGGTTGTAGAAATTTTTAAGCAGGCAATATGTCTCCCAATATATATAAGGCTTTTGAGCGCTCTAACATTTACTTTTACATGTCTTTGAATGACTGTAAATGCTGTTTAGGAAGCATCAAGATATTGCAAACGCATCTGAATGCGTCCATTTTATATTACATATGTGCTCTTCAAGCCCATTATCCGGTATAAAAAGTTGGTGGTTATGAATGGCAGAAAGGTCATGTCGTTGATTGAGGGTCCGTTCATTTGTAGCTGCTTACATTGATTGTTGTTAGCTATAAATTACGCAGCTTTGTAAAGGACCCTCCTTTAAAAGCGACAAATTAATACAACGTTACCTTCTTTTTTACCAGGAGCGCATATACAAATTCTCGACAACTGCACTTGAAGTGTAAATCGATGACGATTATGTTTTTATGCGTATGTCGGAACTGGTGCATCATACGGATTTAATGTAGAATTTGTCCAACAGCTTCCTAATAAGGGTGACACGGCTATCGCATATGCATGTCATCTGGGCAAGTCTGAGTAACTGCAAGCACTTGTGAGTGGAAAGACCGTTTCACGCAGTTGCTTTACAACAGAAGAATTCACACACCATTTTAAAGAAAAGCAGTTGAACAAGTCCAACAAATAGCGCCTTACGGTATTAATGTGTTGTTTAATAACTCGGGCGTATACGGTGGATGAGGACATGATATATTGAACAAGTGAGCTCAGCTTGGAATCTTTCAAGCTTTGCGTTTTTTCATTCTTACGCTCAAATATCATGTTATCATACCCGTTATCAAACTACGTTTAAGCTTTTCAAATTTACGTGGGCGGAAGGTTCAGCGTAACTCAAGCTCTGAGGCCGTTATCGCGCAAACGAATTACACATGTCATTGTCAACATAATATGTTCTATTCTTGCATCAATCATATTGAACAATGCTTCTGACAAGCCTCCGGTATGTATATACATACCTTTCTTTCGCGTCTTTATATGCTCCGCTGCTGCTAACACAGGAATCACAAAGAGACCAAATAAATTATCTTACAATCGATTTTTGAAAAAAAAAGACTTCTATGCAACTGCTGTAAGTTTTTATGCTTATCTTTAAAGAAATTCTCACGGCTCTATGAGCTTATATATTGTACTAAGCACATATCGTTAAATGACGAGCTTTCGTACCGGATTTTCAAGACAGCAAAGAACATGCTCATCAAGGATTTTGCCAGCTTCTTAGGCGACGAGGATTGTGTGGTTCCTGTCATAGACCGCGGATGCGTACAAACAGACATGGGTGGTGGCCAGGCACCAGTTACTCCAGAGCAAGCCATCAGTGGAGTGACTAAAGTGATCGATAAGCACTTCAAGGACACGGAGCCTCTGTATACATGTATCGTTATATTGGCGCCTGCATATGCAGGGGCGTGTATATCTCATATGTTCTGCTCACTAAAACGACGTATTTACAAAGCAGTGCCGTCCTACGTATCACGTCGGAATCGAAGCTTGGTATCGCCGATAAAAGCGAATCCGTGGCTCATTTTTGGATATAAAGGTCGTAGCTTTTTTCTTCCCTTGTTTCCCATCGTCGTCGCCCTCGTCGTTCTCGACATTTCATCCTCAATGCGATATCACGTCCTTGGTACTGGTGCTATCGGCTGACACTTTGCAGTAGATCTTCGTTCTCAACACGATGTCACTCTTTGCAGGATTCCTTAGCCGTCAAAACGAGATAACGTATCGACGTGTCAACCAACCTGACGAAACCGTGAGAAATAGTGGATTCGATGCCATGGTAGCCGGAGACACTTCATACAACACCCATATCGATGCTGTCATTGTCACCACTAAGACCCAGCATGCAACAGAAGCTGTACGATCCATCAAACCACACCTATCACGATCCAGCACCTTGGTTTTATTCCAGAATGGCATGGGTGTTGTCGACGAGTTGCTCGAAAAACTATGGCCTGGCTCTGATCGACAAGAGGCACCCGCAATCGTAATTAGTGTTATAGATGTTTCAATATGCGGCTCCGCTTGCTGTGCTCTGTTCCGATCCGATCATTGTCTGCGACGGCTCTGTGCGCTTTAGTGGAACAAAGAACCGGCGATATAAAAAGAGTTATTTTTTTTGGGAATTACTACGCGCACGACAAAAATTGACCTCGCGCACGACAAAAATTGACCTCGCGCACGACATTTTTTTTGGTAGTAGTCCGCAGTTGTCGTGCGCACCGTCTCTCGCACAGTTTGAAAGACCCGCGCACGACAAATCTGATCTCGCGCAACGACAATTTTTTTTGGCAGTTGTCGTGCGCACGGTCTCTCGCACAGTTTGAAAGACCCTGCGCACGACAGAACTATGATGATATATGCCGAGTAACTGGAACGTTAACATACCGTGTATCCAAATGGCAAGCAAACAACTTTGTGCCAACATAAGTATTATAATATAGTGAAGCACAAGCGAGACGATTTCTTAGTCAACACAAAAAGACGTAGCCAAGACCATAGAAAAGTGGGTAGACGGTGCACCAAGTGTTTTCACCAATTTAATATCAATGACGATGGTATTGGCTGCAAAGACACATCCTGTGTTTCGTGTTCCAAAACTTGCCAGAACTAGGGCTGTCATGTAATTCTATTCAAATAAAATTATTTTTGACGGTCAGTGTAATATTCGACGTATATATAACGAAAGATGATAATAATGTGTCAACCAAATTGTTGAATATTTGGAGGGCGAAGAACAAGAACAATTAAATCCGGAGACAAGGCACAAGAGCTTAAATATGAGACAAGAAGAACATAAATCGTCGAGTACGTTGAGGTAAACGACAACTGCCAAAAAAATTGTCGTTGCGCGAGATCAGATTTTGTCGTGCGCGGGTCTTTCAGGCTGTGCAAGAGACGGTGCGCACGACAACTGCGGAATACTAAACTACCAAAAAAATGTCGTGCGCGAGGTCAATTTTTGGCGTGCGCGTAGTAATTCCCTTTTTCTTTATTTACCGTTGGACAAACTGTGTGTTAAGCTGAAGCACCACAGCAGCTTGTACGTATCGTTATTACTAATGATACCTCAACGGATGCAGCCTGTGGTCGTCAATTTAATGAGTAAAAGATCCTTTAATCAATATCCGGTAGAATTGGATATCCTGGAAATAAAAAACTAATAAGGAACCGGCGAGTGTGAATATGCTGAGAAGCATTTGTACAACAGCAGCCAACTTATGAGGTGAACGGATTGCTGATGTTACTGCTGGCTCAGCTACAGACCCGATTATTCTTGTGCATGCCCTCGTCAAAAACGATGATCGCGTCAAATAGCACAATAATAGCTCCTTTTATTGACAAGGAAATGTATATTAACATAATTGTCTAAGCCGTAGGCTATAGACAGACAGTATGTCTAAATCGTAAAATACATTTTTTAAATAACCCGCTTTGGCTGACCGGGAGTGAGCCAGCAGACCTTGTCCATCATGCCTTCTTTCTCAAAGATCTTGTGCAGCTCGCCGCTGTGTTCTGTGAAATGCTTCCACGATTCAAAATGGATCGGCACCATGATATCCGCATCGAGTTCGCGTACAAGTTTGGCGGCATCTTCTCCACCCATTGTGATTTCAAGAGGTCCCTCGACGCCAGGGAAGGCGGGCATAGTTGCTAAACCAAGGTGAACGATGGCGACGGATACATGGTACTTGTCACGAATAGAAACCAGTTCATCCAAATAGACGGTATCACCAGAAATGTATATCACGTTCGGCTTGCCATCGGTAGTGCCAAAGTTGGAAGACTCCAAGATGAAACCTGTGCATTCGCCGCCAGGTAGATGCTTGCAGGGTGTACCGGTTACTGTGAACGACTTGCCACCAATGTTGAGCGACAACTGTTCCCAGGGTCGGATGCCTTGGACACCGGGTCTGGGCTGCAGGTTTTTGGCGCCATCCATGGTAGTAATTACCTTACGACCGTCCAAAAGCTGGCGACCAGAATCGTCAAGGTTGTCCACATGGTCTTCATGGCTTAAAAGAACGGCATCGAATGGCGGAAGTTCGTTGAGCTTCAAAGCAGGTCCGTTTATGCTCGAGGCGACAAAAGGACCGAATTTCTCCTTAGCAGCATCATCCGGGAGAAGGAAACTGAGGTCGTAATCTGCAGGAGCATCATTGAAAACCGGATCAGTCAGAAGAGTGACGCCATCGATTTCAATAAGGGTGGTGGCGGTCCCAATATGGGTCATGGTTAGTTGACTCTTGAAGCTGGGCATGGTTGTCAGTTGCGTATAGCTGATAAATAAAAGCAGAGAAGAGATACCCTTATTTTCTAGTGATGTTTATTAGCAATGATCCGAGCAAAAAGAAAGTAGTTGAAGCTGATGATACTTCCGATTTTTATACGAAAAAGACACTTACATACTAAAGGATTTCTCGCTTTTTGTTTGTTGCTTTTTTTCTTTGTTAGGAACAAACAATCTTTAATAGAGTTTGTTCAAAACAACAGCACGTCAGTTAGTAAGCGCTCTGACTTTATTTTATTTTGTGCTCTCGCGTTTCCATTAGCAATTTCCATAAACCAAAATTACTGATAATTGTTCGAAGTGCTTTGTATTCCCATGTTTTATAACAATAATTTCCATACGCCAAAGTCACCGATCAGTTCAAGTGTGTATCAGTAATAGTCTTGAATGCTACATTTCACAAAACAAGTTACTATCAGTTATAGCGAGCATGATGGCAAATGCTACACGGAGCCAAAAATCTGTGATCCGTTAGCAGCCCGTATGTAGGCCAGTTGGATCAAGCGCACATGCAACGATATGGTACGCAAATTTCTTTCAAGTACACCGCGCTCGATGCGCGATTCCGAGCCCCGGCTTCACACAGTATACACAGTTACTGAATGTGTTACTCATTGTCTAAACCTTATCTTATATTGTATCGTGAGAGCCAAATGGCTGGTTACAAATTTAAATTTTCTGATATCATCCATGCGGTCGCTTGCAATAGCGTTTTATATGCTATGTTTAATACCTTAACAGAAATATGGCTTGAAATCATGAAAGTAACAGTCAACGAGCTATTACATTAATGCAAGTTGAAGCATAGCAATATCATTGATCCGTCATCCAGAGAGACCTATAATAATAGTTTAATAATAAACACTTACAAGAATTGTTTTCTTTGTTTTCGCTGATTCTATGTTTGGTTTTCGATGTCGGAACATATATTCCATGTGTTTTTGATCAGCTACATGCTCAGTTTGGTACATAGTTTACGGAGATTACTAAGCAATCGGTAAGCATTGAGTAAGCACTGAGTAAGCATTTCGGGGATATCGGCTGCATTTTTCTACCCTCGCGTATTTCCACATTTACTAGCATGGTTTTACTAGCCCGAGCTTTTTTTTACAGCGCAATGTCGCGATTCATATGATATTGCATGCTTATTATAATTAAACTAATAAAGTATATGATGAGTTTTTTATAACTCGGGGCAATAGAAAGAAAAAGCTAGAGGAGGATACTCATGAGATAATTATGCGAATATAAGAAGTATGACTACCCATACAATAATCTGTAGGAGAGCATAAATAAGGCTCACTTTAACATTGTATAGATACGCAAGAATGTATGAATGATAAATTTTACAGCTTCTATCAGAAAGCTGATCTGTATTAGTAGAGATCCTGTCAAACCAGGACAGAAGTGGACCTCCAGATTTTCCATTTGACAAATAGCAGAGGGAATAGGCTTATAATACAATTCCTGTTGCTTCGCCGTAATAAAATATTCCATCGATCGCCCAAACTCCTGACCTCAAGCTGAACCAAATCGATTTGAGCGCCGCGAGTTTGGACGACTCATCACAATAGAGATATGCAGCATCTTGACAGGTCGTAATAGATTACCCTTTTTCTTTGGTCATGAGCCACAGTGTCGTCATCGACAATCAGTGTCCTTCATACATCAGTATATTCACAAGTGTGTTTCGCCAATATGACAGATGTCCAAGTATCGTGTCGCATTTTGATGAAGCTCACAATGTATCAAGCAATGAAATTGATAGTGGTAGTTGTGCTGTTAGCAAATCGCGTCTTTATACTTTTTACTACTCTAGAAAGGTTGTCTTATCGCTGATGAATTCCATAAGATGGTTTGTAATGCGGCCGCTCGCTTGACTTTGCATTTGTAATTACTTGGCAGGACACCTGTTCAATTTTTAGATTGATCTAATTTTTTTTTCTCAAAACTAACAACCAACCATATCGACGGTGCACAACAAATGGATTGCAAAACACGGATGATGTTTCATCAGAAGACGAGGGACTTAAAGGAAAAATTTTCTAGATTGAAAAACTGTGGTGGTCAAGTAAACCACCAAAATAGCTTTTATTGTTACTGTCATTATGGAGTGCACACGTTAGATGCGTAAGTAGTAGTGAGCGCCCATCCTTTCCTTATTGCAATTTCCGTTAGCAATACACCTTGATCAAATATTATTTTCATTGACACTAGCTAGCAAAGTTATATACTATCAAAGATATGCAGCGATCCTGTCTGGTTCGTGCTTCCCTCGTAGTACCTCTCGTATCCTATTTATGCATGATGACTGTCCGTTAACGATACTAGTAGGAGGACAGCAGATACAACATAAATGTAGTATGCTATGAGCTCCTGGCTTCAAGTCCTCTTTACTTACACTTCATTACTGTGTCAATTCAGTAATGGTATCTTATTTTACAATGTTCATAATTGGCAAATCTTTGGGTAGCAAGAAACTGAGCTAAATTCGATAGGGCCCTAAATTGTTGAGCATCATTCTAATGGCTCCGTGCTTTTCATACGATCTTCCAGCTTACTCATAGTTGATTTCGTCTTTTCCATCTTGAGAAACTTAGCATCAACTTACAGAAAGAAAGAGAGTAAAACATATCAATGCAAAACGGCGCTTTGAAATCCCGAAATGCTTTAAGATACTTACCAATCGCTTAGTAATCTTTAGCAATCTACCTTGCGGCATGTTGATAAGTATAAGTCAGAAACACATAAAAAGGGTCGAGTATTTGTTCTTGATATCGCAAACAAGCAAAAAAACAAACAAACGAAAACTAAAGCAAATATCGTTTTTGTAAGTATCTATTATCGAGACCTTGGTGGAAGCTGCCTATATTCTCAAAATTCTTTTTCTAACGATTATTGTTTTGCTTCAATTTGCATAATTGTATCAACACCAGCACGTCTGCTCCCATACTTGTACTACCTATCAAAAAACAATATGCCCAGTTTCAAGAGTCAACTAACCATGACCCATATCGGGACCGCCACTGCCCTTCTTGAAATCGATGGCGTCACTCTTCTGACTGATCCGGTTTTCGATGATGCTCCTGCAGATTACGACACTAGTTCCCTTCTCCCCGTGGATGATGCTGCTAAGGAGAAATTCGGTCCTTTTGTCGCCTCGAGCATAAACGGACCTGCCTTGAAGCTCAACGAACTTCCTCCATTCGATGCCGTTCTTTTAAGCCATGAAGACCATGTGGACAACCTTGACGATTCTGGTCGCCAGCTTTTGGACGGTCGTAAGGTAATTACTACCATGGATGGCGCCAAAAACCTGCAGCCCAGACCCGGTGTCCAAGGCATCCGACCCTGGGAACAGTTGTCGCTCAACATTGGTGGCAAGTCGTTCACAGTAACCGGTACACCCTGCAAGCATCTACCTGGCGGCGAATGCACAGGTTTCATCTTGGAGTCTTCCAACTTTGGCACTACCGATGGCAAGCCGAACGTGATATACATTTCTGGTGATACCGTCTATTTGGATGAACTGGTTTCTATTCGTGACAAGTACCATGTATCCGTCGCCATCGTTCACCTTGGTTTAGCAACTATGCCCGCCTTCCCTGGCGTCGAGGGACCTCTTGAAATCACAATGGGTGGAGAAGATGCCGCCAAACTTGTACGCGAACTCGATGCGGATATCATGGTGCCGATCCATTTTGAATCGTGGAAGCATTTCACAGAACACAGCGGCGAGCTGCACAAGATCTTTGAAAAAGAAGGCATAATGGACAAGGTCTGCTGGCTCACTCCCGGTCAGCCAAAGCGGGTTATTTAAAAAAATTAGATATAGACATTGACGCATTATATATAAGACCTGTTGTATGACTTAGATGACCTTCTCTTCCTTAATATAATGAAACTTTATATGGCACTATTATCCGCCCCAAGCAGTAAGCCTTAGCGCAGCTGTAATATTAGTCGAATGTTGCCTCCACAAGCTAAGAAAATAGTTAGAGCAATGATAAAGTTGGTCATTCTATGTGGGGCATGAAAATTGTAGCAAACATAGAGACAATTTTTTGGTTCCAACCGGTGCCTGACAATTACGCCGGCGTCAACATGTACTTGTTTGAAAGAGCACGCATCGGCGGGAGTGGGTCAATGAAAAGATCCTACCTTCCTGGAAAGGCACCGAAGCCGCGAACAGCTCAGGAGGAAAAAGCAAGGCTCGAACGTCAAAGACAAATCACTGAGAAAAAGATTGACAAAAACGTTTCGAAAGGTACAACGATCTCCTGACAACATGTCAACTACTCGGTATCGACCTTGCTGTTGCACAATCGCTTATTTCATTGACATACTCACGTTTAGTTGATGCATCCCCTTCAGGCAACCTAAAATCGAGGATCTTTAAATCCTGCATGTTCTATGGACCATATGCATATATTTTCCGCACGCTGTGTATATACCTAGAGATGTGGAAAAATTATGTATTACTCTATTTCTGTCATAATAGAAGACGAACGTTGAAGTTACCAAGAGGCTAAACTGCAGAAATTCCAATGTATGACATCGCCAAACTTACTGGTCTTCTATGTAGCTCAGTAAAATATTTTTTTTTGTATGAAAATGGTATAACTTATTGAGGATTTCGAGCCTCAAACTTTTGGGTAGAAGGAACATGAGATGGAGGGTAGCTCAGTAAAATAAGCAGGACATGGAACATGGCAAGTCCATATGTAGTAGTGTAGTTTCTATCCTGTAAGTATTCAATATAAACATGCCCCTTCCTACCTTTGTTACAGCTCTCTCTTTAAAAAACCAGAAAAGAAATTGCTTTACCGCTGTCGTAATAGCTAAAAAGAGCCTGGTTATGAGCAAATTGTGGCGAATGACACCAAGGATGATTCCAGTATAATCACCCCTTTTTTTCTTGGTTTAAATTAGAAAACAGCTCCTCTTCTGCCTTGAACACCTTTGTCCTCTGACATAAAATAATGTACTTCTGGTGACTGCAGTACATTTGATATAATAAGCTCGTTTTTTGCAAATACAAAGAAACGTGTTTTTAACTATTAAATTGAAATTCGAGAAAACTAGAAAAGGAGGAAGGTTTACTTTCGTTGTAATTTGTAAATGCGAAAAAAAGGCTTGAATTTAAATGAGACGCAGATAACTTTTGAAGAAAATCCAGTTGTTGCTGCAAAGTTTACTCAAGAAATGATCTATACTATATAGTAACCATATCATCTCCTATTATAAACCTGCGAGAAGATGTTCGTGTTCTCGTGTGCTGTCAAAAAGGAGAAAGACCCTACTATTAGATTAGCCCTTTTTCACCGAATTTGAGAGTTGAATATGAATGCCCCGTTCATAGCAGAAAAGACAAGTTGTTTGAGACAGACGGCAAGCGTTTAGTATTCTTGTTGGAAGGAATAAATGGTATTCACTGATCACATGCATGGTTTTTTTACTATTAATCTTTTAAGTATCCGTACGTTTCATGTTGTGATCCACTTCGTACTGAACTTGATCCCGTGAAGAGCTCAGTACTTGATGCAACCGCAATACCAGAATAATTTTGCTATTTCCTTCCTGACCTATGAATTCTTGTGGAGCTGGAAGACCTCGCGCAATTTCTACAAGAATGATGGTCAGAGTTGGGTTTTTTCTTTTATATATATCCACGATCGAGAAAAATATTACCATCAAATGCTTGTAAGATCTTTGGACCAAAATGCGGATATGCTTTTGCTAAATGAACGAATCCAGGGATCGCTTGGACCAAGTATTCGGATGGGGTGCATGTGGGTGAAGGAGGAACAGCTGGAAATGCGATCTTTAATAAGCGTGGTAGAACATGATGTTCGGCTGTTTTCAAGCTAACAATGACAGTGGGAAACAAAAACAAATCAGCTTTATCCGTTCTATCATTTCGGCTAGTAACTCGTTTTTACATGAAAAAAAAAGGCCAAACTAAGAAACTTACTAATTCTCCAGAGGATATTTTTCGCATAAATGACATGCAAGAAGGATTGCAAATACTTGTTTTTCAGGTTGTGGTTGTCGTAACAGCTCAGGAATGAAATTGAATACAGCGTCTTTTGGCAAGATTTAAGTTTTTGGAACGTGTATAACAAATAGCGCTGACCCATTTAGTTACTTACATAAGGAGGGAATGAATTCGACGACCACCGGCAAGAGTTCGACAGCATACGTTTGGAAATGAAGTATTTTGGCCAGAAGCATTTCACGGTCGCCATCGATGAACAGGCCGTGTACAAATTGACAAACGAGACGTTGGGCGACCTTTAACGTTTCTTTTGGAATATGGTTTGTTTTGTATAAGCATTAAGTTTTTGGGATCATTCAACTTTCTATGGCTTACACTTACCAGGTGATTTTTTATCGGCTTCAGTTGGCATGCAACACTCCAAGAGGGATTGTATCATGGCACTATCTTGTCCGTTGATAAGTGCCATCACATTACGAGTGTTCATCTGTGACTATTGCATTGTAAGTTTGCAATAAATATATATATCAATACACTTTATCATGGCCAAAATTCATCATTTCGTACAGATCCTCCTGCTGATATCACATACATTTCTTTGGGTATGAAATCGTTTCCAAACACGATGTTTCGAACATATCCGTACACAGCCTAAATACTAGTCCAAATAAAAGCGAGAAGACAATACGCTTCATTAGTTTTCTTGGATTTACAAGCACAAGAACGCTGCTCGAGTTCCAAAAGGATTCTTACGTGTAGCCACACCGGAAGAAGCGTTTCTGATCGAAATACGCGCTTGTCACAATTGAATAACGATAGTGGGTCTCTGATTACTGAATCGAAAGTGTATTTTCTATTAAATATATAGATGCAAAATGAAGTATGAGTCTCTTTCTTAATGTACGAGTCATATACAAACAATAAACAACAACAGAAAATGATATTGAAGTTGTAGCATTTCACTTACATCGTTATAGAGTCGTCTCGTAAAGCATTGGCAGTCATGACCCAGAGTTCATGGGGTATCACGAGATTCAAAGACTCCCATGTGGATACTAGTGCTTCGGCCACATCCTGATCCATCTCCCTTGTTTTAATCGTTAACTTTTTTTTTCGCTCCCACTTGCTGTTTTCAATAAATGAATATAAACACAAAAACTAACTTGTCAAGACACGGCTTTAAAAGCTGTGATATGCAAATATCTGCGTATGGTAACACCTGTACATTTTCCATGTTTTTCACATAGGAGAGCACTAAGCTGCAATGGTCAATTTAAAAAAATTGTTTTCATGGAATAGAATCAAGTTGAATCCTTTAAATTGTGTTCTTAATTACCTGATATTACTTTACTTGGGTTCTGTCGACGTTGTGAAAGAATGGACGCTACTTTATCAAGTGACATTTGAGCAGGAGACCATCGTCTAATCAAGATATAGGGTATCAGTCCAAGATTTCTTCAGAGCACTAAGGATGATTGCCCTAACACTGCTTTTTTTTTCTTACCTGTGAGATACAATGGAGTCTTGCTTTCCTTCTTGTAATAATAAACTTGTCACATCAAATAATTCTGGATAAAGATTTGCAGCGGAAGCAATGAAATCTCTATAGATCCCTCGGTATGCAGATCCTCCTTTATAATGTTCGATATGGTTCAGCACCAGTCGTATTGGTATCCGACCGACAAATGAGGCCGAATATTCTATATATATATATAATCATTAGCACTTTATACATACACGCATAAAACGAAACTACACAATAAACTTTGTTTTGTTTCCCTTCCTCTCTCTCTCTCTCTGTATGTGTGTGCTCTATTATATACCTTGCTGTTCAAAGTGCGCTGTAACTATAAGTTTCTGATCTGTCTTGAACGAAATGATCGTGTCGTGAAACTTTAATATATACAGTGTCAAGAGAACTTGAGGTGTCGTTATTTCGCTCGTGTTTTCGAAATATGGCAGTAGCACCTCTTCAGGGATTTTCTGAATTCGTTCGACTAGAAACACACTGAATTTATCAATGTCAATGAGAGTGCGAACACACACACACACAAAATTATGATAACGTCGTGTAATGTTTGTGTGTACCTGTGAACGAACTCTTTGATTGCAAGTCCAAACACGGCAGGAATAGGAAGTGAAGCATTATCAATGCAATGCATTAACCATTGCGAATAGTCGACGTTGCCATAGAATATTCGTCCGCGTAAAAGTTGATAAAAAGATTCTAATGTGAATGATTTTTTACTGCTGAACGCGTCCATGGATTCACGAAAAACGAAATAGAAGAAAAGCAAAAAGCCGAAAAGTAAAAGTGCGGTGAATAGAACGCTGGTCAAGTAAAAGAAAATACATACTCCTCCTTCTCTCATCTCAAAACTATCTCTGATAATAATGAAACGAACATTTGATAATGACAGTGACGAAGCAAGGGAACAACGGCAGATAAAAAGCATTCGTACCATTGATAGCATCCAAGCAGTAACGACGACGATGGCGCCAGTCAATGACTGCAATGCCGTTGTTTACGAGACAACCGCCTCCATAATCGAGCTATTAACGAAGCGCGCGACAGCGCACGAGAAACTCGGTCGAGTCAATGATGCTTTAGACGATGCACACTTGATAATCGTTCAATCGCCAACACGTGCACAAGGCTATCTTTTAGCTGGCAATGTGTACTCAAATCAAGGTCGAGAGCGACAAGCTGTACAAATATTACAGACAGGGCTCCAGCAAGTAGTAGCTTCTTCCGAACGACAACAACTTGAATTTCTATTGGCACGGTCAAAACATCGACTTGAACAACGTATCGATTTCGTTTCATTACTACCAGCCGAGATAACGTCCATGATCTGGGTATGGTTAGGGATCAACGAAAGCCTGGTGGAAGCGATGCTCGTATCAAAAACATGGCGGGCTGCTATACTCCAGTCACATCATGTGTGGCGGACGATCCGGACCCATTCCGTTGTTGAGATAGATACGGCTATTGCAACGGTCATGCCAGTTGTTGGCGAACATGTACAGCATCTCAGATTACAAAACGTACGACGCTATTACGATTCACCCCATCTTACGTACTTCAACTACATGATCCAAGGCACTTTTTGTAATCTAAAATCATTGTTATTGGATGGTAAGAAAATAGCCTTTTACATTTTCCATGTGTCCATGTATGTTGATAGATAGATAACCCTTTTTTTTTTCACCCCAAATAATGATTAGCACGTGTGGATGCCAATCTGTTATCAATGGCACTGAGCAAGGTGAAACATACGTTGACGAAATTGGAAATCGTCTACGACATGTTGTTAAAAGAGGAAGCAATGGAGGAAAATGCCATTTTACCGCTGCCGGACGTCCTGGACATCTGTCCAAACCTACTTGAACTGAAATACGTGATGAATGGACAGATGGGACTGACGAGAAAAGAAAGAACGATACCAACGGTTGCTGCGGCGGATATACGGAGGAGCAATAATAATAACAATGAGGAGGAGGATGCTATTCCATGTGCAATCAGACGACTGGATATTTTCCAACACTTGGTGTTGGATGACGAAGAGATAATCACAGTGAATCAACTTCACCGGATAACGCGCCGATGTCGACACTTGCGTTTGATCACTTTACGAAACTTCAACATGGCTTATCTGGATATGTTGGAACGCGACTGTCCTGACTTGCGACATGTTCATTTTATCAATCACGAGACGGACGTCCCCGACAATGTTCGTTTGTTGGATCGTGATGGCGACCATGGCGGACTGCAGACATTGTCCATTTTGAGCGATCCTGTCCGAGTACCGACACTTTGGCCCTATCTGTTTAAGCAGGGCAAAACACTTGAATCTGTGTCTCTGTTTATGGATGCGTCAGCGGTAACAGGCTCGAATATGCAGAGCCATGGCGATGGTTCTTTACCGGCTGATCGAGTGCCCACACTCGGCGAACAAGTGCTTCCAGCATTGAAAAAGCTGGTACTATTACAACATGCGGACGACACTACGAACGAAGAATACACGACAAGTCTTATCCAACGGTGTCCTATGTTGGAAACGTTTTCGATGTTTGGCGGCAGACTCTACAAAAGCTGTTTCCGCGCTTTACGCCAAGCATCGCAATTAAAATCACTTGCACTCCAGGCCACTTCGATTGAATCAGGAGGGCTACAAGCGTTCTTGTGTCATTATCAACAACAACAACAGGATTCGTGCTCATCGTCACTCGGGCTACAACAATTCCGGGCCTATTTTGTGCCTGTCAAGGAACTGTGTCTTGATGCGCTGGCCGACATTAAAACTTTGGAAAGAATTCGGATTAATTGCTACTTGACTGACGATAGAGCCTATCAAAAGCAAGTCTACTGGGATCCGTTTATGGTCAAGCTCAGAGACCATCCCTCGTTACAAGCGCTTGAACTGGACGCAATAGAATTTGTCTCCGACAAGGATTTGATCGCCTTGGCCGAAATCAGTTCTTTAAAACGCATCATGTTACAAAGGTTGTCCCTGATTACGGACCAAGGATTAAAGGCCATGATTGAAAAAGTGTCTGGTAATCATCTCAAATGCGTTCAAGTCTTTGAGTGTATCAATATCTCGAAAGAAGCTGTGGAGTATGCACGTAAAGCATGTGTGAAACGCGGAGGACATTTGAGTAGTTGCGTGTTGCAAGCATGCTGCATGCAACATTAGCATTTGTAGATAACAGTTATCAAGAACTCTTTCAGATTGTAAATAAATTCCTCAATAGAGTGTGATTGGGGAAACACGCACATAGCATAATGGCATCTTGTGGTAAAATCATATGCTAAGATTTGGAGGAGGAAAGTGTTCTTGTTTGCCATGCAACGCGATGGATAGATCTATTGAAAAAGATACATTAATTCTAGTCCATCTTTTACAACATGTGCTGCTTGGAGATTCATATGCTTGCACAAGATCTATCTTTTGCTCTTCTCTATCTAGCTATCTACAGATAATAAAATGGTGTGATCGGCTTTCGTCAAAGTTTTATACTTTGCTGTCGCACAAAAAAAGAAGGTACAAGGTTGCTTACAGTAACACACGGCGGGCAATGTGTGTGTTTGCTAATGACTGTTGTTGTATGTGCTGCTACAGTGATAGTAACGTCAGTTCATCACTTATATACTATCAGAGTACTACTGCTGTTTAATCAATGCCAATAATTTCTATCTATCCACTTTCAAAAATACAATCGAAAATGGATGGTGTATCCCTCAGCCATCTCTATGACCACAATGGGTGTAGTAGAACACGTTGCCGAAAATTGTGCCGTGATTCCGGTTGCCAAAATAAAAGCGTGGTGATCCAAGAGCTTCTTTTCTCACGATGGACATATAAAGGATCCTTCCAATGATTACAGAATTCCGAGATGGCCGTTCTATGTAGGTGTGTGTATTGTTCTTCTATTCTTTATTCTTATTATTTTTTCTTAAAGGCAACCCTATTTGGGTCTCTATTACTTATAACGTCAGCTTGATAACGTAGTACCACGTCGTTTGCATCAGCTGAACCAGTGTTCCATTTTATATTTTCCGCGGGAAAATTGGGGAGATATCAGAGAATCATCATGGACCAAGAAAAGGGAAAATCCGCGCAAGTATAACGCACGTACACGCAGCATAATCGTAATAGCCACGTTTTTATTTTGCATGAAGCAATGATAAGCTAGGATTCGCACGCAAATGCCACATGACTTTTATCTCATGGAACATGTTGGACAGGGCGGATCACTACCAATATGGTAAATAACCCCCTTTCCCCCCTTATTTTAGCGAGGCGTAAATATTGACAAGGAAGGACCTTTTGTTGTTGTTGTTGCAAGAGAATAGATTGTTTGTTATTAAAAGAGCTGCAGGAGGGGACACCACCATCTTCTTCTTCTTGGGTAATATAAGGCGGCTTATTATTGTGTCATATGATGTGAACTAACCAAAGAGGTTTTAAGGCCGCAGATCATCAGGTGTTCTTTTTTTTTATTGGCTAATCAAGTGTGCTTTCTCCCCCACCTACCTACCCTAATCCGTTTGACAGAGCGCAGGATATAATATGTGCTTTAATTGTTCGCGAGAAAGCGAGAGAAAGAGAGAGCGTGCGGAACACTGCAGAAAAAAAAAATCAGGCCTCAACCTTGTTTAAAGAAGATCACGTCAGCGTGAGTTTTAATGTCGGCATATGTAACATGTATATTGATCTTCTTCCTGCCGACTATCCGATCCACAGTGCAGTGCCTCTCCTCATGCAGATCCATGCATTGCTATAAATCCTTCTTCTTTAAAGAAAAATCATGCCCGCGGAACACAACAGCAAGAAAGCAGTTGAAATTTAAAAAAAAATAATGCACAGGCAGCTGTTTTTCTCTCTTTATTTGTTGATGATTTGCCCTTTTGAATGCAGTAGATGAACAAAAGACTATGTACTCGTAGTAGTAGTGTGTATATGTGGATGCAAGGTCCTTTCTGAATTCCTAAACGATTAAGCGAGGTTATTATTATTTGTTTTTTTGTTGTCTAAGCGCCATATTAAAGAAAATTTTTTGTTTGTGTGTGTGTGTGTGTGTCCCTGTTGTGATACCTTTCATCAACGCAACAAACAGCGGATGTGTATCCTTGGAAACCAGCCATGTTTCGAGTTTTACCCAGTGTTTCCCGGACAACCAGCCCGGGAGCTACGGATGGATCCGTAGTGGGGGGCTATTGTGGAAAGTTTCCGCAACCTTCCAAAAGATTATTGGTAAAAAAGGCAACACACTAGACACAGACAACACCGGGAAATTCCGTTGCTTTGTCAATCAATGCTCCCTATTAGGTAGAAAAAAAAAAAAAAGAGGGAATCGGAGCCTTTCCAATTCATTTATTTTTTTTTTCATGTCAGCCCAGATGCGGTTGTGCGTTGCAGGAGAAACAAAGCTCGTGGTTTTTGCCAAAAGTCAAATAAGCAAAAGAGGGCTGTCATACAAACCTCGCACATGCACTGGAAAAATGATTTGTTATTTTTTCGATTTATTGTTACAAAGATCGCAACACATGTCGGAACAAAAATGCGCCGGCGCGATCATGCGCGGCTGACCAAGCAGCAGGGTCTGTCTGATTTCCTACCGTTCTGCTCTTTGGGAACCTCTCAACTGCTCTCCCGCCCCCATCCAAACTCGATCCCAAATCCTTATCTAGTATAACATTACATACATACATCTCGTATGAAAAAGGATCTGATGTGAAAAAAACAAAAACAAAAGAATGCATCTTATCAGGCACTACAATAGGGGGGGGGAGGGGTGGAAAGGGTACACAGCAACTCCGTATTTGGGTTTGGATAAAAAATATTTTTTTTTGAGCAGGCAGCGGCTAAAGACAATTCCGAGCCCATCAACAAAGCCAAATATGGGGGTGGGGGGGGGGGGGCGGCTATTGAGTGGGTTATATAAAATCAGACTTTCTCCCGGAACTCACCTTGACCACTTTTTTCCTCCTTTAAAAACCCTGTTCCTCCCATTCCTCCATTGTGACAACAGCCAAAAGCAACTCCACACTTTTTTGTTTTTGCAACAACACACACACTTGCGCACCACACACCATACTGTACACTCTGCATACATAAATAATAATAAAAAAAGAAAACGAAACTAGTTTTTGTCGTCATGCACGGATCAGGCTTTGCAATCAACTTGGAAACAGACCATGTCATTCTTCATGGCTCAGAAGACGAATCAGTCGGCGTCATTCTACGTGGATCCGTTGTGCTTGACTGCCACGAGCACACAAAGATCAAGTCTGTTGTGTTAAAGTTCCAGGGAAAGTCCAAGGTCAATTGGACTGAAGGTAAATTAGAGTGCATGAGATAAATGAAGTGTGAGTGGGGGGGGGAGTCCATCTCAAAGACTTGACGTAAAAGACAAACTCTACCGATAGGACATGGATCACATCAGCGTCATTACAAGGAGGAGAAGGTCATCATTGAACACGCGTGGAGCTTCATGCCTCACAAGCGCAAGGCATACCATCTTGGTGAAGGCCTCTATAAATGGTAAAGCTAGAAGAACATGACAGAAAATTTTATCAACCAGCCTGGGGATCAGCAAATGGGAAGCAAAAAGAAGTGTGAGAGAGCGGACAATTAACTCCCTGCCTATCTTTTTTCTTTAGGGATTTCGAGCTTCCTCTACCCGGCGATCTTCCTAGCACAATCCAACACGACCTCGGCCAAGTCTACTACCGTCTAAAGGCTGTAGCCGAGCGCCCTGCATTTTCAATGAACTACACTGCCAAGCGCAACGTGCTTGTGAGTCGACTGATGCTGCCGTCGTCGCTGGAACTCAACCAGTCTGTCGTGATTTCGAATGAATGGATAGACAAACTGTCGTACAACATCAGCGTGCCTCGCAAAGTGTTTAGCTGCGGCACCCCAATCCCTATCTCGTTTGATCTTGTTCCGATTGCAAGCGAACTGACAGTCCGGTCGATTTCGTGCTCTCTCAAAGAATACATCACTCTGTCGACGCACGAGCACAGCAAGAGCGAAGGCCGCGTCGTCCATCACACACACGATGATCACTTTTCACCCGCCTTGGATCGTTGGACAACCACCGAAGTCTTGACGGTGCCCTCGGAACGCGATATCCAGTCGGATCTGTACAACGATCTGATTAAAATCAAACACAAGCTCAAGTTTACAGTATCTCTGATGAACGCCGATGGCCATATTTCCGGTACGTTACTATGGATTCCATTGTGTTTCCATAACTCCTTTCCCAAAAAAAAAAGTATTCTAAATGAAGACTTTGTGTTGTGTGTAGAGTTACGAGCTGCCATTCCTATCATTATTGCCTCCCTTGCACCCGAAGAAGATGCCAATGAATTGCCTGCATATGAAGATGCATGGAAATCCATGCCGTATGATCCCGTCCTTGTTGCCAGCCTAATAGCATCCGGTGATTTACCTGCATCGATAGCCCGCGCGTTGCCCATCGGTGCCGCAGCCAACATGGACGCAAACAGCACAGGCAGTAGCACAACGACGAGCAGCAGTGCTAGCAGTATCGACGAGGATGTGGTCAGAGGAGGAGGAGGAGGAGGCCCCGTTGAGCCTCTGCCGTGGCAAGGATTTGACCTATCAAGGGTGCCTTCGTATTCGACAGCCATCCGCAGTGCTCGTCTGTACAGCTTCTCAGGCTCACTGCCGCCGTATGAATCACTGGTGCTCCCCAGTGCCACTGCATCCTAATTACACATTCTCTCTTTATTTTTTTTATTGCCTTTTTCCATATCACGTGCATTTTTCCCCCTTTCCCCTATTTTTGTACATAGCCCTCGTTATTTATCATATCTTTATATTGCATTCCGCCGCTGCCCGTCTCCACCCCCCCACCCACCCACCCACCCACCCACTTTGCGCAGCAATCCTACCTTGTAGCTGCTGTTCTATGCCGATTAGGCGTAAACGACAGGCACCAGCATCATCATCATCATCAGCATCTTTGTATCATAGCTTTCCAACCTTTTCCACTCTTTTGAAACCCCTTTGTCTATGTTTATAAACTACTATTTCTATTATCACTATTACTATTTGAACTGTTTGGACTATGTGGACTCTAAAGAATAAAGACATCCTCTGAATGAACGGGACCCAAGGTGTGTGTGTGGATCAATCTGGTTGGATGGCAAAAGTGCAAAACAAGCTTTGAGACCGCATGGGTTATTATTCTAGTGGAATCGTTGTTGTTCATTATTGAGAACAAGTGCTGTCTTATTGACAAAAAAGACGAGTGAGCGATTGATATAAATTACCATCCTTGGTTACAACCAAAAACCGTCTGGGTCACATGGCCAGTTGTTTTGCGCTACCCATTGTTGTGGCACGCCCCCACCCCCTACTACTACTACTACTACTACTACTACTACCATTGTGGACAAAGCAGCCTGCCTCACCCTAGCCTTCCCCCATTGTGACCTTAACATAAACAAGACAGGGCACTATCAAATGCAGAGGCATTCCTTGTTATCACACAAAGACAAAGGCAAAGCATAAAAATAATCCCAAAAAGAGAGAGAAAAAAAAGGCTTGGCGGAGCTCATACACACACACACACACACACACACGAAAAACAGGTTCGGTGGGGCCCTGGAGAACGAATTTGATTGAGCGGAACCAACTTGTCTCTCTCATACTCTCTCTCTCTCTCTCTCCTCTCCCTCTCCCTCTCCCTTCTTTCTTTTTCTTTCTCACATCAAAACGAGGTGATTGACTTGGCAGAAACAAATCGTTCTGCTTTCTTTTTCTTTTGCCTTCCTTTTCTACAAGTAACATACACGCATACGCATACGCACACTATACACAACCCGCACAACGTTTTTCTACATGCCTTTAAAGGCATTATCTCGGTTTCAAAAGCGACTGTCTGCGGCGTACTGCTATCCGTATGGAAAGGCACTAGCTTCACGACCCGTCTCGTACCTGCTACTGTCGTTTTTATGCGTCAGTCTCTTGTCGTACTCGGTCATTTTGCATGCCGTGAATTCATTCGGATTCAATCCCAATGCTGTAGATTCGATCGATGCTCACTTTTGGCAATATTCACCACACGTAAAACTCGAAAACTGCAGTACTACCACCACCACCACAACGAGTGCTGCTGCTAATGCGCTTTCGAAGAGTGGTAATGGCGGTACCACCAGCTCACCATCAGCCTCACCTCCACGTTTGATCGCTCAACAAATTCGACTTTCGAATCACGACAATGCAATCGACAATGAATTATTACACCATGCGCGTACCTTGCAAAATGTATTGACTACCAGCGTTGTTTATATCGACCGAAAACCTGTATCACTTGCTACCATTTGTTTAACACGACGCGGTCAATGCGTCATCCATTCGCCACTCGAGTATTTCAAAAACAACAACAACAACAACAACAACAATAATGACATGTTTGGGGACAACTGGATCGAAACGGTTCAACAACATCGCGCATACGCAGATGAATCCACCGGCTTGTCAATGCACCCCTTGAGCGTATTTGGCAATGCAACATTGGATCCGTTTGGACGGTTCCTGACGGCCGATTCGATCATTTTCACTGTACTACTGCAATCAAATCATTACACTCAACGCGTATGGAACGAACTGTGGGAGCATACAACGCAGCAGCTTCGCATGGGGCATCTCGATAGTGTCACTGCGGCGAACCGGCATCATCATCATCACCCCTCCTGGAGCAATGATGATGGTGAGGAGGATCAACAGTACAGGGCTTGGCAAAAGCAGCTGCCCATGATGCATGCTCTCACTGTTCAGTACCAGGTAAATACATCTGCACATACAACGCATATGTTTCTTTTTATAAACACACACACACAACACATATATGCATGCATGCATATACAAATACACGCATCAACGTTCCAACAAAAAGCAAGAATACTAATGATGCTTATTATCTCCATTTAAGCTCAAACTGTTTCCCCAGTATCTCCCCGCCGAAATGTACGTTTGCGCCTTTGTTTTCGTTGCGTTAAGCTTTGCCGTATCCAACGCCATTGGAAATGCACATCTCCTTCGGTCCCAATTCGGCCTGGGCCTTGCTGCTGTGTTTATGGCACTTGCCTGTTTCACGACGACTGTGGGCATCCTCAACTATTTTCATCTCTGGCGTCACATGGTAACTCCGTGGTACCTGTTGATCCTTGTCTCTGCGGTCGCGTCCTTGGAAAACACATTCCTGCTCACGAACGCCGTGGTCAATGCCGGATGCGATATGCAGATCCGAGAAAAGATCGGTCGAGGTACAGGATGATTATTTTAAGTCTATCGTTTGTTCCCAAATTAAATTTTAAAAACGTTTGTCGTGTTAAAATTTCCCAGGTCTCGAGAGCGTCATGGTGCCCATGACCGCCACGCTGGCTGCAGAATTGGCCATTCTTGCTATAGGCGACGCTATGCACAACCCTTTGGTCAGCGACTTTTGTCTTTTTGCACGCGTCGCACTGTTGGTCGGCTACGTCTTGGAAATGACATTTTTTATGGCTGTTCTCGCGATTAATGTCAAATGCGTCGAGGTAAGTAAATATCTTCTAGAGAACTCTGTCTGTTTTGTTGGTTTTCTTGTGTCACACTATATCAAATGCTACACAAACACATTTTAAAAGCGGAGATTGCTTGTTCCATGTGCCTGACATGGTTGCACTAACATAAAAAAAACACCCTTCTTATTTATAGCTAACGGACCTGGATGACCGGCAAACATCCAAACGATTACGCGAACTGGCCAAATACAATGTGGATGCAGACACAGCGCCCGACTTGTGCCCTATTCAAGAACCCATCAATGAATGCACCGAAGCAAAATCGTGTGCAGAGTGCAAGCAATTCAAGACGCATCGAACATTGAATGCTTTGGTGGTAAATTGCATCTATTTTAGTAAAACAAGAATCCCATACTAGGAAGACACTGTGTTTCTGTCTCTTCTGTGTTTGGGGAAGAGAGAGCTTCTTTGTTCCTAAAATTAAAAGTTTCTGTTAATAGCTTTGTTTAATAATCTTAACCTTATTCCGAGCATCATCCTGGTCATCCTACTCCGTCGCCAGTAGTGCTGTGCAACATCAACAGCAACAGGAACACCACAACAGCGAATATCAGCATCATCGTTATAACGAACAAGTTGATTCATTCGCAGAATCTGTCACGTCGAACGACGATCTGATCAACTACGAACTGATATCGACATCAACTCGCTTTTGGAGCACCGTCAACCCATTCCATGACTCAATGCAGCTACAAGTCAATCCGCCATACCTTGTACTCTATACCCCCACAGCTGCCGACGGTCTAGCCCAAGCACTTCATTTAGAAGAGTATTACGCCTCCAAATCGATACTGTATCAACAACAGCAACAACAGCAGCAGCAGCTTCAGCATCAAAATATGGACGAAACCATCCGACGCCGCTATGTCACATCTCGATTTCGTAAATTTTTGTTTGACACTGTGAAGCGCGTAGCCACACTCATTTTTAGCATCAATGTCCCATCCATCATGCTCTGTGTTGTCCTTGTGGGCATCATTATCTGGCTAACACCTTCGTGGCGTGAAGCATGGCTACGGCCACTCTTGAAATGGCTGTTTCTAGAATCGGTCAGTTACTGTGCCTTTCTTATTCGACGGATGCTTTTACAGATCCCAGGATCAACGGGCCGACGCATTGCGCGAGAACTCGGTGATTACGACGAGAATGGCGTGCATCGTGGAGCCATTCTTGCCCAACAGCAGTTTAATAAGCAACAGCTCGAACACAACATTCGGCAGGTCGATATAAAGACATTGTCGGGCAAGCATGTTGCCGATGTGCGACGCCTTGCTGTCAATGCAAAGCATGGATCCTTGGTATCCTGTGGCCAAGACGGCCGCATCATTTTGTGGGATGCACAAGACGGCGAATGGATGGCGCGGCTCGATCGTGTGCGACAAACCCACAGTGGGGTCATGAAAGGTGACCTGAACCCTACTTATTGGCAAAGACCTAACATGAAAAAACGAGGCGCTTTTGCAACACCATCTACGACGACGGCAGCAGCAGCAGCAGCGGCAGCAGCGGCGACCTTAGCATCTCGTTCAAAGGCAACAAAACAAATGGTTTCGGCTCGTTGTGTCAAGATTGATCACGGGAACAAGTGGATCGCGTCCGGGTTCGACGATGGCATGATTCGCGTATGGGACATGCAGACGGGCAATCTGTTGCGAGAACTGCATGTTGAAACAGAAATCCCCATTACTGTCGAAGCAGAGGACGAAGAAAGACAACATTACAAGACCATCGATTTATCGACCATTGCCGGATTGAAAAACCGCCATCATCGACCCAAGAAGACCGCAGCAGCAACAAGCGCATTATCGTCATCATCACAGCAAAAGCAACGCCATCATGTTACCGATCGAGTAATTGCTATTCAATTTGTCGGTGCGGTCGTGGAGTATTGTCACCCCATTGTTGCTGAAGCAGCTGCAAAACAAGCCATGGGAGACGATAACTCGACGCAGAATTATCTAGTGTCTGTGCACAAGAGCGGCATTATCCGCGAGTGGGACGTTCCGTCGGGCGAATGCATTAAGTCGATCCCATCAGAACACAACAAGGATATCACCCTACTGCATGTAGTCGAATGCAAGGCTCCGCATCCCAAACTCGGTGTAACTTGGATCTTCACCGCATCCAAAGACGGCACTGTCAAATGCTGGGAACGTCGACTGGACAAAGAAGCTGGGAGCACGGTGTGGACTTGCGCATATACACTGGATGCGCATCACGGACATCCCATCACCGCGCTAGCTACAGAACTACCTGTCGGTGGCATGGGCGCACTGGTGACAGGATCGAGCGATGGTGCGGTCAAGGTGTGGAACTTTGAGACGGGCGAGGCGGTGTGTACCCTATCGACCGGTGGGTTCGTCAAGCAACGCAGCAAACAAGCGCCCATGGTAGGCGGGCCCTTATTAAAGTATAGCAGAATACCCAGCGACGACGATGTGCATCATGGCGCCACACGACGACGACGACGACGACACACCGACGACACTAGCAGCTACGCATCAATGTTTGCGGACATTTCAGATGCGGATCATCGTGGGCCTATCACACAGGTCGTTGTTGCACGCTACTGTGAAGTGGAGAACGGACCCGGGCTCTGTCGAGGATGCGACACTTGTTTTGGAAACGGATTTCTTGTCGCATCATCCTCCAGCGACGAATCGGTCCATGTGTGGCGTCTTGAACGCGCTGATGGCAAGCACGAGGGCAGCTGCACGCTGTGCACCAAAGATTATCACCAGAAACGATATCCGACGCGGTCGCGTAATAATAACGATGACAACAAACGGCCACGACGCATGTCCTCGCCTAGGCGACGCGTCTATCGCCACCCACCACGGTCGGCCACCCATACTACTAGTGCATCCATACCACCCTCTGTATCGATCGCTGAAACAATGGAGTTGCTGGATATCGAACAGCTCGGTGGCGAGATGAACATTGACTTGGCCCCGACGTTTCTTGGTACGATCGAACAGCTCGCTGGACGAGGTCTTGTGTTTTGCAACAACATGATACTGGGCGGTGTACGGAAAAACAAATCAGGCGAATGGGAAGCATGGTTTGCGTCTTTGAAATATTACGATCCATCTGAACAACACGAGGACGATGATGACCAAGAGGAAGATCCAGTGATGATACCCGTGGAAACGTTTGATTTGGAAGAAACAACCAATGGACGAGGCGAGCAACCAGAAGAAGCAGCAGCAGCAGGGGCAGCTTCTACACATGTCGACCATAAAAGCATCCTGGCCTCGTTATGGCACTTTGTTGTCGGTAGTAGTGATGATCCATCCGCAAAAGGCAGGCGGATAGCTACTGGAAGAGCACGAAACGGCAGCACTAGCGACACTAAGGGTAGTGATGATGGCAACAATGATGAAAAAAGTGACGACGACGACGAGTATGACGAAGCATCTGAAATGCTACCGTTCTCGACCGTACGGCATGTTATCCCCTTGCATGGCTCAGGCCTAGCCTGTGATTTTGGCAACTTTATTAAGGTCGTGTATGTGGACGATCGATGCCAAAAACACAATTTCCATGCCGTCTCTGCGACGAATACTGTTACCAGTGCTAATACTACCATTGCTGCCGCGACTATCACAACAACAACAACAACAACTGCTACTACTGCTACAAGTCTGAATAAGAAGACAAATCGACTGACACAAGAAAAGAAATCTTCCTCGTCGTCAGGATGTTGTGGAGGTAGTGGCAAAAATAAGAACAGTGGACAATGCTGCGGTGGCAGCAGCAGCAGCAGCAGCAATGACAACCAGAAGAGCAACAGCCAATGCTGTGGTGGTAAAAACAACGGCAAGTGTTGCGGCGGCAAGGGTTTTGTCAGACGACGACCCCCTGTTGTCAACAGCACGACGGCAACGACTACCGCAACCACCACTACTAGTACTACTAGTACTACTAGTACTACAGCATCATCATCATGCAACATTGCAGAGTGTTCTTCACAAGCAAACTGCCCACGCGCGTCCGAATGTCAATTAGCAGCAACACGCTCATATGGTCACTGATCTTTTCTCCTTCTTCTCCTTACGTCTTCCACCCTTACAGTATTCTAGCACACACACACACTCCTGCTATGTTCTTACTAATCTCGCTTCATTTTTTTCTGCATTTGTACATGTTTCCTCTCTATTATATATCTCTTGATACCATGTGTTTTTTTTCCTCATTTCGCTCCTCTTTTTTCCGTGCGCCTATTTCACACTGTCAATTATAATGCATATCTTTTTTCAGCTTGATGCTTTCAGTAAATGTACATTTACGTCCAGTATTTATATAGTTTGTATTTGCCTAAAGAAACACTACAGAGTTTCCTTGTTCATTTCTTTTTGGAGGTGCCGCCCAAGGAAGTCGCATCCATGAAGGGTAGCTGATAATATGTATAAGGTGATAAGTTTTCCAGGCAATCCATCATCATCGATGCCACGTACAAGACAAACAGACATTGGCTCCTCTTTGTAAATGTCGTCGGTACAGGCAATGTTGGTTATCCAGACTTGAAAACGTTCTGTATTGCTGGTGGATGGGTGTCTGAAGAAACGAATGACAGCTACGACTGGTTTGTCAAAAAGCTTGAGCAAGTTGTTTGGCCAACTGAGCAGCCAGTCTCTCCGAAAGTCTTTGTAACTGACAGCGAATCCGCCTTGATGAAAGCCTTGGATCACGGATTCTCACAGTAGTATTTTTCTGTTTAAGATCAAAGCCTTGGAGAGTTGAAAAGAGTCAGGTTGGAATTCATATGTAATATGGATGCTTTCTTATTTTTGAGGGACTCTTCGTTTACAAGATGGATGCTTCTCTAAGTCAAGAATAGACTTTAGAACTCGTACATACTCCCCAGCGGATCTTTTATTTCAAAGTAAATATAGGCGTCGATATTTTCAGCACATCCTTTAACGTTTTTCATGACACTTTGTACTGTATACCGCAAACTAAAGCGAATGTTTAACGTGCCCGTCAGCCGAGAGAGAATGCTCGAAGTTGACGGATTAGATATTAATGAAATGCTCTGTATGCACTTAATGCGAAATATGTATGTATGTTGTATATGACGGATATGATACGTTTATTCGTAAAAGAGCATCAGACACAGTGGAAATAATGCAGCGCGCAGCTGTTTGCGACAACAACAAAGCATGAAGCAATCCGATTAATCAGACGATTAAAAGGTTCAAGCAGTATTTATTATGAGCAAAATGTTTTTAATAGTTTCGTTTTGTTTTTGTTGGCTATGCTATTTATGTCGTGTAAAGCTAAATTATCACTCAAACTTATGTACAAGTCGCAAAATTAGGGGTGGAGGGGGGATAGAGCAGAGGTTGGAGACGGGTGAATAACATTCACTTTGGTCAGGTAGGTTTGCAATGACGACGCAAAGTTTCAACAAGTACTTTTTGATTCAAAGGCTTTGTGAGATATCCATCCATTCCGGCGTGAAAGCAAACATCGCGCGAGGCGTCCTGCACATCGGCAGTCAAGGCAAAAATTGGAAGTCGAATATGAGATTGTCTCTCCACTTCCATTCGACGCACTTGTTTGGTGGCTTCCACACCATCACACTACATATGTGGGCATCATTGTTAGAGATATGAGACTATATTTCCACTGATAAGCATAAGATAGCAGTATTTTTCTTTTGTAACCTTTGGCATGTGGCAATCAAAGAATGAAAGCTTGTAATAGCCCACAGGATGACTGGTCCATGCTGCAACTGCGTCCAAGCCGTTATCTGCGCAATCCACTTGGAAGCCGAGTCGGGTCAGTTGCTTGAAGAGCAATTTTTGCGCGACGGGATTATCTAGTAACAACAAAGCATCAGTATTTTTTATTCGGCATATATGATCTGTATCAATAGGGTCACAGGAAAAAAAAAAAGAAAAGACAACGGTAATGACTATATATACCTTCTGCAACAAGAATGTGCATTGAGCCAAACATAAGTCGTTCCTCAAGTGTAATCGACTCTCTCTTCTCGTTACTTTTGCAGCGTTTCGATGGTGGTGTTGCTTTCGACGATGAGGCGTCTGCTTGTTGGCTAGAGCTTTCACTGGAAGCATTCCCATCTTCATGGATTGCATCCACCAAAATTTGTAGCAGCCTATGGCTACGTGCAGGATATGTGATGCGTATGAGAGCTTGTCTTCCAAGAGGGTCCTTGGGCACAGGTATAACTGGGCTCTTGATCACTGACCGGGCTGATCCCTCTGAATCTTGTTGGGGTCCAGATGCGATAAATGCGGTGCTTGGGTAGTTCATAGCCACTACGGTACGTGCCATTTCCACAGCTTTCTCCAAGTGAGCGGACCATTCTGAAAATCGTGGATCGTTAAGCAGAAGCACCCCGATAATAACAACCGTATATTCGTTGCACTCGTGCATACGTAGCTCTTCGATGGTGTTGGCACTATCGACTTGGATGCCAGGTAGTAGTTGCTGGATCATACGTGACGTGGATACATGCTTGCTTGCGACTAAGATACGTGTCTGTTTTAGCTCGTTCAGCATGGCAGTGGTACGTTCATCGCGTGCTTTTGACTGTTCAATAGCTGGTTTGGCCTTGACAGTAAAATGGAAATTGGATCCTTCATTGGGTTTGCTTGTAACACCAATGTTTCCTGACATGAGCGTGACCAGTTGATGGCAGATAGAAAGTCCAAGGCCTGTACCACCATATTTCCTCCTTTAAACAAACATTTGCATGTCAGCATGAAAAGAATATAGCTTTTGTGTGTCGCACATAATGACAAATTAAACCCTCTACTAGAATTGCTGCAATCACTTACGTGGTACTGCCATCCACCTGAGAAAACGGCACGAATAGAGCCTTGAGTTGCTCGTCACTGATGCCAATACCGGTATCGACCACTTGGAACATCAACGTGATACTATCGCTGTCCTCGGAGGAACTAGTGCCGTCAGCTGTTGGTTTTTCAACTGAGCACAATAATTCAATCGTTCCCGTATGCGTGAACTAATAGTAATTAAAAGAACGTAAATAATCATTCAATTTATGCGTTGCTACTAAACGCATCACAGGGAGAAAATAACTTACTTTGATGGCGTTGCCTAGCAAATTCATCAAAACTCTGTTGATAGGAGTACGATTTCAAATAGATGTTAGCTATCAAAGATGGGTTTTGCCTGTAAAAGTATGTACTACTGCTACTACTTACTGTCGAAGACGGTTTGCGTCCGCCACTGCAACAGATGGTACATCACGGGCGATCGAATAGCTGACGGCGAGTTGTTTTTTCAACGCTATGGAAATTAAAATCTCAATCACATCGGCCACGAGCTCCTCTATCACGACAGGCGTCATGTCCAACTTCACTTTGCCGGCCTGTAATTTGGAAAAGTTCAACAAATCATCGATAATTTGCAGCAGCACTTCACAGGACTTCTTGGCTGTTTTGACAAGGTCATGTTGCTCGTTATCCAAACTATCATTATTAAACCCCCCCCAACAACTTTTATTTTAGCGAGTGGAAGAGAACATATATAAGAGCTCGATCATACTTGAGTGAGAAGGATTAGTTAACTGACCTTGTTTCGGAAAGCAGTGTGATCATTCCGTAAAATCCAGAGAAAGGTGTACGGATCTCATGGCTCATGTTTGCCAAAAAGATTTCGCGCAGTTGTGTTGCACGAACAGCCTCTTCCTTGCTGATTCGAGCTTCTTCCAGAGCTTGCTTTTGATTTTCAATCATTCTACATTGTAACAGTTAATCAAATTAAGTATATCTAACCGATATGTTGGTGTGTACCACAGTTCATATATGATATGTAGACACAAACCTCATATTTGCCCTTGTAACGCGCTGAACCGACTTGAACAAGAAAGCGTTGGCAATCGAAATTCCAAGTTGCTGGCATAGCAAGCTCAAGAGCGTCACATGTCGTTGGTTGAAAATCCCGACTGCACCTTCGATAATCAGACATCCAGTAAGCGCGTCTTTGGTTTTGATGGGTATGCATACGACAGTACGTTTGCCGTTTCGAGAAAACCATTGGCCAGTTGCAAATCGTGGATCCTCTTCAACATTGCGTACAAACACTGGTTTCTCCATGTTGATGGTGTGATGGATGATCCGTGTGGGTATTAGCTCTTCGTTGTTACTATCTTCTCCAACAGAAGATAGCGACAAAGGTGGATCAAATATTTTGATTTCTGCGCCCTGGCTACCATATGCCCAGATACCAAATGATCCATCCTTGATAATGATGCTGCCACATTCAGCGCCTACACTCTCGAATATAATCGTCAAGAATGATGAGAATAAGTTCTGCAACTCGGTTTCTGACGAAGAAACAAGATGCGAACTTTTGAGAATGGATGCAAAGTCAAGCTATGGTGTACGCATTGTAATATGTTAGTTAAGTGTATACATACAAAGAGAATTTGATGCCGAATGTTCTTCTGCTTGAGTTAAAACAGTGTAGATAACTACTTACGATATCGAGCTGGCTCAGCATTTGCTCCATTGTAGGTTGCGGTGCTGAGGTAGAGAATTCATCCTCACTATTACTATCAAGCGTGCCGTGTGTAGCAAAATCTTCCGGCGATTGATTGCTCCAGCAAGTATGCGTGGCCAGGAATGGATAAAGGTCGGTTTGTACACCTATATGATGCTGCTCCCTTGAATCGCTGAAAGAGTTGAAAACATCCGCGTATTTGACGAGAAGATGTTGAACTATGCCATACGATCCTTGTCTCGTATAGAGATCAATCGCCTTCCAAAGGATTAAGAAACAAGCAAAAATAGAGTGAGCAGATACACATGGACATAGACAGGCACATAAATGAACGTGTGAAATCGATGTAAATCCTTATAAACTTATAAATACCTTCTTTAAAAATACGCAAGCAATATTTCCCATACCGTTGCGTAGATAAAACGCACCAGCATACTCCTGAGCAATACACATATGAAAGCACCACTCTCCATCCCGGGCAAGGTTGATCGTTTCTTCATAGAGACGGCAAGCACGTAATATATCAGGTTGGTCATCGACGGAAGACGCCATCTCTGCTGCGATGAATGACCCAAACATTGCATTGTTGACTCTTGCATAGCCGCTTGCCCACTCGTTAAGGATCTGCTGGTTCTCGCGCAACTGGGCAATATGCTTCGCTCGTTCCTCAGAATCCAAGCTCTTTTGTCGGACCTTTTCAACAAGCGCGAGCGAAAAGTACATGATCATAATCCGCGAATATCTCTGGCAAATGTGTTGATGGATCGCGGCTATGACACTATATCCAGTCTCTACGGCTGCGTCGCAATGTCCATATAGTACTTGAGCAAGCATCTTGAACGTGCTATACCAGCCCATAGCTAAAGCAGGACTAGAGCTTTGCTGGCAGCTTGCCTTGACAAAGTGCGCATCATCGAACCCGTCGTCACCATCAAAGACTTCCGGCGTATCGGTATATGTTCGCCCTTGTAGAGCCTTGCAAAGGCGGATGAAACACATTATCAGCATATTGCTTTCTCCAGAAGCTGACCATATGTTGGCATCTTCGTAACAGCTTTCGGCCTCGACTAAAATGTCGGCAATGTCCTCAGTCATTCCAAGACGTATTAGCAAATGGTATGAACGGTGCAGACTGGCGTAGATTCGATCACCTGCTGATAACGAAAGGCGTGCTCCCGTTTCAAAGTAGTCCAGGGCTTCTCGATAATGGTGTCTCCAACGTAGGACCAGTATAGCATTTTGAAAGTATGCTCTTCCTTGTATGTAATTGCTTCCCACTTTTCCCAACAAAGCGAGCGCAATAGATCCAAGGCACTAGATGTAGATATAAGCACAATGACTGGTAAATTAGTTTGCCCTTTTTCTCTTAATGTTGAGCTGGCTGTCTATTCTCCTCGTTATAGTAATACCTCTGCAAACTCATAGTCCTTGTACAAGAGGGCATATCGAAGCGCGGCAAAATTGAAGCCAGCAACCGAGGCTGCACACATTCCGTTTTCTAACGTCATTTTGAGAATTTGCATACCGTAGTAGTACATCTCGGTCGTTTGGCCAGTCCAAAACGCACATGTGCATCTATAAGTGTATCGATTAATCATTTTGATTTCATCGTAGAACGCGCAACAAGATTACAAAGATAGAGGAAACACTCACAGTTCATCAAAGACCGTCATAATGCCAATTATCAACGGATCGCTGCATAACTTTATGTTCAGAATGATATCCTTTCCTACGCCCTTGATCTGCTGCCGTATATCTTGATCCGTGTGGCGTTGCAAGTCTTCATTAACCGTCGATGGAGTAGACTCAAAGCCAAGCTCTTCAAGACAGTGGAGAAGCGTTTGTTTACCCTCTTCAGGTTTTTGACATCCAAAAAAATACTTTGACTGCACGCGGTACGCATTCAGGCGGTCAATTGGGTCGCGTGAGTTGTGGAATATTGACTCCAGTAGCTTTTCGGTACGGTCGTGATGTCCGCCAACGATCCAAGAAAGAGCAGCGCTGTTTGTGTACAGGCTCAGCGTCTCGGTATAGTTTGTGTCGTTCCATTCAATGTCGTGGTCAGCAAGCTCTATAGCAGCTTCGTAGTTTGCAAATGCTACATCGTGTGTTCCGGACAGCTGATTTCGATTGGCAGCTTCAATCAACACACTTCGAAAAGCTTCTCTGTCTGGCGCCGCCTTGGCATTATTGATGCATTTCATCAAGTGGCTAGCGACTAAAAACGTATTGGCAGAATGATCTGTTTACAAAAGAAAAAAAAATTAGCACACAGCAGCAACCGTAAACTCTTTAAAAGATACCACCACAATCTAGCAACAAACCCATTTACAAGGTTGAATATGATTTACCTTTCATCATATATCGCGCAATAATCAAATGCATTTTGCCACGCATCTCAGCACTTGTTAACTCGCCTGCGGCCTGTGCTACTCGATCATGGCTCCACTTATATTCGTCTGGACCGAGTGGCACAAAGTATTCCTCTTGCAGCGCGATCGCCAGGCCATCACTTGCTGTGTGGTGATATGCCTTCTTGTTGCTGTGGGAGCTTGATTTCAGTTTGGTATCCGAGAATGTTGGTAGAGAATTCGACGATGGTGTAGAAAGTATTTCTGGTTTGTGCTGTTCCGGCAAGGATGTTGACGGCCAATCTTTTGTAATGTGGGAAATCTGCTCTACTTTCGTCGTTTCGTCCTCGTTATAATTGCGCATCACATTCTTGAGAGTGCTCCACGAAAACGTATCACCAAGAAACGATGCCCATTTCAGCAGCTCTTGACAACTAGCCGGAAGCTCGCGCAATCGACCCACCATAAAACACACATCAAATTTACCGTCGCCTTTGACTTGCAATCTTGATTCTGCTTCGCGTCGAATAGCTTCGAAATTAAAGTCCCATTGACTCGTATTCCAGTTGAAAAATATCAATTTCTTGCGCTCCATCGTCTGTATAAACCGCGACACATAAAAGGGAATGCCGTTGGTTTTCTGCATGAGTACGTCAGCAAGAGGCTTCAGCGCTTCTTGACCCGTACCATTTTTGTGACGGTGCAATGTGTCGCTTAAAAACTCGATGGTGGAGTTTATGTCGAATGCATCAGCTTTTATCGATTGGATATTGGAGGCACCTTCTGAGAGCACTTGAGCGAGCTTTGGACTGACTTCTTGTTCACGATAGGAGATGAATGCCAAGATTTTGATTTTCGAGGCCATAAGAAGCCCCAAGAGCTCCAACGAGTTGACATCTAATACAAATACATTATGATTAGAATGAACATGTCACTGTCAAGGCGAGTTTAAGGCATATAAATTTGACATGTCATAAATAGAAGAAGCAATAAAATTTATTTACCTGAGTGATGCAGATCATCCAAAAACTACAGCATTGTATAATATTCACATTAAAGTGTTAGCTGACTAAGTCAAAGAAATATTGCATATGATATACGTTCACATGGAAGGAGACTAGTTTTTACCAGAGTAACCATTCCCCAGTTCGTGAAGGCGCGAAACATTGCAATAAACAGCGCCTGGAATCTCTTGCGCGCTTCTGTATGTGCCATGTTGACATAACCGTCGGTAATGTTTTGATTATCTTTCAAGGTAATGGTGTCAAACAATGAGCGCAGCTCGGGGACGTATTCAGTAAATAAATGGATGTTGCAGAGATGAGCGCCAAGACACTTTTTCATATGCTCAATGAAACGCTTCGTATATTCCTCAGGCTCGCTCAAGATTTGCTGCAGAAGTTGAGAGAGGGCTTCAAATACACCACTGTATGGCATCATATGTGTCGCATCGAACTTTATGCTTGCCATGTAGCTATATGTGTAGCAACAAAGAACAAGATTGCTGTGTTGTTAGTATTCTAAGACATCAAACTTCATACAATTCAGTTCTATATGGTTGCTTACCCCTTTTCCCTGGCAGTAGCATGTACAGCATTCAGCAATGTCGATTTTCCTAAGTTTATATAAAATATATTATGAGATACGCGGAAATCAGCTCATTGTGTAAGTAAAGACAGATAATAAAAGAACCACTGAAGCACTGATTACCAATGCCGGCTGGTCCGCGCAAGCTCACAATGACCGTCATATTTTTTGTTGTACGCCACAGGTCACCCACTCGCATGCTGCTAGGCGCAGAAGAGACTTCGCTTCCAATAAAGCCGCTGCAAAAACTTTCGTGCGAATCTCCTGTTGACCGGTTGTCATGCTGGCTGCTGCTTTCCTCTGTAGAGTATTCGCTCGTAGACTCTTCTGTAAGGCTTTCACGGGTATCCATAGAGCTTGAGGTTTGTGATGTGAAAGCTGCACTAGAGTTATACGATGATGCTTGTTTCCCATGTCGCGCATATATTCGACTGGCCTTGTACAGAGTGGCATATTGTTCGATAATATCGTTCATTTTTGTAATGGTAGATTTTCTGCCATATACGATCTTGGGAAGAGTAAAAATAGATGCGACATCGTGTTGTGCTAATGGGAAATCAGTAACAATATCCCCCTAATACGATTATAAGTAAAAGTGAGTTAGAAACAAAGGAGATACAATAACAAAGCACCACCTCGCACTGCTTGGCATTAACCTATACATACCCCGACGTTAGTCTCTTCTTGCAAAATCTGCTTGAGGCACTCTTGTAAATCGGCTTGCACTCCACGAGCGCTGTTATAGCGGTCATCGGGTGCCTATTTTTTTGATTATAGTTATAATATTAGAGCTTACTTAATTGACAACGCGAGATAGCTAAATTACACATTACTATGCTTAATACCTTATTTGTCATCTTCTCGATGATATATGATAGCATCTTTGGCACTTCCAGCTGCAGCTCGTGAACCAGTGGAACTTTGCGGCTCAGCATCCCATTGACAATGTCCAATGGACCGCCATCGAACGGATTTCTGGTAGTCAGCAAGACAAAGAAAACGATACCGAGCGAGTATATATCCGAGCGATGATCCGAAATATACGCCGTGCGGCCGGTTTTTTCAGGACTGACATAGACAAGCAGATTTTCGAGCATATGTACCAGCGTCCTGTCTTGTGACATTTTGCGCCATTCCGTCGTCAAGTAGGTGCTCAAGGATTTGAAATCGATGCTGAAGTTCCACAATTTGACAGGGTCCGTATCCTGACCGCTCCACTGAAATGATTGGAGTTGAATGCCACCATGGTGAAAGTTTTGTCGGTGAATGAATGCAATACAGTCGGCTGCTTTAATGGCGAATCGCAGAAAGGTGACTAAATCGTAAGTCGGTGCCGTATCCCGCGTGGCCATAATCTCCAATGCCATCTTTGAGTTGGCGCCGCTATTGTCGCGCTCACTGCTATTGATTTTGTTGTCGAGTGATGCATGATACTCAGTGTTGTGTCTTGTTGAAGAGTCAGCAACGCGTGCTGACGGACGAACAGTGTAGGTGCTGGCACTTGCGAGGGATGAACGCGTGCTTGTGCCACTGTAACCGACAGCTGCGGCGGCATCTGAAGAGTACTCGTGACCCTCGTCTGCATAAATTGCCACACATGATCCATTGGAAAGGTTGACACAATCAAGTGGTTGCACTGCATATGGAAATAGTCCCTTTTATTTAGCTAACAAGATATGGCAACGTATTTGATGCAAGCACAAGTATTAAACATACAGTGACAGTACATACCAATATAGGAAGGACCCTCGTCAAACTGATAAAGTTTTTTCATTAGGTAAAACTCCCGCTCCAAGTAGCGCGAGCTTTTTGCAACCTTTCCAACAATTGATTTCTGGCTCGATGTCCTATAATAAAAATTATAAATTGAAAGAGGAAAACAACAAGTAAATAGCGATGTACAAAGTTTGCATTATAAGCTAACAATGATATAGTACTTGTAGCCATGAACCACACGAATTTTTTCGTTATATGACAAACTGAATATGATGAAGTCTGTAAAATAGTAGCCTGGAACTTGTATCCTGGTAAAAGATGGTGCTAGTGTCGTACTATCCGTAGCAGCACTTCCTTCTCGCGAAAATGTGACTGATCCATCAGCAGAATCAGCAGACATCTATTGAAGGAGAAGTAAAATTAATCAATTGAATTTTCCTGGCAAGCCCGTCAAAAACAAGGAGAGCCGTCTCCTCAAACGCTTACTTTGAGTATTTCTTGACTGTTTTTTCGATAATGCAGAAGTAGTAAATGAGAATAAAGAGAAGAGGAAACAAAAGAAAATCTGACGCTATTAGTCTCACGGTTGATTCATCTATCCTTACGTGTTATTTTGGGTATGTCGTCATTTCCTGCACGCCATATCCATCCTGAGTCGAGATAATCATATGTCAATGAAACATGATTGATGTAAATTTCTAGAGAGAAAAATACATATTCAACAGGGCTTTTTGGGGAAAAGAAGAATCACGCCATTCCAGAATCATTTGCTCACATAAAAGTTATTGCTCTCCTCCTAATGTTCATACCTCGAAGACCTCACTCGAACCCATTTGCACTAGCCAGGATGATTCATTGAAGATAGTATTACGTTTTCAGATGATGTATGCAGTAAAGAGTAGCATCCTATCATAATATTTGAGCGAAATGTAATAGAGGCAGTTTTATATACAAATCGTAATCATCCTTGCATATTTTGTTATGGGAAAAACATTTATATGAGTAGATAATGGGGAAGTCTTTTTTCTCTTCTTTATTGCATTCAAATATATTAGTACGGATGTTCATATATATGTTTTCAATCAAGTACATAGCCAATAAGCTTAGAACATGCACTCAAATATATTCACCTTGTATCAAGTACATATTTTAATGTCAAGTACGACTTATTACAAATATAGTGATGGGGCATTGTTACTGCTGCTTTCGCCTATCCGTCCTGGCTGTTGTAAATGGAAGAATCTACGAGGTTATCATCCTGTTCACTGTCACATTCGTCATGCAGCCCTATGCATTTTAATGCAATTCCCCAATAGATATACCGAGCTCGTTACAACTATAGTTAGTAGCATTTTTTCTGGATCGGTTTCATCGAACCTCGCTGTGTCATCCAGATCCGAAAAAAAGTTGATACCCCGGAGAACTATCCCTCCAATTAAATCTGTATACAAGAAAGAGTTGCATAACAAACATCAAACACATCACATCACACCACAACAAGAACTTTACAACAGCAGCCTCGCAATTACTACAACATCATTCTGCCACTTTCCATAAAGCCAAGGAGACAGCGATCCAATAACAATTCTACAACCTTCTGGTATCTTCCAAATTGCCAAGGAATAGCTATTGATAGCATTATTCTTAGACTTTCCACCTGAATCCACATCCATAACCATTGGATGCGAGTACTTTCCACAACCTTCGAGCATCTTCCTTGATGTTCAATTAGAAGAGATGTATTGAATTATTTTGAAAGATCTAAATACCACCTCATTTTTATTTGAATAAAGACATTGAATTTCTGCCTCTCACTTTCTACTTAACTTTTCAAGTGTTGTTTTCAATCACTTAAGATCTGACACGGCTTGTTTTATCTTAATTTTGTTTATTGCTCATAAATGAAGCTAAATAAACGCCTCTATTATGACCAGACGTAACATTACTGCTCTTATTTCTCATTTACTTGGACAGACGTAACATTCCTGATCCTTATTTTCTACTCACTGAGCTTAATCAAGACATCAGCTCACTACTATTTACAACCTTGAACACAACCCACATTTCTACCTTACTTTACACTCATATCACTTCACAACTAGTCTGTAATAAACGATCTTATTACTGGTGCTCACTACATGACATACACATAAACCGTTACGCAATTACCTGGCATACCCCAAACTCAGCGTAACAAAGTCATGTGAGTAGACGCTGATAGTAATCTGTTTACAAATGACGTTCTGCCTTTACTTCTGTAATCTGTTGCATTATCGTTAAGGTATGAGTTTATGCTGTAAAGCATCAGTTTCCGGTGTACGAGTACCAGTTGGTGGGTTAGCTGCTTCAACCTTATGATTTCTCACTATTTTGACGCATTGTTTCAATAAATATACCTCCTCGTGAGAACAGCGATTGAACAGCCCTGATACACTGATGTTTCTCAATTCCCGTACGGTAAAGCTTAACAAACATAAAATAACAATATTAGGAGCTATATTCACGAGTATTGTTGAATTTATGAGAAGATAGATGAGACCTCGTTATAAATGTGTCAGTAATTATTGGCGCCAGCCGTCAAGATTCACAGCAACGAAGGCGTGACGCTCAAAAAGGGAAGATGATCATTCAAACTGGACCTTTGGCCACGCTTTCCACTGATCAATAATAACATAAAAAAAGTTTCTAGATAGCACGATCTTGACAGTATCTGGACTATGAATTTTTTCGAAACAATCTCTAGTCATCACCATCGTCATTATGCTTTGCTAATATAAGAAAAATCAGAAAGATCGCCATTAGCCTGACCTTCATATTGAGCGATACGGTTGAAGAACATTAGAGCTTCAACATGTAAGTTAGTGAAGTAGCCACTTCTTTCTACCATTGAAACCCAGGTATTACTTCTTTTGTCTCCTTTCCAGAAGGTACGGACCATGCATATGCCTATGGTGATGTCAACAACCGGTTTTTGGATAGGAGAAGGACATTATGCAGCTAGTACGAAAACTTCTACTTAACATGATGCTAGGAATAAAAATATTTGAATACAGTATGTGGATGATGTCATACAAACAGAGACGCCGCCGTTATCGAAAAATAGGAGACAATGCTTGCTGCAAGCGACAGCTATGAGAAACTTTGCGTTTTTTAATAAGCTTTTACTACAATGGGAAAAATACAGGCGTTCCACGAAGGTACTATTTTCTATCCGACATCGCGTGATAGACATGAAGAACCTGGTCAGGTGTCACGTCAGCAGTTGCTCCATGTAGGGAGAAATGGTATAAGAAAGGAATGGCATTCTAGAGAAAGGCGGGATAGGGGTGTTGGTGGCAGATATGGCTTTGGAAAATCCAATCGATGCGATATTGACGGATCCGACTTGGTCCCTGTTGTGAGTGTTGCGACTCTTGTTGGGGCATGCTGGATTGGTGCACCGCAGTGCACCGTTGACCTTGACCAATTTGCCTTCGCGCCGGTATTGGTGCAGTTTTGTCGGAGAGTGGCAAAATGGGCAAGTCTTGCTGGATCGGTGCTCGTTGGTAACAGTTACATGGTCACGATCGGGGGAACCTAAATGTTGTTGTAAGGTGGCGTTCGCACCACGACAGTGGCCTTTTATCCTCGAGTTTGTTGATTTATATGCGCCAAAAAACGTCAAGGTGGATGCGGATCCACGTACCCTCCACGATGACGCAAGTTTCCGATGAAAGACGTCGTGTCGGATGTCCCTAGTGCGAGCTTCTTTTTGTCGTCTGTCTTGATCACCAGTATTGTAGCCATGTTTCTTCTTGTACTGTTCCCGCCTGGCTTGGTGAGCTGCTTCCAGCGTAGCTGCTGTTTTCTTTCTGGTTGTATAAGTCTGTGCTGGAGGTAGCGGGCGCGCCACAGACGGCAGATCTGATGGCTGTACTGGTGCTGTTTCAGGTGCTGAAGAGGAAGATGGCGATGATGATGGCTGGGGACGGGTGTACGGAACAATTGTTTGGTACAGATCTTTGGCAGTAGTGGTGATAGAAGTTGCTGATACTACAAGCCCTGGGTCCACGCCGATAACACCAACGTTCTTGTTTGTAGCAAGGCTCTCAACAATTTTTTCTTGTAGTAGTTGCTGTGATATACAAACAATGTAAGTATTGCATCAAGTGTACCACGTCTTTGAGTTTGGTTATACATACCTGTTCCTTATCGAGTGCAGCTGGTTCTGCCTTGGGTTTCTGTTGCATCAAATACAGCTGCGATCGGATGTCGGCCAATTGCCTTTGTTTCTGAGCGACCTGAGCAATAACAGAATTTGCTTGCTTGCGTACCATCTGCAGCTCACCATACTTTTCACGGTTCCGCAATTTGGTCATTTTCCACTCGCGACGAAAAGCGTTTGCCAAATCAGCACGTTCGTTCTCAACGGCATTTCCTTGCTTCTGCAGTTTTGCCACTTCAGCAGCAAGCCGCCTTGCGCATGTTTCAAACTCCTTGATACGTTGTGCTTTGATACCTTCTTTCTCATCATCTACGTCCGTGTCCTTCTTCGTTGGCGAACTGTCTTTGTTCTTGTTTCTTTTTTTCGAGGGACGGTCCGATGGCGACGACTTAGCTTTGCGCTTTTTCCGTCTGCTTTTGTTGTGGGCCTTGCGTGACTTTCCCTTCCCTGCTTTGCCTTTTCCCTTTGGGTTCGTACGTGCCATCGCCTGTTTGCCTTTTCCCTTTGTCTTTGTAGGTGCCATAGGTTGCTTGCCTTTGCCAGTAGCCTTGTCATCGACGAAGATATCACTGAGCACACTGCCAGGTTTACTTTCATTCTCGCTCCCTTCTACCAGATCCATGTCCATTTCATTACTGGGACCTCCTTGGGGCGCTTTCTCGGTATCGTGGGCATGGTCACTGTCACTTTCTTCATGTCTAGATACACCTAGTACGCGGACTGTATGACGGTTCACGAACGTCAGACGATAAGCGAAGACCAGGTCCCTTGTCTGCAGTGCTTTGTATATCTTTGGGAGGGAGAAAAACGCTCCAATCACATCGCGGCGAGCTTCACCAATTCCAGCTTGACGCTTGCTGGTGACAGTCTTTCCAGTTGCGCGGCATGGCATCTCGTACTTTTCCGAGACAAGCGTATACAAAGCACTGGCTGATAGATGGATAGCGTGGTCATTTGGGTGGACTTCGGGTGCCACGGCAAGTACTTGCTGTTGAGGAACAATTATATCAACGATAGCGTTCGTAATGTATGCCAAAGGAGCAGCTGGTGCACTGTCACAGGAGCTGGACCTTGTTCATCATCTTGATCTTCAGGGCAGTAGTATGGGCGCAAAGCGTTTGCAATCTTTGCGGCAGCGCTGCATTGCTTGTCAGTGAGGACAGTTCCCTTGAATGCCGTCTCTTTAATGATCTTTGTCGATGCTTGTTTTTTGGTTGTATCAAGGATCTTTTTGATAATGGACGTCAGTGCACGTATACGTCGATTGGAAGGTTCACACTCGGTTACGCCTGGGCTTCCCTCTTGTTCCTCGTCTCCTTCTTGTTCTTCTTCCTCTTCGTTATCGTCGTCTGTAACATTGAGCGGATCATACATAGCTAGCTCTCTTTGAACTAAACGTGCTTGTCTCTTCGGTTTGGCACTATTGGTTTCGGGCGTGGTATTGGCATCGGTGGAGGTATTGGATTCGGAGGGGGCCTTGTCAGACACAGCAGGTTTCGACTGGGGCTTACCGAGCTTCATATAGTTTTTAAATAAAGTTAGTAAAAGTAGATCTATCCACACAATGATAATCAATGGTAAACAGAAGACGACGTATCATTACCTTTCCTTGCCACTCCTGCACTTTGTGGAACAGCTTATTGGTGGCTTCTTCAGGCCTATCGCGGCACATAGCCCAAGCCAGTTGATTCATGTGATGATTTAGTGTCTTGACGAAATTTCTTTTGTCCAGGGGCATGTTTTCTTCGTTGCTCTTTTCTTCCTTATCCTTGGCCTTGTCTTGCTGATGCTTCTTTCGTGTCTCAGCGTATTTATGTACCCGTTCCGGCGCAAGATTCAGCCTTAATAAAGCAGTCACCAAAACGCGAAGATCGCGATTGTGTCGCTTCCTGGTCCACAGGTTATCACACGCCGTCGAATATTCTGTTAAGGCGTCATTCATTGCACCTTTTAACATGAAATCATCTTGTTTTGACACGAGCCCAGTGTCATTGATTTCTTTTCGGATCTCGCAGTAAACGGATGATTCTCGAGTAGAGCTTATACTAGAGCCGATACAGCCTTTAAAAAAATCATTATCATAATCGTCAACTTAAAGTGAGAACCAAATATTCACCAGCACACACAAAGCACGTAGCTATGAGCTTACCCGATAAAAAATTTTAAAAATGTTCCCTTTTATAGATTCTTTCTGTGTCGAGCCTTTCTTGATCCTCAGGAATTGGAGCAATAGTTATGACGGTGGCCGCATCTGGTGGAAATTGAAAATTTGGTGCCAATTTGCGCAGATCGAGATTTTGCTGCTGATTATTGATTCCGCATAGTCGAGCAGCGCGCCCTGTAACAATAGTATCGGTCAATATGGCACCTGCCTTGCTAAGCTCTGAAATGCACCGACCGACGCGTCGCTGTTCGTCTTTTATATCTTTCAGAAAATCATCGTATTTAATTTCGGTCCGCAGCAGATTCCTTAGCGAAAAGGTTATGGTCTCGTACGATTTCGACGCTTTATCTTCTTCTTTGTCGTCGTTTCCATCATCAACATCATCTTCGCAATGGCCGAGAACCTGCTCCCAGTTGCAAATTTGTACGAACGATCTGGTCTCTTCGATGAGGGCGTCCCCCTCTTCTTTGAAATATCCAAATCGGTCGAAAGTCCTGTACTGTTTTATACGGTCACCAAACCAGGAGGGTGAGGAGAATTGTAAACCGGGATGGCTACGGATAATTTCTTGTTGCATTGTGTCATAGACGCGTGGTAATGATTTTCGCTTAGCATGATCACGTTGTAATTGATTTAAAGCGGTCAGGGCATCTTCCGCATTGACTGCATTTGTTAGGGCCGAGTCGATGAGTTGCCGAACATATTTCTGGATTCCCGTCTTGAACGTCGTCATGATTTCTTCCTTGCTGACACCAGTGCGCACCAGAGATGAAGACTCCTCTTCATCAACCTTTATTTTTAACGTTGCTGCCGACTTTGCTGATGGTGCAGATGGTTTTTGCTTGTTTTGTTTTTCTTTGGGTACCTGTAAAATGAAATCACCGTTTAGATGGCATACTCTTCCAAAAAGATATCACATTATGACATATAACCCTTCTTTTCCTAAGCTCACTTTGTGGTCAGGAGTGTCTTCTAAGCTGAACCATTGTGTAGAAGTGCATAAATACGAGTCGACATGGTGTAATACGGCCACTATCTTCTTGCCGGAAGGATTAATGATCCGTGCATGCTTCCTGGTCGAAAAATAATGCACACGAAGGTTGAATAAATGCGCCAAAGCTACTAAAAGTAGCAGTCCTTTTAATTTAATCCCTTCGTTGCTTTGTGTGCGCAGGTACACGTTGATATCATGGTCATTGCCGCCATTGAGTATTTTGTTGAGACTTGACTTCTCGGATGCTTGCAGACCTTGGTGTTTAAGTTGTTTCGTGATCTTGATGAGATTTTCAGCTCCCGGAACGTGGATATTCAATTGCTTGTACGCGGCGTCCAATCTTGTCTCTGTCAAAGTAATGGGCTCAAGCCGCAGTTCTTCGTCGGTGTAAAAGTTTATCTTGTTGGTGTAACTTGCGGTTTTCATCATATAGCACTTTAATGTTCAACTAGAACGGAGAACGATCGAGGTGGTGCAATTTAGCGATGGGTACAGTGATGATAAGTAAGAGTGCCATGAAAGTGAAGGTTTTAGGAAAAGGGTAGGTCAGAAAGGCGAATTTGGAATGTTGGCAAAAGGCGACGCGTTTTGAGCATTTTGACACGGTTGGGAAGCTGTTCACGCCATATAGTTGGATTCTGATTGGTCCACTTTTTTTATGCAGCAAAATGTGCCCCAACAAATGCAAACAGTGCTCGCTTTCTTTTTTGATGTGAATATATCAGTACTTGCAAGGAAAAACGCGAATTAAAAAGGAGTATAGAATGATGGAAATAGTAGCTGCTATGTACTCCAGAAGATAAAGACAGCGGTAAATGCTGATGAAGAAGGTGGACATATCGCTATTTTGTTCTGTCAGTTGTTGTCTTTACTGCTGCTATTGAGTTTACATAGAGCCATTGATGCCTGCTTAGAAGTTATCGATCACGTATTTGATTTCATGTTTATTGTGGATGAAATAGGATGATACTGATCTGCATAATGCTATCAGAATGACCCATTGCTGAAGTGATACTGGTTTGTATACGCAGTGATTTTCTGTGGTTGCGAAAAAGCGAAAATGAGCCTGCGGCGTGCTTCGCAACGTTTTCTATACTTGATGCTCCGTTGTGTGTTAAGACACAGTATCATTGTCTTTTTTATCAACGTCCACCTGCCTCGCTTCGCTCGGCTGAAAGAGCTCCTACGCTGAGCTCCGGGTCATTCAACGATTTGGATGTTTCCCAGGGGGTTACCCCATGCAATTTAAGCGTTGGAGACTAGATCAGTACTTTATAATACAATATAATGAATTAATGCTTGTTTTCTTATCCAGCACAAGATTAATGTAACGTATCCACAGCCGATAATTAATATTAAAGCTGTATCAGTAGAATTATCTCTATGTTCTTTACTGTAAATGTCATTGCAAATACAAAGGGGAATAGTGTCGTGTTGAAGTTATAATATAAGTATCAGCGACAGTCTTAATATAATATTGCTTGGTGCATTTCAGGCCTGTAAGACATGTCTGGGCTTAATAACAGTAATTTTGAACAGAAAAGTAACAACCCGTAAAAATACCCAAGAGTACTTACGGCTTTCTACGCACACTGCTGACAGGGTACGTCATCCTCACTATACGGTAATACAGAAAGGATTTAGTCGTTGATAAAAAAATTGTCGTTGTGCCAGGTGCGCTTACCTGAGTGAAGGCGCCGCCGGGCAACGCAGGACTCAACCAGAGCCCTGCTCCTTAATAGTAGGCTATGCAACTGGATTATAATAACGAAGAAATTTATCAGAACACTACTATGGCATATTACTTCGATCAAGTTAAGATTAAAGCAATGTCATGCACCAGTATTTTGAAGTGTTACACGTAAAAGCTTATTCAGAGCTGTCATTGGCTACTTTAAGGATTCTTATACAGTCTTCTGATTGGCCTAAATGTAAGCCCATGAACTTCCACTGTACCGCGTTTCACTCTCCGCACTGGTACTTCCATTTGTGGAAGGCGTTACAGACAGACAGACAAACCTCGTTACCAACACTACTATCAGCCTGCGAGCAGCACAGCTACCAACTCGGCTACCGTTGGAATCCGAACAAGTGCGTCGTCCTCAACACTGACACCTCTCCTTCATTGGCAGTATCATCGCTCTCATCTTACCAACTTTACGGTACTACACTTCCGAATGCTGACATTTTTCGGTATCTCGGTATCCCGTTCAATTGCAAGGCAACTATGGACGTCTAAGAACTGATCGTCCACAACACAAGGAAAGCGATTACCTCGTTGAATTGCCTAAATTCTCTAGGCCTCAGTCCTACCGGTCTCACTCGTTTGCTCGCTGCAAGGATCTATGGTCAGTTCATATGCCCTCAAATGGAGTATGGTTTAGCCATCCAGAAGCCACTCCAGAAGCACATCAAACTGTTGGAGGACGCCCAATCGGCTTGCCTTCGGCGCTTCTATGGCAGCTCGAATAGCACCTCATCAACCAAGGTCATGCAGCATCTGGTCAATATCCCTCCTATGAAACTCAGAGTGGCTGTTCTTCAAACGAAATTTCTCAATCGAAGTCATTGGTTACCTGATGATGCTCTAATATCCAAGCTCGTCCCGCGACTTTCTGTCGTCTCTACGAGCCGATACCGTCACCTGCAACGCACCACATTGTGGCAACGTCTCCCTTCTACAGAGGCGCCATTTGACAAGAAAGCCTTATCACATGCTATTCGCAACCTGTATACTACCGATTTTGAATCTACTCTTCTTGGCCCACGCGCTAAATTGCTCTCTGCTTGTCGTCCTACACTGGGTGTCGACCCAATCGTTTGGCTCCCGATGCGATACCACCATCGAAGTCGTCTCATACGTTGGCGATTTGGCTGGATGCCGAATGGTCGTCCGGAGGCTATCTGCCGCAATTGTTCAGATCGCCATCACCTATCTCGGGACCATGTCATCATCTGTCTGCAAGCACATGTGCGTTTACAAGTTCCTCTTGTAATCCTGGATCCTATCTCCTTCATACTCAACTCGTTACCAAGAACTCGCCCTCGCAGCACCACCACCAAACGTTATTGGCGCTCTTGTTGGCCCCGACTCACCAGCTTACTCCGAGACATCGATCGTTTATGCCACGACGACGACCTATTCACTGAAGACACTGGCATTGCCACCACCCCGTGCAACGACTTTTTGCTATGGCTTGATCAAACCAATGCTGATTCACGCCTATCTCTTTCCCCTTCGCCCTCCCTCACACCCTAATTCCTTGTACTAGTTCTTTAAAACACAAAAAAAAACAAGAAAAAGATTCCCTGTCCCTTGCCGCTTTGTAGCCGCAAGCTCCCGCCCCACTTTTTATCTCTCTTAACCTTTGTGCACTCTTGTAACCCTAGATACTCCCCTTTTTGTTTTCTCTCAAGTCCTTTATCATTTTGCTCTACATTTTCCCCCTCTGGCTCACGGGGTTTTTTGTTCACCAGTCATGGCGACCGGGCTTTAGCGAGTATGCGATTGGCGAAGCGCTTATATGGCCGTTTAATAAATAAAGTTTGAACCAGACAGACCAATTCTATAAAGGCGTTTTCATACTCCGTATAGAACGCCTAAAAAAGGACGTCTGTCTTAGCGATGTGAAAAGGCCTTGGCAGGTTACACATGATGATGGTATGTAGTTAGGAAAGTGTACCATGCCAATATTACTGTTTGAGCCTCTCCATGGTATACTTTAAAGAGAATTGGATTTGAGTACTTCTACAGAAATCTATTACTATTTTAATGTCACGCTTTGAGCAATTTCTAGTTGATGCCCGACCACGAGGAAAGCTTCTCGAGCAAGAGCTCGTATAAAGGGACCTTCTGTAGAGAATGGAAATAATATGAAACACGCATGCAGCTATTATCTTTATCTATCGCTTATCTAATAGTAGTCTGGCATTGGTATGATCAATAGTGCCACTCTCAAAATTTTGTAGAATTTATGAATCCAATTTACTATGTCAAAAAGAATTTCTCATCTGAAAATTAATCTGCTACCTAAAACGCTTAATAAGCCAGCAACAAAAAGGGAAATCGATTTTTGGTTACATCCACGTATTTGTATCCACGCAGTCTCCACTAACCTACCTATTCATTGAGCTTGCATGCATTTGCAGATCAGTTTATCGCGACTCGGCAGCAAGTGGGCACAATCTATTCTGTTGTAATATCGTTATCAGAGGACGTTGCACTAAACTACTAAACCTTTTCTTTTTCTATAACAGTAAACATAAGAGATGTTCTTGCAGTGAGCTACAAATAATGATGGATGAGCATATAAAGGCGGCGCCGTCTATTGATATCCTACTCTTTTCTCCTGACATAACCAAATGACAGGTAAGTAATGTGGCGCAGTGCTATAATAAGATTAAGGGGGGCGGGATCAGAAACAGCACTGAAAGCAGTAATGTGGGTAGAAATAAGGACATCTTATCCAGGGTAATGATCGGCGGTAATGTTCTGTGGGGCCGCCTTTCTCTCTGTTCTTGTAACTCTTTCTTTCACTAATGGCGGTGTTTGGAGGACACGCAGAAGAGTCTTCAAGGGAAAATCTTGTCCGTGCATCAGCAAATATAGAAGGAACCAGTCTGTAAAAGTGCATAAAGCCCCTTATTGTCGATGCAAGGACTGTAAGACAACGAGTCCGTCGTGTGAATAGAATACATGCGGCCTACTTTCACTTCTTTTGTCCCTTGTCATCCTTTTATTTCGTTTTTTTAGGGTGGGGTAAGAAATGGTACCTGTAAACTTTTCGTATATAATACTCTACTAACACTTGTATAAGCAATTTCTGACAAAAGAGAGCAAGTTCTTGGGGCACAATATGTCAGATTCAGTCTCTGCGATCTCCATTCACGATGCTAGTGGAAGCAGCTATAGCAACCTTCTAAATGGAAATCTCACGATTCCGAGCTACCGTTTCCAAGATTCAGTGACAATGAGTTTGACACACGGAGAGAATGTCAGCCTCATTCATGGTTACAGGTAACAGAAGCGTACCATGAAATTAACCCTAAATTATTGTGTGTTGTATCGATTCTTTGAACTCACTTTTCTACGTTATTTGTAGAGTGTCAAGCAAGCGGCCAGTGATAGCGAAGCTATCAACAAACACAACGCAACTTGAGCGTGAATTTCACATAATGAGAAAACTTTATCAACTCGCCCATGGCCCATCTTATATTGGTAGCGCAAAAGCATTACTGATCACTAAGTGTAATGTGCTCTAAAATAATGTTCATTTTCATTTTCAGTGTGTCCGATAGAGTATCTCAACTTGACAACAGGCGTTGCCGTGGCAATTTATGCAGACGACGGCTACAATTATCTCAAGCACCGATCCGCCGACGACCCGCCACATGGTTACACTGCAAAGACTCCCACCGCCAGCAGCAATAGACTAAACAGTAGAAGCGAAACAAGCAGCACTGATGCCAATATACGAGAATGGTTACAGTCGCGATACAGCACGGCCAATGATTTATCCCCGAGCACCAACGAACTGCCACCAGAAACGCTGGTGATGAGAAAATCTGCACCGACATATGACTTGATTACTTTTTTGCGTTTTGCAATCAAAGCCTGCGACGCTATAGAGTTCATTCATCGCCAAAACTGCACACACGGCCAAATCAAGTTGTCAAGTCTTCAATGGGAAAGAACAGACGACAACAACGGTTTTGTGAAAGTGTGGAATTTTGGATCAGGAACGAGAGCCCTCGATCTCAGCGCTGAAAAATGGCGGAAAATAGCAGCAAATAAGGAGCTGACACAAATGATGCAAACTGCTTTAGTTTATATGAGCCCTGAGCAAACCGGCCGGACGACATACACACCAGACCACCGTTCGGATATCTACTCTTTAGGAATCTCTTTTTTTGTGTTGTTAACTGGTCAGAGCCCTTTCGAGGGCGGACCTCTGGAAATTCTTAATGGTATACTGAGTCGCAAGGTGCCATTGATCCATGAAGTTCAGCAAGGGGTACCTGAGGTAATCTCACAGATTGTTGAGAAAATGACAAACAAGGTAAGTAATACTGCAGATCGATTGACATTTTTAGAAGCGATTAGGCTGCTAATACGACAAAACTTCGTGTGTCGTGGCACATAAAAATAAACAACAATAGACCCCCGGTGATCGATACAGTAGTGCTCATGGTCTACGATCAGATTTAAAAGAATGCCTGAAACGCATACTCGAAAGCACAAGAGATGGAAATCACATCAACTTTAAGGTATGAAAAGTGAGACGGTCGACACACACATGGAAGCTATCTTTAAAGCAAAACTAAGAAAAGGAGGTATATAGGCGATTGAAGAATTCACACTCGCTCAACACGACATTGCATCAGTGTTTACCTTACCGAAAACCGTATATGGTCGACGGTCTGTGATCTCGCAGATGAATACCCTTATTGACGATTTCGTTAATACGTACGTGCCGAATCGAATACTGCGCAGCCACGACCGGCCTGCCCAAACTGCGAATTCGATTTCCACTGGTGGATACCATGTGAGCACAATCAGTAGCATAGCGGATACTCTGAGCGACTCCTCGCGGCGCGATGATTGCAACAATAGCGTGCGTTCCAACTCTTCTCCAAGCTTTGTAAGCGGCGTAGACGAGAGCGAGACGTCGAGTGCCATACAAAGAGGAAGTTATACAGACAAAAACGGGACAAGACAGAAAACTTCAACTGTCGTCGTAAGTCTTTACGGTCCAGGTGGTATAGGTAATTAAAGAGCTATAATGTACTCGTAACTTTCATTAACATTTTCCATAAATATATATTTTAACTTGAGTTATACTCCATACTTAGGTAAATCCACAATGTTTAGTGCAGTGCAGGCTACTGCCAGACAGCATGGGTAATATTTGTTTGTTTGTTTTTGGCATACAAAAAGGTACTAATGCAAAAAAAATAGTTACATTGCCGCAAGCAAGTTTGACTCCAGAAACAAGGTTCCGTACAGCTGCGTTCTCAAGTCGCTATCCCAAATATTGCAACAAATTCTGAGCGAATCGGAAGAGGACATTAAGCTCTTTCATGAACACCTCAAAGTTCACCTTGGAGCACAATTTTGTAATGTGTCACTACTAAATGATTTCGTTCCTGAGCTGCGTTCTCTTTTGGATCCTACCTCTTCCACATTACAGAAGAACGACGTGGATTCGGCGGACGATGAAATACACATGGACAACGTCGAGACGCAGGCGCGCTTTCAAAATCTTTTTATCGGTGTTTTCCGTGCTATCAGTAACTGGTGCATGACAACGCTTGTAAGTCCAAAACAAAGAAAACGTTCAAAAACTGCAAGTATTCATTATCTTAATTCATGTGTATTATTCAATATAGTTTTTGGATGACCTCCATCAAGCAGGTAATTAGATCAAAATTTTGGGGATTGTTTAATTTGAATGTAATATTAAAGAATCTCTATGATAAGACGACCATTCGCTGGAGCTTCTTGAATCTTTGATGAGATCTAGGATAAATATCCTCATTTTCATATCTTACCGCGATCAAGAAGTGACTCCAATGCTCGGTGAAGTACTTGAAAATGGCGCATCCTTTATCCAATTTATTAGCGTTGAGCCACTTGATATGGAATCGACGATCGACTTTCTATGTGATACGCTTCATCGACCCAGAGACGTTAGGCGGGAGTATTTGGTACCGCTGGCAGAGTTTGTTCTGAAGAAAACAAATGGAAACGCGTTTTACACGGCCCAGCTACTGCAGGCGCTCGACCGAAAGAAGCTTATATTTTTTGACTGGCAAAAAAACGAATGGGATTACAATCTGGCGGAAATCAAAGAAGCCACGACCTACAGCAATGAGTCAGATACCCAACTGGATGTTTCATTTATGGTTGCACGCTTGCGAGAGCTACCTGTTGAAAGTCAATCTTTGCTCAAGTGGGCTTCCTTCATCGGTGATACTTTCTCGTGGACCACAGTCAAAGAGCTTATGCTAAGCTCCGACGTAATGGACGAGCAAAGCGACATCAGCAGTGATATTGAAAGCGAGTGCTCGCTTGTTGATGACACAGCATCCGAAGACACGGCACGAGAAACGACGAGCAGTAGCCGCGATCACAAAACAAAGCGTCATCATCGCCCATCCTTGGTGCGTACCAGCACTGCTATCCCTTTATGCGGTAGTCAAAAGTCATCCTTCGTCAATGATCCTATGATTGGATTGCAGGCGGTTCTCCAAGAAGGTTATATCATGCCAATTGGACCGGAGGACTTTAAATGGGCCCATGACCGAATTGCTCAAGCTGCTGGCGAGCTTGCTGGTGCCAGAACACGCAGCAAGATTCACCTAGCTGTTGCTCAGCATATCATGAAAGGTATTAGCACGTTTCATCGTTGTTTACTCCTACCGTGGATGACTTATACTGTACAATGAAGAGCAAATTGTTGATAGTTTCCTGGCTGCCGATCATCTGATTAAATGCTTTGAGTTGTTGACAACAATTCAAGACAAAGAGCCATATCGTCGCCTTTTAATCGAGGCAAGTCTACAAGAATTATTGATTGTCACACCCATTGAAAATTTGAAATATCAAACTCGTAATAGTTTCTCATCCCTAAGTTAGGCTGGAAACAAGGGACGTTCATCTGGCGCCCATGGCATGGCGTTTACATATTATAGTGCTGCTATTGAACTGGGTGATCCCGCACATGAATGGGAAGGCAGTAACTACACAACTACCTTACATCTCTATACGAATGCGGTTGCATTATCATGGGTGGTTGGCCAAAACGAGCAAACAGAAGAGCTGCTCAAAGTTGTTTTTAAAAACGCACGTACATCTATCGATCGTTTGACTGCCTTCCGAATGCAGGCCAAATACTACTTTGGAATCCAGCAACATGATAAAGGACGAGGAGCGTTGCACCAATGCTTAAAGGATCTCGGTGAAGAATACCATGATAATTTGACGGAGGAAAGTCTCAAGCGGGAGTTTGACGAAGCAGAACAAATGGTCGGAGCCATTGGGAGAGAGCAGGTTGTAAATATGAAACCGTGCGATGATCCTTCGCTTAGAGGGATTATGAGCGTTTTGGAAGAGCTGTAAGTTACTAGTGAATGTATTTTGAGTTTTGAGCATATGTGCTTTGTTTTATAACTGACACTACTATCATAGCTGTACTGTTGCGTATTGGGGAGGCAATAAGCCAGAAATGTATTATTGTGCCATCCGAATCATTAGAATGTCCCTTGAAAATGGAGTGTCTCCAGTCTTTACCATCGGCTGCAATTTTGCAGGCATAGGCTATTCGACATTGTACAAAAAATTCAGCTTTGCAGAGGTATTTGTCTCATTATGGCTGAGCAAGAGAAGACACAACACGGAATTCTGATTGTTGAATGATACAATGGTATAGGAAATTGGTTCTATTGGCTTGCAACTGGCAGACAAACACAGCGGCATATACGAAAAAGGACGCGCTTATTTACAATACTCAGTATTTGTTACCCAATGGAAATACCATCAACGTGAATGCCTCAAGTATTTCACTGCGGGCATGAACTTATCCCTATCTGCTGGTGATCGGATCTACGTCGCCTTCCACCAAACTCATCGTCTTGTCATCCTCTTTTGCCTAAACAACAATATTGCCGATACACTCCGTGAAGCTGAAAGCAACTATGACGATATTCACACTTGGTCATCATCCGTCGACACAAATATGTTTGCAATGTGTATCATACGAGTTTGCAAAGCATTACAAGGACACACCTATATACATACACCCGATGTCTTTGACGGTGACGATGGCTTCAATAACGAGCACTATGTCAAAGAGAGCTGTAAACAAAGCTCAAACCCAGAACTCATATTGAACTGGTACGATACGTTTTACATCATTGCGCAGACATTGTATGGGCACACAGACTCTGCGATTGCTACAGGATACAAGACCGTCAACGTTGTGGATGATCACCCTTGTCATCGACATGCACGGATATACCTACACTATTTCTCGCTGGCGTTGATGGACAGATTACATCAACAAGAGGATGATAAGCAACTTGAGCCCGCAGAGCGTAAGAAATATCTCAAGCAAGTGCACGAGAACCAAGTGAAGGTGCACGAATATGCCAGACACAGTCGCATAAACTACATCATGTTCTGGACACTTATTGAAGCCGAGCTCTCGAGTCTCCAAAACGAGAGCCTTAAAGGTTTTGGCAAGACATGTCGCCTTTATGAAGATGCAATCAACCAGGCGCGTGAGGGTGGCTGGCACTTGGAGATATGCGTTGCTTATGAGCGAGCAGGAGCGTTTTACCTGCGTAACGACATACATAATGTTGCATTTACGCTTCTTTCAAAGGTAGAAATTCAAAAACATTGATCTTGTTGCGCCATCGATCATTTTTCATCATGTTAAACGTTTGTTAGGCAATCAACTTATATATGGCTCACGGATCATATGGCAAAGCGCGACAACTCAGCTCAAAGTACGCTGAGCTACTTGGAGATTATAGCGATGACAAACGAGAGCAGCACGACACTGGCGTCCAGACGGATGCTTTCCCATACCTAAATACTGAAGCCAGATGGAACAGCGATAACGAGGCATCCGAAATACCCATTAATAACCACTCATTGAGTGATCCCTTGGTTGGAACTGGAGCTTTACCACCAATGTCAATTGAGGATAGCTTGGTGAAACTTGATATAGTAAGTATTATATACTTAATTGTTGCTTTGATAACAGGTTCTGATCGCTTTTTTTCTGTAATAATTAGCTGGACATGGCGTCAATTTTAAAATCTTCGCAAGTGATGTCGTCGGAAATCGGATTTGAAGAGTTATTAAGATCTATGATGAATATCATTTTCGAGAACAGTGGAGCGAATTGCGTTGCTGTTATTATCAAGGACGAAAATCACGGTGTATGTGCATACGGCAAAGAAGGCGCGATGACCACTTACGACCCCCCACTTTCGCTTTCGGAGAAGGACAAGCTTATATCCAATCGCATCGTACATCACACCATAAATACTGGCGAAAGTATCTTCATCCGGGATGTGGCACAAGATTCGCGATTCTCAGTAGGTCCGTGGTTTAACCGCACAGGAAGTAAATCAGTTATCTGTATCCCTATTGTGCACAAAAGTGCCATGGCAGGCTGCCTTTTCATTGAAGGCCCGGTTGGTATTTTCACCCAAAGACACATCACTGTACTGAGCCTACTATGTCAACAAATGGGCATCTCTATCACGAATGCATTCTTGTTCAAATCTGTGCAGCGTGCTACCAAGGCTAATATGAGGTAGTTGTTGGGGCTTCTCGGCGTCATATCTCCATTTAAAAATCAACTTATCAAAACGGCTGTCTAATTAATTAATAGAATGATCGAACTGCAAAAGGAAGCACTGGAAGAAGCCCGCAAAAGTAAAGAAGCAGCCGACAAGGCTACTCGCTTACGTGAAATCTTTTTGGCTAACATGAGCCACGAAATCCGCACACCATTTTCGGGATTCTACGGCATGATTTCACTGTTAGCAGATACTAAGTAAGTGGTATAATGTGAGAAAGTACATTGAGCTTCATACCTGCTAAGCTTAATTACAGATTGGACTCTGAGCAGCAAGATCTTGTAAAAACCGCCAAAGAGTCTTGCAAGATGCTACTGCGCATTATCGACGATCTGTTGAACTTCTCGAAACTACAAGCCGGCAAAGTCTCATTGGATTTATCCCCCGTTGTGATCGACGAGCTGCTGGCAGACGTGATCGAAATGCTCATCGCCATGGCAATACAAAAGCGTATCAACGTCACATATACAGTTGCTAGCGACGTCCCATCGGTTGTGAGGGCTGATGCAAACCGTCTGAGACAGTACGTACCGAATATTGGCTTTAGATTAGTTCTTTCCATCATACTTACCTCATAAGCGGAATGTTCTTAAATACAGAGTTATTATAAATTTACTTGGAAATGCTATCAAGGTACTACTAAAACAACACTAGAGACTATCGACGAGCTCTTACATTTATCTGATGCTTGTATTTTTCAAATCTAATTAGTTTACACACGAAGGTGAAATTAACATCCGTTGCTCACTTGCCAAATCCAACAGAAGACGAAGAGTATCCGATGAACAAGTCTCACTGTTATTTGAAATCATTGACACCGGTATTGGCATAAGCGAAGAGCAGCGTAAAGTATTGTTTGTCCCGTTCTCTCAAGTCGATGGAAGCACCACGTAAGTATATGGACGTTTGCAGGGTAACATTTGAATCGTTTTCCATAAGTCACTAAACAAACTGTTTATGTAAAATAGGCGAAAATATGGTGGTACTGGATTAGGGCTATCTATATGCTTACAGCTTGTCCAGTTGATGTCTGGTGAAATTAATGTCGAAAGCACTCCAGGAAAAGGCAGCAACTTTAACTTTACTGCTCGCGTTTCCCGAATTCGTGACAAGAGCTTAAAACGCAACGATGCAATTGCAAGATTACTGGACAGCTTACGGAACGCTCGTGTGTTGGTCGCTGGAGCACATGTTTCGACAATAAGCATGATTAAACAGCTATTGCCTGGCGTAGCGGTGGACGGTGCTTGCTCTGTTGACGAGCTCGTCTCTCGAGATAAATGCAAGTACAATATTTTAATTGTCGGCATGTTCTTAACAAGCGACTTGCATTTCAAAGAATGGTGGTACCATTTACAAAAAGCCGTCGATCAAGTACGATACGTTGTTGTTATGCATTATCCAAGCGGCGTCGTTGGAGAATTATTAGGAGAGATTATGGAGGGTGGGAGCAGTATAGGTATCCCTGTACGTCGAATGGATCAACATGCAATGGTGCGTATCGCCGTTCCAGTTCGGCGGCACCGTTTATTACGGACTATGGTGGAAATACTCCAGCAAAGTGCCGATTTACCACAGCCTACAAATGCGGTGCTTTCAGCGAGGCACAAAGTCGCTAACGGAACGAGCACCATAATAACACCAGAAGAGCAGAGTCTGTTTAGTACTATGCATATTTTGGCGGCCGAAGGTATAATATCTTGATTCTAAGTGGGGCATTTTGTAACAAATTTGTTTTATCCTCTGACACTATGTATCTCGATAATGTAGACAATCCTGTTGCACAAAAACTTCTATATAAACAGCTCACACGACTAGGATTTCAAGTTGATTTGGCAAATAATGGCTTAGAAGCCATAGAAGCTTGGCAGAATCATCCCCCTGGATATTTCTGCGTCAGTTTACTGGACTACCATATGCCACAGGTTTGAAAACGCTCTTTCTCATTTACATATCCGTTTGAATTCTCTGACCAATCGCCTTATGTGCGTACGAACATTGTTAGTGTGACGGAGTAGAAGCAACAAGGAGAATACGCAAAATCGAAGCTGATGAACAGAGGACCACACGCCTCCCTATTATCACGTTGACAGCAGACATCCAGGATTCCACTCGGCAGACATGCTTGGCTGTAGGAATGGATGGGTAAGTTGACATAGCTTTAAATCTCATTTAAGTATAACTCTTCTGTTAACAAACTATTTTCTCATAGATTCTTAACAAAACCTGTAAACATGAAATTGCTGACGGACACTATACGCCGTTTTTGCCACAATAGTAAAAAATTTGAAAATCGCCATGTTTTATAGAATGCAAGTAGTAGCCGACAATAGAATGATAGTTACATGGATTGTTTATTGAGCATACTGTAATCTTATAATAGTATTAGTACAACACATAGCATATAATTATCTGCATTCTCATATACTGTACTTGATACTACATAGCCCACCCTGGTATGTGAATGTAAAGTGGTGAAGCGAGGAGACGTACCAGATGAAGAGAGCTGCCAAATGTAGGAAGATTGAGGACAGAAGTCAACGACGTCTCTTTATATCTAAAACATTTATTACTGTACCTATGTTAGCTCTATAGTACAGATAGTTCAGATGGTAAAGTATCTACAGTAATGTCGTTTGTCGAATGTATCCGCTGCGATCTGAAACAAAAGCTATACAGCGAACCAGAAGTGGGACAGCAGCGGCGCTTCTCAGTTGTTGTGATGCTAAATTCCGTCTGTCATGTTGTCAGTTGCTATGCTGAAAAACTTCTGAACAGCTCGTACATAGATGTATAGTATGTCTGGGTTCTAGTGAAACTGGAAAGCACGTTCGTGTGGATCTATATAGTTGAGTAAGAAGGCAAAGAACTACTGTGGTATCCCTTATTTCCTTCTGTTGCGGGAGTTCGGGATAACTTGATACCTGTAGCGTATAGCATTTTTCAGAAGGTCATGATGACGACGAAAGGGGGATGCAGATATCAACAAAGATCGCAGTGTTGGCGGAGTAATTCACTAGAGGAGAACAATGTGGGAGTCGGAAAACTCTGAGCGCGTGTCTAGACCTTACAAATTAAAACTGTTGCTGTATTTGCAACTGACACGAACGAATAATAACACTATGGTGATACTTACTATGGTAAATCAAGGGCTTTATCGAAGTCTACCGGATATTCCTATAATTATCAGCATTTTTTTTCTATCAACGATGTATAGACAGCCATTATTGATTATCATCATTAATGGTATATTTATAATTAGCACAGTTCATAGCGCTGATTGCTAGAAGTACAGGAATATTTTAGTCTGCTTAGCATTATGCATAGGTACTTGGGCTGCACAATTGCTTCTTTTTGTTTATGCAGTTTCCTGACCTTGTGTTTTGTACATCATGTCATCATGATACTGTACAACTGACAACTGTGTTGTACAACCTTCAGAAACTAATGATGAATGGCTGGCATGCCTGACAACGAAGGCGCCTGGGATACAACAGTGCTGTCATAAAAGAGATAATATTGAATAGCCTAAGGATATCGTCGTCATACGAATCTTGTATTATGTTTGTTAGCGTATATTAAGCTTAAATCAAAGGATGATAGCAGGGATATAAAAAAATTGCTGTTACATTAACAGCTCAAATGTAAGCCCGAGATGTGTCCAACGTCAAAAGAAAATGTAGGTATAGTAGAGGTCCGTGTAATCCCTTATAGTAACGTTTATCTGCTGAAGTGTAATTGGAAAACGCATAAACTGCTACGAAGTCTCTGAATGAGTCGATATTATGTTTATACGATGCGATTTATGATACGCAAGCGGTAAGAGACAGTATACCGCTACTTTTTACTACTGCTAACAATTCTCTTTCTTAATATAATGTAGAAAGGGTAATGTACTAACCATCTGTCTTGTACTTTTTAGAGTTCGTGAGAGAAAATAAAACCACGGCGGAGGCCGCGTGTCGAATGTATGCGCGTTGATGTCATGCTCACTAAGCGCGGACAATGGAGTTTTTTGAAAGAAACGCCATTCGATCCATTTCATCACGACCCCGCTCTCTTCTCGATCTCCTGTTCCTTTTTTGCACAGTCATGGAGAAGACAAACCGGTTAGGCACAACATTCCATAATTGTACTCTTAGAAATAGCTACTGTTACGAGCGTATGAGAATAGCTTTTAAGAACACTCATTATACTTTAGATCACGAAAAAAAAGGGAAAAGTTATCAGCTACTGATAATTACAATCTTTAATTGTGGTAGCTGATTATTGTATTGTTCGGTGGGTCAGTTAATTAGCAGGCAGGTTTCTGTTGTGACTAGGTGCATTATAATAGACGCACTATAACGTGAACAAATAATTAGACACTCCTCATTGCAACCTCTGTGAGCCCGGGATTGTTCTCATAGCAGAGCAGCTGACGTGAGTAGCAGCAGAATATCTATAGTAAGTTTCCTATTCGGCATACATGCTACCTGTGCGCATGGGTGTAATGACAAAAGAAAAGCGGTGTTGGATTCTGCTGCATAATTTTCGGAAGCAATCACCGCTTTGCACATTACATGTAAACAGAGTGACATAGTAAGAAGAAAACTTTTGAGAAAACGATTCTGATAACTCAACTTGGATTGTAGACCGGGAAACAGACTCTAAGAAAATCAGGGTTTGCAAAATGAACACCCCCCTGCAGCACTCCCTACTAACCAGAGTAGTATAGAATGTCATACTGAACTGTCGCGGCGGCGCATTCTTTTAATAGCACTAATGACATATCCTATCCTAAAAATCTCCTTGTCTATCGACTGGATTGGAGTAGTAGTACTACATCTGCCTTACACGTACATCTCTACTGTTCTCTCTTTCTCATTTACCTCTTTCTCCACCTAACTCCTCCTTTCTTTCATTTTTTGGGCATATACAAAGATCTACCTGCATACATAAATCTTTCAATTTGTATCTAAGAGTTCTTGCTCATGTCGATCTCGGAATCAAGTAGCTCCTTGACAGCGGGATCGACAACAACTTTGTCGAGTGTATTGTCAGGTGTACAAGGATATCACTTTATATACCCAACACCGATTTTAGCACACAGCGAAAACGTAGATGTTGTTTGTGGATTTAGGTACGCAATTACGGTCTTGGGTTAAAAAAAGAATAAGATGCAAATTGCGCGTCCAACAAAAACCAAGTGACATTCCTAAATTAACATTGACAATAGAATCAGTAACAAGAGCCCGGTTGTTGCAAAAGTGTCTTCAAGCTCATTAAGGCTCGAGCGCGAATTTTATATCATGAAAAAATTGTATCAATATAACGACGGTCCTTCACATATTGGTAATTTTAATACCGAAGAATGATTTGCTGGGTTGACGGGAAGCACAGGCACAAATTATTGACATCACTTGGTTCGATAGTCCGACCATTGGAATTCATTAATTTACCAAGCGGATTGACCGTCGCCATTTACTCTGATGATGGCCAAAGCTTCCTTTACCATAGGCAGAACGAAAGCACGACTTCATCAATTGTAAAAGAGTCCATCTTACGAGGTCTAGAAGATGCTAATGGTAGCGAGTATGACCGTAATATGTGTGGTGATCTCGGTGCCTTTTTACGTTTTGCGATCAAAGCTTTGAACTGCCTGGAATACATACATCGGCACGGTGTTATCCACGGTGAGGTGCGCCCGGCATCGTTTCAGTGGAGCGGCTCAGACGATGGTCCTGTCAAGCTATGGAACTTTGGCTCAGGCTCAAAATCACTCGAAAGGTAAATGTTATCACCTTTTACATAACGATCCACCGCTACAATTTTCTATACGCAGCTTTGAGTGATCTCACCTCGTGTCACGCCCATGATCCTATACTATTATTTTTTTCTGGTACCGAGATAGCTTGTTAACAACAGAGGGCTGGCGAAAAACAACGAACAATAAGGGGTCTATGGAGCTGTTGCAGAGCTTGTTGATGTACATGAGCCCCGAGCAGACAGGACGTACAACGTATGCTCCAGATCACCGATCCGACATTTATTCCTTAGGTATCGTGTTCTTTACCTTGTTAACAGGAAAGAAACCTTTCGATGGTGGCCCGCTGGGTATTTTAAATGGCGTGCTAAGCCGTAAAATATCATTGGCATACGAATTGCAACCCAATATTCCTGAGGTGCTTTCCCGCATTATCGAAAAAATGACGAATAAGGTTAATAGTCATTTTGGCACTGTAGCAGAAAAAGAGCCTCTCCTTTTTAGACAGCAGTAATTTTACATTCCTATGTAGGCACCCGATGATCGCTACACAAGTGCTCATGGCGTCCGATCCGATTTGAAGGAATGCCTTGAGCTCTTAAAGACTGCACAAACATCCAATACCGAGGTAATCTATGAGAGGCAATGCTGCTGACGTCCTATATCTGCTAGCAAAAAAGATGAGCGGATCATAAAATGATAAAAAAATTCATACAAAAAGGTTATAACTTTAAAAATAGTCAATCCCATCGTTTCCGTTGGCACAGCATGACATTGCATCAGTCTTTACGCTACCCAAAATGATATACGGTCGACAAGAAGTGTTATCAGAAATGACTTTTATCATTGAACGGTGTGCTGGACTATACAAGTCGCTAGGGATCCGCAACAGCAGTCGCTCAAAAGCCTATACAGCTGCAGCGTGCCACGTGAGCAGTGCAGAGACGGCAACTGACTTGGCTAGCGATATTTCTAAAACGGACAGCAATCCCGACGGTATTGGTTGTCAAAAATTTACTGCTTCCCCAAGCTACTATAGTGGTGCTTTAGACGGAAGTGACACTTCTAGTATTACTAGCAGAATAGTTGTTAACAACACTAGAGTAACGACCACCATCGTTGGTGTATATGGCCCTGGAGGCATTGGTAAAAACGTTTGGTTTCTATTTTGCTTACACACAAGGTTACCCCGCCACACACTCATAAAGCATACTCCCTTTATTAGGCAAGTCCACTTTATTTACTGAGGTGCAATCAACAGCTCGCCAAAATGGGTAAGCTCCGATACTATATATTGTATCTTATTAGTTGTAGTACAGCTTGAAGCAAAGAAAAATCGATGATTAATCTGTCGTACATGTGTTTTTTGGTACAGTTATGTGGCAATTTCGAAATTCGATAGTCGAAACAAAGTTCCGTACAGTGCAGTTATAAGATCACTGTCTCATATATTGCAACAAATCCTCTCTGAATCAGAAGAGGAGATTCATTCGTTCTATGAGCATCTCAAGATATCACTTGGGGCTCAATATTCGAACGTGAGTTTAATGACGGACTTTGTCCCGGAGCTCAAGCCATTACTGGATCTGGACGCAGCCAACGGTAGCAGTAACAAGACTACGGATGGTCACAGCGATAACCCGGCAACAATAGCTCCCCCTTCTTCAAATACCCATATGATCGATGACATGGAAGCACGAACACGGTTCCATAACTTGTATGTTGAAGTTTTTCGAGCAATTACTCACTGGCGAATGACGACATTGGTATGTATATTTATATATGGAATATGAGTTAAAACAATGTTGTACCTCATGTTTTCATCATAGTTTTCGTCACATTAAGAGTTCATAATAATTATTGATGATATAATAATTTATATTGTATGTTGATAACACAAAATGCGCGTATATAGTTCTTAGATGACCTTCATCAAGCAGGTAAGGCTAAAAGGAACATCTTACGACTATGCTGATGCAACAATAATTCCATGCCTTTGCTCATCAATAAAAACAAAAAATAACCGTGGCTTTTTTCACTGGTTATCAGACGAGCCATCACTGGAACTTATCGAAAGCCTGATCCTGTCTCGAGTGCAGCTCTTAATATTTATTTCCTACCGCGACCAGGAGGTTACAGACAAGTTAGCGGAGCTACTCGAAAACAAAATCGCCAATGTCCACTTTATTGGAATCGAAGCACTCGGAATGGATCCTCTCGTCGACTTTCTCTGTGACACCTTACACCGACCACGCGATATTAACCGCGACGCTATTATTCCACTCGCCGAGATTATATTTAAACGAACTCGAGGCAATGCGTTCTATGTGGCACAGCTATTAAGAACGCTCGAACGAAAAAAGCTTATATTCTACGACTGGAAAAAGAACGAGTGGCAGTTCGACCTTAGAGAAATAGAAGACGCAACTATGCTCGACGAGAACGATTCCTTTGATTCGCAACAGCTGGATTTTATGGTTGCCCGACTACGAGAGCTCCCGCGCGCTGGTCGTGCTATACTTAAGTGGGCATCATTTGTGGGCGATACTTTTTCCTGGGATACAGTTAAAAAACTGGTGGTCAACAATAATAACGACGACAACGATGATGATGATGATGATAGCATTGTTAGCGACAGAACAGCTATAGACGAACGAATGACTGCTTCAGCAACTATGCTTGACAACAGCGATGATGAATACAACAATGACGATGACATTAGCAGCAGCGCCAGCAGTTTATTGTTGTCATCATCGTCGCATAGAAATAATAGACGTGCTAGTAGAGTACGTATTCATCGAAAAATGACCGCCGAATCGACATCTTCGGTATCCGGCAGTAGAGACGACCCAATTAGTGGATTACAAGCTGTTTTACAAGAAGGTTATATTATGTCAATTGGTGCCGACGAGTTTAAATGGAGTCATGACCGTATTTCACAAGCAGCAGCCGAACTCGTTAACCCTGGAACACGCGCCAAGATCCACTTTAAGATTGCACAATATATGATGGAAGGTACCGTAACGAATTCTTGTAGATTCTAGCTTTATAACAGCTTATACGTGAGTGATTTCTTCAGAAGCTTCTGCTGTGCTTACCGTTAGCAATATCAATAATCACCACTTAGAAAAAACCGTGGATACTTTTCTGGTGGCCGATCACTTGCTCAAATGCGTTAATCTCTTGATCAAAAGGGATGATAAAGAACGCTATCGACATATTCTCATCGAATCTGGCAACAAAGGACGAACGACTGGTGCCCACCGTATGGCTTTCGCCTACTATATGTGCGCAGTAAAGCTCGGGAACCCTGAAACGCAGTGGGTGAACGACGACGATTACCGAACGACATTGACCCTTTACACAAATAGCGCAGCCCTTAGTTGGACTGTGGGTGAGCTCGAGCAAACAGAAATCTTATTGGAAGCCGTATTCCAGAACTCGCGAACACCAAGTGACCGTATGCATGCGTACCGTATTCAAGCAAGATACTACTTTGGATTGCAATTGCATTCAAAAGGGCGCGCTGCACTCTTTCGATGTATGGACGATCTTTCAGACGAGCGATCCCGCTTGGATACGAGCGAGGAGGGACTGGCCAGCCTGTACAATGAAATTGAAGAGTTGGTTGATAAGCTTGGTGTGAATAATATTCTACAACTGCCAGCCTGCAACGACCCTTCGTTAATTGGAACATTAGGTGTTATGGAAGAGCTGTAAGTAGCAATAATCATTATACTCTAGTAGTCGAATGTGATTATATGGCTAATATTACATCTCTGTGTACAATATACTCTTTTAGACTTACTTTATCATACTGGAGCGGACAAAAGCGTGAAATGTATTACTGGGCGTGTCGGATTTTGAAACTGTCACTGACAAAGGGTCCAGTCGGTGGTACCGGAAATGCCTGCATGTTCGCCGGTTTGGGCTACGTGAACGAGTTTCAGAAGTACGCATTTGCAGAAGTATGTTTTTTATATCTAGTATACAGTTTGCTACTTGATGTGCAGCAACTAATGAAAGGTTTATTCTTTAGAAACTGGGAACAATCGGTATATCGCTTGCTGACAGGCATGGTAGTAACCAAGAAAAAGGACGAGCATATAGTCTATATCCCGCATTTCTCATCTTATGGAACCACCACCAACGAGAGTCATTCCAGTTTTATCAGACTGGTATGAACTTTAGCATGTCTGCAGGAGACCGGATTTACGTCGCTTTCCATCTGGTTCACATTTGCACACTGATGTTTTACAACGGATACAACTGCAGCGTTACGCTGCAAGAAGCTGAACGAAGCTATGAAGACATTCACTCTTGGTCCGCGTCAATTGACATGAACAGCTTTGCTATGTGCATTATTCGCTTAACAAAGGCGCTACAAGGACATACCTACATCGATACTCCAGAGGTGTTTGACGGAGATGATGGGTTCAACGATGAGCATTTCCTTACCGAAAGCTGCAAACAAAGCTCAAATCCTGAACTGGTGCTGAATTGGTATGAATCATTTAAGATTATACCGCTTGTGCTCTATGGCCATTTGGATACAGCCGTTGAAGTAGGCTATCGGTGCTTCCGTACACTACATGTCCACCCATGTCACCGTCACACGCGCATGGCGCTCTTCTATTTTTCGCTAGGGTTACTCGAAAAGTGCCGCCAAGATCCAGAACGAAAAGACGAGTACCTAAAACAAATTCGAGCAAATCAAGAGTTTGTGCGTGAATGGGCTGTTCATAGCGCCATAAACTATTCCATGTACTGGACTTTTGTGGAAGCCGAACTTGCAGGATTGGGCGAATCGCCTGATGTTTTACGAGCCGGTCGCTTATACGAAGATGCCATCAATCAAGCCCGTGAAGGAGATTGGTACCTTGAGCTATGCGTTATGCATGAGTACACGGGTGCTTTCTACGATCGTGTCGGACTCCGTAATGTTGCTTATGGCTTTGTCAAAAAGGTATAGTAGACATTTACGGCTTGGGATTAGGTAAAATTCTCGATAATAATATTCTATATTTTTAGGCTATCAATATGTACATGTGCCACGGATCGTACGGTAAAGCGCGTCATGTCAGCACCAAGTTTGCACAGCTATTGAGCGACTTTAATGATGATCGAGCTGATCCGCATGAAGTGGGTATTCAAACGGACACGCTTCCCTATCCTGGTGGAAGAACGTCACCTAACGACTGGAGTACGCCATCCGCACATGAGCTTGTTCATAATCCAAGCAATTCTGCCATCATAAACGAACCTTACACCAACGAAAGCATACCACCTGTCACCACAGAACAAACACTCCAATACCTGGATATCGTAAGTGTACATTGTTCTTTTATGTTAAGCTATACTATAATTTTCATTTATTGCTGTATGTAATAAGCTGAACCACTTTTAAATGAACAGGTGGATATGGCATCCATTCTAAAAAGCTCGCAAGTAATGAGCTCTGAGGTCCGTTTTGATGCACTTTTAAGTTCCATGATGAGCATAATTTTCGAAAACAGTGGCGCAGATTGCGGTGCTATTGTTGTCAGAGACGAAATGTATGGTGTATGTGCTTACGGAGGTCAGAACGAGCCGATTGTTACGTACGATCCACCGAAACCGCTTGATGAAGCCGAGCATCTGGTCTCAAGCAAAATTATCAACCACACCATGCACACATCGGAAAGCATTTTCATCCACAACGTTAAAAAGGATTCACGCTTTGCAGTAGGCACTTGGTTTGAGTGTACAGGCGAAAAGTCGGTGATATGTATGCCAATAATTCACAAGTGTCGAACGGTTGGCTGTCTGCTCATTGAAGGCACAGTTGGCGTATTCACTCAAAGACATATCACGGTGCTAAGTCTTTTGTGTCAGCAAATGGGCATCTCGACCGCCAATGCTTTCTTGTTTAAATCTGTACAGCATGCTACAATGGCAAATATGAGGTACGTATCATTTATTTTAATTTTTTCATATTTGCGGTCTAGTAGCAATACTGATAATTATAATTATTTAACTCCTCCTCCCTCTCTTTTCTCTATTTAGGATGATTGAAATGCAAAAAGAAGCGCTTGAAGAGGCCCGGCGGAGTAAAGAAGCAGCTGTTCGAGCTACACGACTTCGTGAGATATTTTTGGCCAACATGAGCCATGAAATTCGTACACCATTCTCTGGATTTTATGGCATGATATCACTTTTAGCTGATACAGAGTAAGTTATGGTTACAACCTATAGTCATTGTTTTAACACGAGTATTGATAGAGTAACGTTATGTAGACTGGATCCTGAACAACGTGATCTTGTCAAAACTGCAAAGGAATCATGCGAAATGCTGCTTCGACTTATTGATGATTTGCTCAATTTCTCAAAACTGCAAGCAGGCAAGGTTTCTTTGGATCTTTCCGAGGTCATAATTGAGGACGCTGTTACCGACGTGGTAGAAATGCTGATTGCTATGGCGATTCAGAAGCGGATCAATATTACCTACGATATCGCACCCGATGTGCCAGCTGTAGTGATGGCCGATGCGAATCGTCTTCGCCAGTAAGTATTGCATCTTTTCCCACAATCATATCGGCCATTATCCGTTCCCCAAGTACCGTGAAATACTAAATTTGCTGCTTTAATGTTATTTTAGAATTATTATCAATCTTCTTGGAAACGCCATCAAGTTTACACATGAAGGCGAAATCCAAATTCGATGCTCCGTCGACAAGGAAGCAACTGGCTCCAGCGATGGTGATGACAACGAAGTGACACTCTTGTTTGAAGTGATCGACTCAGGGATTGGCATCAGTGACGAACAGCGCAAAGCTCTGTTTGTTCCATTCTCACAGGTGGATGGAAGCACAACGTATGTTTTATAAATACGCAAAGGCCATTTGCAGAATAGAGATAATTTACCTGTTACTCACCAATACCGTTAATTAGCCGCAAATACGGTGGAACTGGATTGGGTCTATCGATCTGCTTGCAGCTCGTCACGCTTATGTCTGGTAAAATTGATGTAAAGAGCGAATCATCTAAGGGGTCCAACTTTTTCTTCAGCATCAGAACAACACCAGTACCCGAGCAATGTAAAAAACGGATTGAGCGGATTACAGGTATTATACAAGAAGTCAAGGGAACGCGTGTACTGGTTGCCGATAAGCACACGTCGACCGTTTCAATGGTGCAGCGATTACTTCCGGGAATTACAGTGAATGGTGCATGCTCAGTTCAAGAACTACTCGCGTGTCAGGCCACCGATTATCCGATCATTGTTGTTGGTTTGTTTTTGACGCACGATCCTGAATTTCAATCGTGGGCGACCCATCTTAAAAAGTTTTTGGAGCGTGCCCAATGTATCTTGGTTATGCATTACCCGACAGGCGCTATGGGAGATATGCTAGGAAGGAACCAACATCTCAATGCAGCACCCACTGTATCCACCACTCATAATGATGGTGAGCTTCAAAGCAATGATTTCACCGAACGCGTTGTTGCCGCCGTACCATCATCCTCAGGCAGCGCAAACACTCTACTCAGCACGAACATGATTAAGGAGAATCGACGAGCCGTCGTCTGTATGGCAGTTCCATTGCGTCGGAAGGCGTTGCTTAGAACCATGGTAGAGATGCTGCACCAAACTTCTTCCTCGCCAGCGTCAACACCGCGACCGATTATGGCGGCACGTGCAAGCTCAGAAGGCAGAAAAGTCTGTGATCCCAGTGAGGTGATTACACAGGAGGAACGTGAGCTATTTAGCAACATGAACATTCTCGCAGCCGAAGGTATGTATACAACGCTTTATATAATCTGCAAGCCTGGAATGTTTTGAGCGATGAAAGGAGTGAGTTTGAGGATATCTAAAAAGTGTTAAATTACTTGTAAATAGACAACCCGGTTGCGCAAAAGTTACTATACAAACAGCTCACACGACTTGGTTTCAAAGTCATCTGCGCCAATAACGGTCTGGAAGCAGTGGAAGCATGGCAAAGTCATCCTCCAGGATACTTCTCTATCTCTTTTATGGATCACCACATGCCAAAGGTTTGGAACGCCCCTTTTTTCTATTCAAATTCAACTTTAACAGTTGTAACTGATATGCAACTTCATCTTGCAAATGACATAGTGTGACGGTGTTGAAGCAACAAGAAGAATACGTGAAATCGAAACTGCTGAGCAAAGGACCACCTGTCTTCCTATCGTCGCATTGACAGCTGACATCCAAAAAAGCGCACGCGATATATGTTTGAAAGCTGGCATGACTGTGTAAGTTGTTGATCATTTGTGATGGCAACGGTCCTAGTATAAGTTAATGAATGACTTACATACTAATATCTCGTTCTATACTGCTGACACATAGGTATCTTACGAAACCAATGAATCAGAAGTCGCTTGCTGAAGTCCTCAGACGGCACTGCTTGCAACCATATTTAGCACAAGTACAGTCCAAAGAAGAACCAGTGTAACTCTTAAACAGCTATTCAGACAGAAGCCCGTCCCCAGTAGTAGTATACCATCATTTGCATTATACATCATCTCATACACAGCACCAAATTATTCATTCCACCCTTTCTCGTCGTCATCACACATGCATTATCTCACTAATTTAATCAATATAAAAAATTAATTCCTAGTTCACTGTGATGGACGTTATTGCACTGAAATGCTATTGAAATATAAATCTGTACAGGCATTGTTTGTAACCTCAATATGATGGTTCTTTTGAGCGGTCATGAGTGTATGTGTATTTTTCTCGATGATAAATACGTTATGCGGGCGAACAATGGGCGAATCCTTTAAAGAGGAGTGATCGCCGATGGAAGTGCTATATGTAGTAGCTAATAATACACGCCTAGCATCCAGCATTATACTTTTATATCTGTGAATTAAACTACTTACAGCTTCAATATATGCTTACATTAATATGTTCACTTTACATAATCTATGGTATAGTCAGGGAAAAGAATAACTAGAAAATTGTTTGTGCTATACTACCTTTTTCCACTGTTATATTTGCTTATAGTGTTTCAAGCCCAATAAATACATAAGCCAACACAGAAATTTCGTTTTGCCGAATATTGAATTGCTGTATATTTGAATTAAAAAATAAGCCAACGTTTTTAAATTTTGGAGTTAGCAGTGCTCACGATTGGACATCAGCACATCCCAATGTACTACTACGGGGTCTAGGCAATGTCTCGAACAATATAGCAATGGTTGTGAACAGTCCATTTGATGAAGATTCTGATCGTTTATTTCTCTTCTTGTTAATCTGCTGTCTCTCTTTGTATCATCATTCTGTATGTCACACAAAACGTTTCAGAGAACATCAACTAATGATACATTCATGTAGCATTAGAAGTAGACCAGATAGAGAAACACTGCATGCTCGTGTATGTTATTTATCAAGTACTTCAAAACAACAATAACCACCACAGGAGTTGGCTAAACAATTAGCAAGCTAAAAGTTGAAGTTTCTCGAGGCAAGAGCCATACTAACATTATGTAAGGAGCTGGTAATCACGCCATATCAAACTTTTTGCCGCATGACTCTACATTATCCCACTGATACAAAGAAAATGGTTAAACGCTGCACATTCAGCAATCTATAATGATTGTTATTTTTAGTAATAACGCCTCTTCTTAAATAACGCCTCTTCTTACAGACTGCTACGGTACAGTTTCTCGCTGTCGCCAGCGATCGTGGCTTCTTTGCTGTCGCTCTTTCCATGGAACAAAATGCGTACTCAATCTCTACCAGACGCTATCGCCAAATATCCAGCTTTTATGAAGATCTCAGGACTAAAAAAATTGACCCCAATCAAGTTTTTTTGCCAATGGATTTGTTATGCACCTGCTGTTTGGAAATTGATGCACAACTTGATTTCGGTTGGAGTAAATCATTTAAGTCATTACAAGTTACCTATCGGTGATGAATTTCTGGATATGTCTGGGATATTCTGCACGATGCCGAACAAAAAACCGGGAGAAAAAGATATCTGTTTCTGTGTAAAACTGATGTTATAAAGCAATTGGAATTGGATACATTGCTGGGTAATTATGCAACAAAGAAATCAGCAGATCAGCATTTGGAACAGTTACCTGGCAAGACACACTGGCATTTTTTCTTGGAATAGCGCCCTGGAGCGCAAATCGTACACCGTAAAGATGGTCTCGAATCTGCTGTTCTTGGTACGTTGACTTTTTCGCGTGCGAGGGTGGGAGCATCAAAGACAAGTGCTGTAGGAGCTTCACTCGATGAATCCCATTGGTCTTTGGGAGACAACGATACCGACAGATCTGTTTTCAGTCAGTCTATTGATCCCTTGGTAAACTTACAGATGACACGTTAGCGTATTGCTGGGATGATGGAGCAGATGTCGGTCCCGCTGTTCCCTTTTTATTGCAAAGATAGACTGGTTTACCTTGATGTGGAGGGAAATATCGGCTAGGCGCACGAGACCAGTCGTCTAGAATGCTGTTTAAACCGACGGGATCGCCTCTGGCTAGTTGGGCCTAGAATTTTATAAATTCATGATAGCTATGTACATCTACGACTAGATGGTTGATCCGCAAGAGAACTGTTTTGTCTGATAATTAAAGGTACTCAATCATTTAATCATGTGCAATGAATTGTTGATCAAATCATTCAGGTTATGATTACCTTGGTTACTTTAACTGCGAATATGCTTGATCCTACAGATAAAAGAGAAGTGCCGCGAAGTGTCAAGTTCTCACAATTATCTTCAATTGTATGGTCCGTGTCTCGTCTCGAAGATAAAAAACGCCCCTTGGCGGTTCTGTGCTATCCATGGCAATATACCAACCAATGCCATCATCGTTGCAGTACAGGGTTCCTGTAAGTAGTATGTTAAGCTCGAGTGCTTCTGCAAGAGAGGTTTTTAAGTTTGTCAATAGTAGGATTAAGGGTCCGGGGACGACCGAAATAGCTAGCGATAAATTGCTTTGTGACAATCGTGGATACTATCTAGCGCCGAAAGTGTTATTCTGCACGGAGGAATGTCCCGTTCATGTTTATCAGACGGATATATTAAAGTAGTAACAGTAGGCGTAAGATTTTTAGTAGTCATGGTATGAAGAAAGTAAATAGGAAATTTTCACAGAGGCGATATTTGCAGTTATATTAAGATGCGTTTTCTAGCTTAAGTGACTCACACTAAGCTGTAGTGCAGATTCTTGCAGATACGTTTGATTGAGCGCTCCGTGAGAAGGGCGGCTACAGATTAATGACTACTCCTCTGCCTGTATGCATGCAGCATCCTCGAACCATCCAATTTGGTCTTGTATCTCAACTTCCTGTCTCATTCGCCTACCGGTCAGCATGCAAGTGGCAGATCATTCTTGTCAAACCCTGTTTTCTTACCTCAGCTTTCGGCACACCGCGCCAGGATAGAGGTCGCTTGATTACCGCTTTCTTTGATTATATTGACCGAGGCAGAAGTTCTATCGATCCACATTCGAGCTTTTCTTTCGACCAGCTGACGGTTCAACCACGATTCCACCAAGTCGCTCCTCATTATCCTTCGGTGACACCCTTCTTTCACTACCGACTCTTAGCGATGGGCTCACTCTCGCCGGCATCACTACCAAGACCTTTCGGGAATAAGTAATCAAGCATTACTTACCTCCCTTCCTTCCGATATACACGGGCACTGACTTTGGTTTGGAAGACGTTTTGGGAAGCACCACCCCAATATCATTCTCACACAATCCTCTGATGCACTTTACACAAGGAGCTTCCTAGCCTATGGATACCACAGCTATTCGACAGCGTCTGTTCACTACGCAACAAGCGTGAGAAAAAAACCTTGCAGCATCTCCTTTCATCCATATTTTTAATCAATGTGCACGTTATAAACTTGTTCATCGTACATAGCCGTCAGTCTGTGCACCTAAACGAGGTGAAATTTTACGTTTGAGCTGCAGATATAAAGTTCCGGGGGATGAGATATAGGTTTGGAGGAAGTTGAAGATTGATGCTACTGCCCTAGCTGAGGAGTTGATGTGTAGAAACGCTGTTCACCTTGCTTTCTTATCACTGCTCATGGGGTAAGTTTACAACTGTCATCCTGATCGATTGTACAGTAGCATCTCTGCTTTTGCTCTTCTAAAGCTCCAAAGAAAGGCTAATCTCAAGTTCCTTTTCTTTGCTATTTCCATTACCTTAACTAGCAATTAATTGTTCTCTCAAGCGAAAGTCTGACTCTTTGTCGGATATATTTTGGATATTATTTTATATGCTTATCAACAGAATATGCCTATCAACAGATGTGCGTTGTATTGCTCAATGTATGGTAATACACTTTATCGATTGCTGTCAGTATTTGTTCTATGCACTTGATTTTTACGGCTCCACTTATGCTTCAATATGTAATGAACTGATAAAGAATGAGATGGCTCGTCAGTAAAGAGGAGATAGGCCAGCGTGCAGCTTCCTTTTTGGGGCGCTCTACACACTCTATACACGATACACCGTATAGGACCGCTGAGCCAAGTTCAACATCGTACACTGTAATATGATCACTTTGCTTAGAATCACATTGAAAAATTGAGCTTGAGACAGATGCTATATAGTCTTGCTCGTGTCTATCTGTGCGAGTCTGCAACTTTTTCGACATAATTATAGCTTAACTGATTCTAGCTTATACATTTTCCAATCACATTTACCACGTTCTTTTCGTTGATTATTAGTAGCGTACTGAATTTCTAATCCGCATAGTCAAAATTATCATCTCAACCCATTCTAGTTTATTCCCAAGCGTCGTCAGTATATCCTTGATTACCAATTGGTCATAATGCTCGTCCAATATAAGCACTTTTAACGTGGACACTTCAATGCTCATCGACGCGCAATAATTAAACAAGTTTGCTATAATGGACTAACGAACTGTGTCATTTTCTTTCAAACATGTACTGGAACGTCATTGTGTAACACTACTCGAGTGCCGTTGTAAACCACGTTTTCTGTCAGCTCTATCTTGATTACTACACACATACTTCTGTTCGTAGTAGCCATTCAGTCTTAGTAAAGTTTGGCAAGTTGCCAGTTTTTAAATACATGGCGGTAATATAAGAAAATACGCAGCGCTAGGTGAAGCAAAAATCTTGAATATCGCACTGACAACATCTCACGTACATAGACAACTGTGTAGAACGTTGGATCAATAAATGTGTGTCCACCTTCTACTACCGGGGTGAGTACCTAGAAAACAATTTTGTATTATATTGGCATCTTCCTTTCAGTATATAGTGTTTCTAGAGTAACACTGTCTGATACTTAGCTAGTACGGACTCGCTTTATGTACAAATTAATGTTCAAATACCATCTAGCAGTTACTAACCCACTACCATCCGTCTATTGACATAGCAATAGGCGGGGTAAACAAAGATGACATGCTTTACTCAAGCACAAAGTCTAATTTATAAGAAACAAAATGAGTTTTGTGATTTTATAAAAACTTGGCATGAAAATGCATTCTGTAAATCCTCCCTTTGATAAGTAAACGACGCCACCCAAATATGGTTGGCGGAGGATGGAAGTGACAAAAGTTGTTCCCAGAAAAAAAAGAATGCATATACATTTTTTTTCTAACTTGCTTTTTACTCCTCCTCCAGTTTTCCTCTCTTCTTCTTGGCCTAACGAACCATGGATTTTGCATCCGCGCCACTTCAGGCGCTGTTCTCCCAAAATGCAGATCTAGATCAACTCACGACGTTCCTAACGCAACTCGAGCGACGCTACCGAGAAACGGCCGAAGACGAAAAGGATCGATTTGGTGCATTGCAAATCTTGCTGCCCGCCCTGAAAGCTCACTTGCTCCGTGTCTCGAGCGATGCTGAACGCGAAAAAGTGCTGGGAACATACCTACAACCACTGCTTATGATCAGTTTTCGTCACGATTCCATGATTGCCACGGAAAGCGTCAGTTTGTTGAGCGATGCCGTTGCCTACTGGATGGCCCGATCGATCTTGCGAGACAATAAGGAAGATACGTTTGACGACGAAGAACAAGAACAAGAAGACGGGTTTGGTCGGTTCAATTTGGTTTTGTTACTGGGTCAACTGTTGACTGTCATGGAGGCAGAGCCGGATTTCGTCGATTTGCACCCGATCCGATTTATCCGCGCGTGTCTAAGCAGTGGCGGTAGTAGCGATGGTGATCATCTCAACGACTCACAGAATGAAGAATGGAAACTGCTTCAGTCGAAGGTTGCGTTGAAACGACGATCGGATATTCGTATGGTGACGGCGTCAGTGCTGGACGAGGATATGGATGACAGTTCGAGCATGATCAGCAGCACGACGTTCAACACCACGACATCGTTAGGTAGCTCCAAATCGGCTACGACATTGGATCTCGAATGTTGTATCGACGTGATTAATCGTTATGTTCTGGAATTGGCTGGAGACAAGGAGGAATTGAAAAAGGATGAGGCGTATGGCTGGATGGATGTGATTATGGCAATCGCAGTAGCGATGCTTCCTTGCACCGACGCGCCGATCCGTGCTAAACTGACAAACGAATTGATTCCAAACGTGTACCGATGGCAGCAACAGCAAAGTTACGAATCTGTTCCTCTCGAGAAGCGAAAGCACTGGGCTGAGGTACGTATCTTTCAATAACGGTCTTGCTAAAACTCAAGCGATCCTGCTTTTAGGATATTGCTAGTTACACAACTTACTTTTCTCTGTAGATGTTGTGGAAGCGCACGCGACAAATTTTCGAACTGCCAGCAACAAACCTTTTACGCTCGGAAACCTATGGCTTGATTGCGAGATTCTTTGAACTTTACTTTGTGGTTGATCAGGACGAGCCTGTTGTTTACCTTGATCTTCGTTATGACGAGGACTTTTTTAAAATTCTCCAGGTAAAAGACAGAGGAGAAAGTTACAGGCACTCGCATATTAAACCATTACCGTTACACAGAGCGGACTCCGCAGTAATGAAAGTCTTTATCGCAAGTACTCGTCGTATATCTTGAAACGAATCATTGATTATACGAGCAAGTACCCTGAGATCAAAAGCAGCACCAAGCCTTGGACAAAGTATTTTGAATGGTCGACGGAAAAGTCGGATGTGTATATAACGCAATGGGCCGACTGGTTCCTACTATATGAAATCATGCACGAAACCGTGATTCATTTGGTGGAACCTGTACTGCCAAAATTGGAAGTTTTATTGCTCAATGCCGAAACCAACATGGATGCGTCGTGGTGGATTCTCTTGTTTTATCGAGGCTTTCAAAACGATATGGGCTCTGTCAAGAAGGGTATCCTCGAGTACGTTTTCGGCTTGCAGAATCCCAAATCCCTTAGCTTACTGGCTGGTCAAAGCGATTTTATCTTTGGCACTTTGCTGAAATCCATCGATGTGATCGGTATGTACTCGGTGCCTACCCAGGGAACACTTGTGAGTCCTTTTGGTGAAAAACTCAAGGACTTCATGCACAGATTGGTTCAGTCTATCGAATCAAACGAGCAAAAGGTAAGCTAGAGAGGATGGCTTGTATGGAGGCAAAAAGAAATGATCCAGCTAATTAACATTCGATTATACTATTTCTAGGCTCAATTTTTAAGCCAGTTGCTGCATCATATTGCACATGTGGTCAATGGATACGTGCCTATCTTGTACATCATGGAGGGTATTGTGGATATCGATCCCATTCCTGCTTGGGGATCTGACGAACTGCGAACATTGAGATATTTGGTGGATCGTCATCGCAACTTCCAGTAAGTGTACTGCAAGATGAAAAAATAACGTTTTAAAAGAGAAAAGGCGCGCATTAACCCGGAAAAACAAAAGCCTAGTGAAAACGAGACTATATTTACGAAAGCTTGGTATTCAAGCCGTTATCAAGTTTGCCAATCCCGAAGCCTTATCATTTTCTGATGTTGCAAAGTAAGATTTGGTGCTATAAATGCAAGAAGAAAAAGGCGGGGAAACAAGGGTAGAAGAAAACGAACTGATATGTCCCTCTCTTGATATACTCAATTTGTAGAACGGTTTCTTCATTGATCACTGATAACGCCATCAAAGCAAAGGGTGAGGTTTATAAGAGCCTTCGCACATGGCTGGAACAGAATGTTTCAAAAGATAAGGTAAAACTACCATCACTATTACTACATCTTAGTTTCATGAACTGCTTAGGACCCTTCCCTAATATAAAAAATCGTCAAAATCAGACTCTCGATAGTTTGCTCGCATCTTTAAAGGAACGAGTCGAGGCGTATATTAGCACGACAGCATCTAATGAAGAAGGTAAATTCTTAGTTCTCATTTATTTCTCATACTTAAGCACTAGTGAAAGAGGAAAAGACTGATATGCATACATCTGGCAAAATCGTATGCTAGACATTCCCATGAGCTTGTTACGAAATCAAGCAAACGTATTAGCCCGAATGAGTGTGTTTTTGATTACTAACAATGATGGCGAACCACAAAAGAAACAAGCATCTCAGCTCTTCGAGGCATTGACAAAGAAGCTCAATGATAATTTGAGGTATGTAGGTTTCATATTAAAGAGCATTCACTAGTATGTAAAGTTTGCTAATAACACTGTTTTCTTTTTCTTTATGGTTTCTATGATAGCTCTGTCACCTTTCTTAATAGATTGCTTATCTTGGTTGATTCTTTATGGAATGTCTATGATACCACGTTTGAAGGATGTGACGGTAAGTTAGACACTGAAGAAGGGATTTACTTAGATGAGTATTAGCTCACCCATTGTGCAACTTCAATGTACTACTAGGCTTTGCGGATTTGATTGGTATCGATAACATCCAACAAATAGTAAAGCAAATCGATGACCAATGGATCAACCTTGAAAAGGAGAATGTCACTGGTACGTACGCACATAGAGTGTTTCTTTAAGTGAGACTAGAATTTTAAGATATTACTGAAAATTAATGGTTATTGGATCTTGTTTATGTAGAGGAATTGCTAGTAGACTTGTTTGTTTCGATGTCAAAGCACATTCTTGTTTCAAGCACCTGTTTTGATAATGCTGCTTCTCGGGAACAACTATTGAAGGAACATCATGGCCGTTGCATGGAACTCTTGCGCGCTAGACGCTCACGTAAGTAAACTTTGAAAAGGGCAAGAATGAACATGCGAAAAACTAAATGCCTTTCTTCATTACACAGCAACCGATGCAAATCAAGAGATGGCAAGGGAAGGCCACCTTCGCCTGCTTGCTGTAGTTTACGAGGCAGCACGACGCCATTCGTATCTGGAACTCAGCTATGATCAACCCACTGCAGATCTACTTTGTCAAGTTCAAACCAAAAAGACGCATGAAGCTTTACAACAAGTTAGGTATGTGTCAATTCATTATATCATTTTTTTGCTTGAGAGAAAACTTCGCAACATAATTCTTAAATATGAAATTGGTATCTTTATACCAGAAATTGGGGTGACACGATTTCTGCATTTATCCGATGCAAGTGGAAATGCGTGCAACAACTGATGCTTTACACTTCAATGGTAATATCTTTTTTCTCTTCTGAAGTGGGATGATATGCTGTTAATTCTAGCTACTAATTGATTCATCGCGTGTGATTTCTCAGGTTTTGAAAGAAACAGATAGTGCTGCCTCTAGAAACAACATGTTCGATCCTGAAAGTCTTTTTGAAGCCGCTGTTGAAGAACTTGAATGTGCATCCGAACTCTGTGCAGCAGCAGTCATCAACAGCGTTGGAACAATCCTTAGTCTTCGATGGAAGAAATCGGTAGAGATGATGCATACTGCGGTGGAATACACCATTGCGTTGATCGAGGAAAATTTTACACAATCCAAGACATCGCCGCCAATGATGCGCGCTCTTGTGGACATGATCTTCCAGCCCGAGGTTTTGTTGGATGAAACATTGATGATGACGGATGACGGACCTGTCAAAAAGGTGCTGAACTATATCTTGGAGATCGGCGAGCTGAAACCTTATGTCGTGACACAATGTGCAACATTACTCCATACCTTTTGGACAACAAAGGATCAAAACGGTGCTACCAAAGTCGCAGCCGACAAATCCATGCTTTATTATGCTCCCGAAATTGTTCGATTTTTGGTCTATGGTCCTTTGCGCGACCGTGAAGATCAAAAGTTGGAAGCTGCTACAGCTGTTAAGCTCCAGGATCCACAAACCATCCGTGAATCAGAAGAGTAAGAGAATCTTTTCTTTTTCAATCCCGGTTAAGTGTTCTGATTTTAATATGCTCTATCTCATATAGTTCCGTTGCCATGAATTTCACTCAAAACGATTACATGGCGCGTGTATATATGAACGATTTAATATTGCGATTGAACAAGGACAATGATTTGCACGTGCAGTTAGCTGAGCGTCTCATGGATCTAATTTTGGACAAGTTAACTGATAGTTCCTTAGTCAACAACCATTTTCCGCACACCATTGAGCATCGTACCAAGGTAAGTAGAATAGACTGAAAGATTATAAAGCATGACTGTAACTAAAGAGCATTGTAAATTCTTAGATTCGCTTGTGGTGCTCAATGCTGCTTTTACATCGATATATTTGTGAGGAAAAAGCCGAACATTACGTTACTCATATCTGGTCCACGATTCGAGGGGAAACATCAGTGTCAGTTCGCTGTTACAGCGAATGGCTTTTGGCACGACTGTTCCGCCAGTTCCCAAGTCAATTAAATACTTTGTATAGTGCAATGCAAGTTCCAGATGTAGCACCACATTATGTTGTATCCTATCTTACCATCACCTTTTCTTTGGGAGATATTCTTGATGACACATCTGCCAGAGATTACTTTGAAGAGGTAAAGAAAAGAGGAACTTTGTAGTCAAGACTGTGAAAAATTAACTCTTTTTTCTTTTGGTAGATCTTTTCACGAATCATGCCTTGGTTAACGTCCAACAACTTTACGGTTCGCTTGTACGCATACAGTGCGTGGTTCCGAAACCTAAATGCCTGTCGAGCAAGGTACATCATTTCTCTAGCTGTAATATGAGAAAAACTACTAACCACATTGTTCTTTCTTACTATACACACAGAGGATTAAATCCTGACTTAGAAAAGAATCGATACATGGCATCCCTTGTCACCTTTATGGAACAATACGTCGATACGATCAACTTTGCTGAAAAGATCAAGTCCAACTTTTATATGACCGAGTTCAATCCACTTGAAGATTACAATTTGGAATTCATCTTTAGACAGATGATGTCCGTCTTTGACGTCCTTGAGAACGAAAAAATCGCATCGGTAGGTTTGCCTAAACCTTTTTATCCTTCTTTCTATCGTATATTCTTTCTGCACTAATATACTGAGATTCGTTTTGATATCTTTCTCTGTGTGTGTGCCTTTTTAGCGAGCATTTATGAAGGTCAATCCTGAATATGTGGAATCATGTCCGTTCGAGAACCCTCATCGACGAAACATTGTCAAGTTTTCCGATTCTATCAACATAGAGGAAGAGGAGGAAAAAGACAAGTCAGACGAAAAGAAGGAACAAGCAGTGAATGAAGATGTTTCATATCAAAAGAAGATCATGCCATGGGAAATGATGCTTGAAACCGATGTTGAACTTACCAAAGATCTCGTCAAGTCCAAGGTAAAAGGAAACATAGACATTGGTTTTCTGATATATATCAGTTATACATGCTAGTATTCTTACTGTTTTTTTTTAGCGGCGACGTAACGATCTAATTGTAGTTGCAAGTCTTGTGGATCGTGTGCCCAACATTGCTGGTAACGTCTGCAATAATTGTTTTTCCGCACATCACGAAACAAACACTAACACTCCTCCTATATAGGTCTGTGTCGAACATGCGAAATCTTTAATGCGTCATTGCTTGTCGTCAACAATATCAAGGTACACAGATATATACTACAAACAACAACAAAAGAGATGCTAATCACACTTAATATCCACTATTTTCAGATGAAAGAAGATTTTGGCTTTACTAATATCAGTGTTGCATCAGAACGCTGGATGCCGATGCTTGAAGTTGGTGAAGACGACGTTGCGTCATACCTGGAAACAAAGAAACAAGAAGGTTACGTTCTTTGTGGTCTAGAACAAACGACGACGAGCGCAACATTGGGCGAGTTTGAGTTTCCGGAAAGATGTGTTCTATTGCTGGGCAAGGAACGTCAAGGTGTTCCGGCCAATCTGTTACAAATGCTCGATCAAACAATTGAAATCCCACAGCAAGGTATCACACGATCGTTGAATGTCCATGTCAGTGGCGCTATTTGTATTTATGAATACGCCAAACAAATGCAGTGGCGTCAACATGGATTACAAACAAATGCTACTGTGGCGGCATCTGCTGCTGCTGCTCCCCTACAATCTTCTTCTCCTTCCGTATAGTTCTACATGTATTCTTCCTATATATTCTCTCAATGCATGAATGTATTTTATACAACATTTTTAATTGGTCATCACAAAAGAACCTATCATACATACACACACTCTCTCTCTCATCTACGTTATAGAAAAAAGACATATCAGACCCTGATAAATATTAGTTTGTTTGTTTTTTACAATCAAGAACAGAACGCGACACTTTATACAGAAATTTGGAATATATGAAAAAAAGGAATCATCAATTTAGAATAAAATCTAGCTTTGCCTTGCTGCTCTTTTTCCGCTGCTGCTGCTGCTGCTGCTGCTGCTGCTGCTGTTGGTGTTGTTGATGGTGTAGCAGCCTTGGATCATCATAGGCTTCACTACTCGACGCACCAGACTGTCTCCTCGGCCACTGACTTTCGGGTGTAGCCGCCGGAGGCGGAGGAGGAGGAGGATGCTGATGAAGATGTTGATGTTGGGGATGATAAGTCACGGGCTGTGGCGGCAGTACATTTTTGACACGTTGTTGTTGCTGCTGTTGATGCTGTTGAGGATGTGGATGGTGATGAGAGTGCACATTATAACCCGGTGAAGAATACATTGGCTGCGGTTGTGGCTGGTAATGTTGTTGAGGAGGTGGCGGTCCATAAGGATGATGGTGATAATATTTGTCTCTTGAACTAGGTGGCTGCTGCTGCTGTTGTTGTGGTTGTGGTTGTGGTTGAGGAGGCGGTGGGGTTCGTTGCGCTTTTGGCGTCGGATCAGACGCTTTCCAGACATGCAATTGCCTACCACCAGGTTGTTCAGGCGTTGAAGACGGTGGGATATAACTGGGCTGCTGTTGTTGTTGAGGCATTGGTGGCTGTTGATGATGATGTTGTTGTTGTTGTTGATGTCGCTGCTGAGGCGAATGAAGAGCCTGTGGAGGGGGTGCTTGTAATTGTGGATGTTGATGCCATTCACGACCTTCTGTTGGTGCGAGTCGAATATGTGAACCATCAGCATGATAATTGATAAAATGAACGGGTTGTTGTTGTTGTTGTTGCTGTTGTTGTTGAGCAGGAGGTCGTTGATGATGGTGTTGTGCTTGCGGTGGTGGTTGAGGCGGAGAATGAGAAGGAGGAGCAGTAGCAGTTCCAGGAGGAGGAGGAGGAGGAGGAGGCTTGTGACTTTGTTGAGAGGGAGATGGTCGAGGGGGCTGTGATGATGGTGGCGGTGGCGGTGGCGACTGTTGCTGCAATCGCTGTTGTTTCGTATGAGCACCATCATTTGACCGGAGAATTGTTGCAAAGTCATAGGCACTATTGTGTTGCTGTTGTTGTTGTTCTCGTGGAGCCGGTGGTGGTGCTGATCTTGCAATAGGCTCAACGGTCGTGCTCGCACTACTACTGTTACTGCTAGGCATGGTTGGGGTAGATGGACCCTTGTCGGATTTGAAGACCGATGAAGGCTCAACCGACGTAGTCAGGAGGCTGTGGATGCTACTAGAGTTGCTTTTGCGCATGACGACAGGTGGAGCGCTTGTCGGTTTGTGCTGCTCTCCGTACATTGATGATAACGATGGCGATGATGCCGACATTGAAGTTGATGCCCATGGTTTTCCGTTCTTGGGCAACGCTTGGCTATCATTTGTCACGCGCTGCGCGTCCTCGTCATAGCCAAGTCGATGCTGGCGCGGGTGCTGGTGATCGTCTACGGCTACCTTGCGTAACTTGGCACCTTTTTCAGAATAAAGCAAGTCCCCTGCGGATGATTCCGTGTATGACGGTCGTCGTATATCGTCGCCGTCACTGCTAGCGGATATCTTTCTTCGTCGCATTTCTTCTTGCTGGTGCTTGTTATTGCTGGTATTTTCGAGCATCCACGATTCGTTTTTATATCGTTGCTGCTGCTGATATTGTTGATCTTTCACCTTTTCTGTCTGTTGCCTTTGTAACAATGATGGCTGTCCATTGTTGCTACTTTTGTTGTTATTACCACTCTTGTTTACTGTCGTTAATGAAGATGTTGACGGCGTCGGTCCTGTCGTCGTTGGTGGAGCTGATTGTTGTGATTGCGGCTGCGGCTGCGGCTGCGGCTGCTGCTGCTGAGGATACGTGCGGCTGTCTATTGACGGTGCCCCGATTGACGGCCTCCGTTCTTCCCCTGCCCATGATTTAAACCGTTTTCGTTCCATAGGATCCGTGGATAACTTGGGACTATCTCGCTTGTTCTGCTGCTGCAATGGCCCATCTCCAGCAACATCACCAACGACAGCAGCAGTGTCATTGACATTCAAACTGGCTGTTGACTTTTTACGCCTTTCCTTTAAGGTTACTGGTGTCTTTGTATCGATTTTTTCCACTTTAACTGGTGTCTTTGTGTCGCCATCCTCCTCATTTGTCTTTTCTTCTTCTTCCTTCTTCTTTAAGCGTGCTTCTAGATCTTGTTGTTCGTCTTCATGCTCCTCATTTTCAACAACCTGATCTAACGTTGGTTCGTGTTTCATCGATGATTTGCTACTTGAATGTGGCACTGTACGTGACGATGATGATGATGATGACGATGATAATGGTGTTGTTGTTGACACATCCGGCTCTGACTGCCGGCGACCCAAATCGATCGAATTATTCCGTGACCTGATGACATAATCATATTCTTTGGATGGAAAATAAGAACCTGAAGACGCGTTCGCAACGGATGGGGACGGTAGAATAGCTGGTGTTGTAGCGGAAACAGGCGTATTAAGGGAGGAGTTACTGAGCGTGGTGGAGATATTGGCAGGTTTATTAGTAGCAGTTGTGGATAGCGTCAAGTTCTCGGGTGTCGGTTTGCTTGCTGCTGTTGCAGTACTCGTCGTCGCCGTCGTCGTTGCTGTTGTAGATGTAGAAGCGGGTATCGGCAAGCCTTTTTCTCTTGCCTTCCACGCACTGCGAACCTTGTCCATGTGCGCCAACAGCTGGTCCTTTGTGATGCCATCCTGTATGCTGTGCATGATTTTTTGTACAACATTTTCATCGTTGGCGGTGTCTTTATCTGTTCTAAATCGAACAAATCTGTGTAAAGTGCATCCTTTAGTAACCCCTTTTCATTATCAACTCTCAAAGCTAGTTTCCCTCTATGTTTTACCTCCAACCACCTTTTCTTGTTGTAGGGGCATAACCTTGTTCGACAACCGTCACCTTCCAATCTGGATCATATCTGAATTCTGCAATCCGCCCATCCGGCAAGTGACTCTTCCATCTATTTAATACAAAAAGAGACCAAAATAAGTTTTCGAGGAATTCATTGTTCTGTCTTTTTTTAATGATCAATCAAAGGGAATAACCACCCTTCCCAAGTGGGAAAGTACACTTACTGGGATGCTAATTCATGTTCAGGCTGGAAATGATCAAAAAATTTATACGTGACACCATGTGATAACACCTCCAAGTTATAGATCGGCTTGTGTTCTTTGCTCCATTTTGCAAATATCCGAAAATCAACGGTGTTGAGCTCCGGCGGTTTCCATTTTAATCTAATATGGAAAAAGAGAGATTAGCTTTCTTTCTTTTCTATATCTCCAATAGAAAACTTACAATTTGTCACAGGTCCCGGGCACATAGGGATGTTTTACAGGAGTCCATATCACGCCATCACTACTATGCTTTAGTTTTGCCATTTGATCAAAAACGAGATGCAATCCATAAGACCGTTCCATTTTTTTCAGCTCTATGCTACAAAAGTCAATATATCGCCACATAGACGGTTAATATATCATAATGTATCACAACCCATCGTCACCCATATCAAAACTAATTGTCCATAAATGTCGCTTGCTTTTAAATACCTAAATGGAGGTGATTTCAATGCATCCGCGATATGTCGTACACTGTTCTTGAAGGGCGCGATAACTTCTTGTTGCAGCATCTAAAGCATATACGATGTATATAACCCATGCTATTAGCGTTTCCATTCACGTATACCCCTTTAAGTCCTTTGCTTTTTTTACCCCGAGTCTCGTATTGAATGATCGTTTCGTAACAGGCACACCGTTCAGTGACATGAGATCGAATAACAAAAAGCGCCATACTTTCTAAAACACCCCCCCCCACCGATATGTTTAGTCATTGTGATGCAATGTTGTAGTCCTTATTACTAGTAGTACCTTATCATTTGGCTCGGTATCTATCACCAATTCACCATCCATCAATGTGTCCTTTAAAAACTCCTTTTCTCGCCCACGCATAGGAAACAGCAGATTGGGAACGTAATACCATATCCTATTCCGGTCAAACTACATAGTTGTTGTTTTTTTCTTTGTGAGAAAAACGAGCCTCATCCCTCCCGTTATATATATATATACGTCCGCACTGTATAAAAACTCACCAAAAAAGATGCCGGGCCCTTGGACGAGTGGCAAAAGAACAGTAGATACCGTACACCATCCGTTTTTTCACAAACAAAATAATCCTCTTGCTCCAGTTCTGTCAAATGCTTTGTTTCGAAACTGACAGGTTGTGATCCCGGAAAACTATTAATTAAATTACCCAGTTCCACCACGTTGTTTGGTTGGTTGGTTAGTTAGTTAGCTGGAGAAAAAAAAACGCGTGGAAAAACTCTGCATAATGAAAAAAGAATAATTATTATAATTATTTTTTTACCTGTCATAATGTATTCGTAAAATATCCTTTACTCGTGCGTGAAGAACTTGTGAATATTGAGGATCTACGCGTTTGCCAATCGTTTCTGGAAGCAGCGACGGTTCATTATGGGATTGAGGCGAGGTACGTGAAACTGGCGCTGCTGCTGCTGCCTGTGGTGTCGTTTGTGTGGGTAATGACGGATGGTGTACGTGGTGGTGGCTGCTGCTAGTGGTGCTACTACTACTGCTGCTGCTGTTACTGTTACTATTGAACGAATGTTGCTGATGATGTTGATTAAAAGCTGCCATACGATATATGTATATGGAAAAAAAAAGTCGCTATTCGTTGTTCCCAATATTGTGGAGGTTGATTTTTCGTCGTTGTCGTAGTAGGTAACAGGTAGTAGTGCGTGCGTGTATTTTTTGCGTGTGTGTGTGTGTGTATATGTACAATGCAAGGTACGAGAGGATCTTTTTTCTTTTTCTTTTTTCTTGTAAATGCTTGCAAGATCAATTTTGAAAGAAAGTGTGAGTGTGTGTGCGTGCAAGTGGGGGTAAATGGGTGCCTGACTGATATAGTTTCTGTTTACGAAATGGGCTGTACAATAAAAAACAAGAAAAAATGTAAGAAAGAAAAAAGGGGAGGGAGTAAAAGGTTATTTGATGTGGCACTCGTTGACAAAGCCAAATGTGTTGGTTTACTGCAGCGAATGTGTCAATCGTTTTTTCTTTTTCTCTTCTCCCTCCAAATGTAGAATGATTTCTCGAAGCCAAGAAAAAAGCAAAAACGAAAGAGAGAAAGACACGCTTTTCTTATACATACACACACACCTGACTATGCCGGGAAAAGGCCAATCATAACTCTTGCAGGGTGCACTTTCTGGCCAATCACAATGCGTTAGTAAGAAATAATCAATAGCCCCAAAAAAACAACTATATCACTAACTACTTGGCATTTGTACACGTCAAGTTGTATCATCAATAACGAGCAGCTCTTTATATTACTCTCGAATTTTGAGAAGTGTGGTGGCTCTTAATATGGATTTTAAAAAACAAAGAAAGAAGATAGGTAACAACAACAACAACTGCTGCTGCTGCTGTTGCAGCAGAGATAGATAGATGGTATACAATCAGACATGACAGAGAGAGAGAGAGAGAGTATGTTGCTTATACAGAAGAATTGAGGAAGATGATGTAGCACGGGTATGTTGAAGAGGTAGCTAGAAAAGGAACAAAATGGCGACATTAAGCCTCTCCTTGTGATATAATATATACGTGATTTGTGTGTGTGTGTGTGTAATATGAAAGTATAAAAAAATAAATTAGCAGAGCTGTTCCCAAAACAGCTGCATTTCTTTCAGCTGTGTGGTGCTCTTTCGATCCAGATCGTCCAATCCCCACATAATCTCCTTGACGCGCTCGCCGACCTCGCCCTTTTCGAGCACAACCACCTCTTCCTCGTCGTCCTTGTCCTCGAGAAACTTGTTTATTCGCCGGATATCCTTGCGCACCTCATGGACCGTCTTTGCGATCGACCGTAAACGCGAGTTGAGTTCCTGGACTTGACGCTTATTAACGTACATGATCTCCTTGAGTTCCTCGAGCGACTGGGTCATGGACGACGTTTCAGCATGCAGCTGATGCAGCGTTGGCAGCGGATTCTCGTACGCATAGTTAGGATCATACAGCGTCATCTTCATGGTCTGGACTAGCAAGTCGAGTTCCCGGATCACATCCAGTGTCATCCACATGCCTTCTTTACGGATCGAGCTGTCAATGTTCCTCAGCGAGCTTGTCTGTCGCTCACGGTCCTTGGATTTCCGCTCTACCAGACTGATCACGGATGTAATCGCCAATTCGAGCGGAGGTGCCTTTTGCATATTCGGGTCTGCCAATACCGTATTGAACATGCGTTTGTGGAGCGTCTTGGTCTCCCATATGGCTGAATTTAACTCTTCGAGTTGTCGTTTCAGGTATTCGAACGGATCAATCTCGTCCACGTCGTTGATGATATTGTCCGTCGTGCTCCACGTCGACGAAGAGTATGAGCTCCGTCGACTCCGCATCCAGGTTGTTGGTGACCATGGCATCGACGGTGACGCGATCCCAGTAGGACTCGCTGGGTTGCTGCTTGTCGCCGTTGTAGTGCAGTCGTCAAGGTGATGGTGATTGTTATTGTTGGATAGTGCTGCTGCTCCAACCAAAAGCTCATGCAAATCATGTTCATTGTGGCTGTCGCGAATCCCACCTCCTTGTGATCCTATTCCTAATCCTCCTCCTCCAACAGCATTCGGTGGCAATCGTTCTGGTGTGGTTGCTGTTTCGGGCGTGGTCGTTGCTGAATGAATTTCTGCTGCAAGTGATGGCCCTAGTGAAGTAATGTTGTACCCCTTGCCGAGCAATTCTTGTTCTAGCGACTGGCTTGCTGCGAATGCATCGTCTTCAAAAAGTGGATCCCCTGAAGCCATGGAAGTATGTACTTGTCTATGAATTCTGTACGAAGTCTGTATTGTCAAGTTGGTTCAAGTCGGTTGCTTGAATTGACCAAGTAGAGAAACTGACTAGGAAAAAGGGCAAAAAAAAAAAGAGCGTGTGCTCGTTTGAAGAAAAAGGGAAAAGTGAAAGAAAATGAAAAAAAAAACTCGAGTTTTTTAAAAGGTGAGTACAGTACCAAACCGCTTACGGTACTGGCTTTTTTTTCGGCTCTGTCTTTTTTTCTAGAGAGGGGATATGAACACATTTTGTATATACAATATAGAGTGTAGTAGCATAGAGTAGTGTAATGTGCAGTATATAGTTATCGGGTGCATACACAGCGATATGTTACAAGGGAACAACGTTCTTCTTTTCCTTTGTCATGTATTTTACCAGGACTGTCGACTGCTCATGGAAGAGTTCGCTAACCGATATTCTCTCAGATCGTGCGTAAGATCATGCATACGGGTTCCCCAGTCCTTCAATCGAACGACCTTTTTTTTTCATAAAGCGCATATTAGAAACACCGACCAGTTTATATTCTATGATAGGTAGATGGCACCACTGCAACCACAAACCACGTTCCGAGGAAGACTTGTTGCCCCTCGTGTACTCCGGAGCGAAACACTTACCATGGCTGTACAGTTATCTTCTGATCCATATTGATCGGCAATGTCAACGAGTTTTCTCGCTGACATGGTTGGATCAGCTCCTGTTTTAACCTAGCAATTCACGGGTATAGAGGACAAGCATGAATGCAATTTCCCTTATCTTTTCCACCTTCTCTCACCCCCCATTCACCCACCTCCGGCCAATCCCCTCTCTCTCTCTCTCCTCACTTTTTTTAATCCCCCAACATCCAGATACTTACGACATCGACAATTTCTTGATCCGACATGACTGACGTTAAACCATCCGTGACCAGCACCTATCAATGCGTTTTGTTAAGCAAAAAAAACCACCCCCTCTGTATATATGCATACAACAGCAAACATCGTCATCTCCCACTGTCAACACTTTACCAAAAACGCAGCAGGATTATCTTTCTCGATAGTATGTCGTACAATATCTGGTTCGGAAGAGACTCCGTATCTTTTAAGTTTGGCATCACCAAAAGCACGACTTGTAGCAAGCATGCCGAGGATCCGGTCATCGCCCCATGAATCTGTTGTAACAAAGCCCGCGTATTTTCGTAATCGATCTTGTTCGTTCGGGTTGCTAGGGTGATGATCGCCTGTTGTCAAGGTAACCACTTGGCCCGTTGATGCATCGCATAGCAATATCCTGGGGGGTTTTTTTTTTCAAAAGGCATCAATTCCATCCATCTTCGCAACCTATCTAAATCCAATAAACGTTTACCTTGTATCGCCAACATGACCAATGACAATTTCATACCGCTCACTATCCCAAAACGGCTTTGCATCGTGTGGTTCAATGATTGCTATACTTCCTGTCGAGCCTTCATGGTATCCATCCGGTCCATCGTCCCGTAAAAAGTCTAAACATTCTACATCTGCATCCAGGAACGCCAGCGTCAGCCGTTGATCCAACGATAAATCGTCTGGAGATACATTGGATTTTAAAGTCCCTGTCTTTTCGTCTACCAAACCCTCGAGTGTGGATGGTATCCTGAACCGTCGAAAATAACCACCATAACCTCTCAATGTGGACAGAATACGCGGAAAGTCGTCCAATGTGACCGTCTCGATCTTTTGATGTAACTGTTCAGCGAGCCTAAGAGTAGACATATGTGTTGTTTTAAACTTTGCTTTTGCTTCAAAGTGCTAGATGAACATCCCCGGCACTTACCATTCCGAAACTAAAGGACCACCGTGTCTATCCCCAATGTTTACATACAATATTCAGTTTTCAATCCACATATTGAGCTTCAACACCTTTGTACCACGCATTCCTTACCCGTCAAACACCCCGAAATAGGCTCTATCTGCTTCGCGTTTCATGGTACGCAACTTGGTACCTGTTGGAAGTTCTAGCGTCACGCTCCTGTACCGATCCTCATTGTGATTGCGAGTGCCTCGTGTACTAAGCACTCCTAGTTTTTTTTTAATAAAGAGGGGTTTTTTAAAGACGACCCGCGGGGGGCTGGTTAAAAGTGGTATAACAACAAAATTATCGAAAAACAAATTGGAATAGATAAAAAGCATCACAATTTACCATTATAAAACCAACCCTGATAAACACATACCTAGAAGCTGTTTTGAGTTGTTCAAATTTAGTCGTAATAAGTGGCCTGTTTGTACATTAAAAACAAAGGTGTTGGTGCTAAACCATTATAATGTCACAAAGAAAGAAGGGCAAAGTGCATACCACCGGCTTGTGTTTTTGTCAGGTAATAGTTAAGGTATGAAGTAGGTAACGATGTGCTGAATGGACGTTGTGGTAGCCGGGGGGACCATCGCGTGGTAGTTGTGGCTATTGCTGTTGCTGCTGAACGATACGTAAGAGACATTTGGTGTGTGTGAGAGTGGGTAAGACGAAAAGAGTAACTAATTTTGTTTCCCGCTTTATGTGCCTTGCTGGTGGTCGCGTATATGCACACACACTCTTTGTCCAATAACTTTCAGACAGGGAATCAGTGGCACGCATAATCATATATTCTGTTTGATTGCTGAATTGAGTAATTTACTTCATTTATCCTGTCAGTAGCAGCAGCAGTGACCAAGTGATGGTGGCGTTTAATAATAATGAGGAGATGGGTTCGCGTTGTTGTATTGCTAGTACCGTACTACAAAGAAACCGGAGCGTGGTTCATCACGTTGTTTTTGTTTTTGTTTTTTTCTGTGTATGTGTGTGTGTGTCACAAGAACTAAAGACACGAGATCGACTTGACTTTCTTGCACATGTTGCCTCGGGCGTCAATTGTAACAATTGCACCGCCGCCAGTCCAAAACAGCATTGCACGATGGGAAGGATCTCTTATTACTATACGACGGTATAACAGTAATATACCGGCTTCTATTTAAGCACATTTAGCGGGAGAGAGGGGGGCGGTTGGGGCTCGGCTCATCGATTATGATTGCTGCTAAATTACTTTGTTTGATGGGATGAGCCCGGGTCCCGACGTACTTGGAATCCATCACTCCTCCTTTTTTTTCGAGATGATTGCCTACGTACGCAATGGCAGGGGAGTGAGAGAGTGGTAGCAAAGGCCGATGTTTTCTTATCAGGTGTCAAACATGCTACGGACCATTGATGGGGTAAATGGTTACTTATTTCATTCTCCTAAATATTGGGTGGGCCATTCATTTATCACTTCTTTTTTTAACTCTCTCTCTCTCTCTCTCTTTCTCCACTCTTTCTTTTCTTCTTCTTTCTATCTCTCTTTCTTTTACTACTTCTTTTCGTCTTTTCCTGCTTCGTATGGCCAAACGTGGTACGCCTGCTCGCGAATATGATCTGTTGGAACAAGTAGGAACCGGCTCTTTTGGCACCGTCCACAGAGCTGTGAATAAATCAACGCATGAAATTGTACGTACTGTTCAAAAACTATAACATACATAATACATACGGGCTGCTATTCCTGTTCCTGTCTCCAACACCCCCTCTTCTTCTACCGCTCTCGCTTTCTTACACTTAAATCACATACGCAGACATGTCTCCTTTCTTTCTATGTCTCTCTTTGCACGCACATACGCACACACACATATATATTTATATACATACCCCAACCCAACCCCCAGGCGAGGGGCGGGGGAAGAAGTCAATGCACCAAAATTAATCGAGATGAATTCAATTTGTTGGTTCCTGCATTTCCAATGGCAACATGATAATAATATTAGGTCGCCATTAAAGTCATGAAGAAATCGTCTAAAGGGGATTGCACCAATGCACGCGAATACCGAACGTTAAAGCATCTCGCCCGCCATCCCAATATAGTCAAGTTGTACGATAGTTATGCCGGGCCCGCCAAAGAACTCTATTTCGTCATGGAATACATGGACAGAGGCAACCTGTACCAGTTGATCAAACAACGACGCGAAGCAGAACAGCCGCTCAAACATGCAGAAGTGCGCTCTATCTTGTATGTTATCTCGATATAATTTCCATGTGTGTGTATAGAGAGCATCATATGCTACTCGCAGAGAAAAAAAGAAAGGATGCCACCCATCATTTTTGAGACATCTCCTCTCTCCTGTTATAGTCCCTTATGCTTCACTAGTTGCTTATCCTTCACTTTATTCAATTAGGCGGCAGACGCTAACAGCATTGGCACACTTGCATCAGCAAGGCATATTTCATCGCGACATGAAACCCGAGAATATCTTGATCGGTAAAAGAAATAATGCAGCTGCACCAAGATTGACATCACATGACCATTACCAGAATCACTACAAAAGCACAAGCAACAACGACCACGAAGATAATGATGACGAGGAAGATGACGACTTGATTATTAAGTTGGCTGATTTTGGTCTTGCTCGCCAGATTAAGAGTAAACCACCCTATACCGAATATGTCAGCACACGATGGTAAAAAACACCATCCTCTTGTTCTTATCGTCGTCGTCGTTATAAATAATATCGCTAATGACGATCTAAATTTTTTAATTAAAAAACAGGTACCGAGCACCTGAAGTGCTCTTACATTCTACGAATTATTCATACCCTGTCGACTTATGGGCCGTCGGCGCCATCTTTGCTGAACTCGTCATGTTAAAACCCATTTTCCCCGGCAGATCCGAAATCGACCAACTCTTTCGAATATGCCAAATACTTGGAAACCCATTAGGCACTGTCATGAAACGTCGGCTCGCACCTCTTCTATCAAAAAAAGCATCTTCATCTTCGTCATCGTCATCATCACCGGCGGCAGCAGCAGCAGCAAAAGCAAAAGCATTGGACCCCCACCATCAACCCCTTCCACATTCTCATCCTCCTTTAAAGCATGACACAATGCAGCAGCAGCGGCATAAGCAGCAGCAGCAGCATCAACAGCAACTGTACCATAAGCATGAGCATAAAAAGCACCAACAGCATCAACCACCAGCATCACCACCTGATCCTACTCGCGACTGGTCCGATGGGATCCGACTTGCCAATAAGATTGGCTTTGATTTTCCCCAGGTAAAAACATATGCGCCCAAGTTCTGGCTACTACTACTACTACTATATAACTATATACTCTATGACTATCGATTAAATGGACCGAGCACTTTTGTGCGCGTGTGAATTATCATGTTTTTACTTACCGTACCACTTGCCATGATAGTTACCTCCGAAGCCTTTATCCACTGTCCTACCTACAGCCACTCAGCCAATGCTCGACCTCCTTGCGCAGTTTCTAACCTTTGACCCAGCCTGTCGCATCAACGCAGCAGACGCTCTTGCATCGCCATTTTTACGCTGCCGCCGCCACGATTCTACTACTAGTAGTACTACGCTACCTTCGCCATCTATCATGGATCACACGAACAACAACAATAGTGACAACAGTAATAATAACAAACAAAACACTCCGCCACTCAATAACGCTCAGCAATCCCAACAACAACAACAACGAAAGAGCTTGCTGTGGGCAAAAGGCGTAGCTATGAAACCACCACCAACACCGTCACAACAACAACAGCAGCAGTCATCTATTCCCATTGGCGGTAATAATTTCAAAATGGCAGGAGGAGCGGGTAGCATGGCGCAAGATATTAGAGATGTATTGCGATTATCCAAGAGCAAGACTATAGATCGGTTACAGCGGAAAAAGCCATCGTTGACCTCGATTCGTATCGCTGCAGCAAACATTGGGAGAAGTACGAGTTCATACGACTTTAGCATAAATCAGCAACAACAACAAAGACGACGATCTTCACAAGAGTTATCGACGTCGACATCGACCTTTTCCATTAGAAGAAAGAAACCGCCTTCTTCGGTAGTAGTAGAAGAAAATGTCATCGACATTAGGAACAGCAGCAACAACAGTTCCAGAAACACTACATCATCATCAAGTAGTACTGGCAGCGGTAGTATCAGAAAAAAGCAAGGGGTAGCAGCATTTGATTTGCCATCCATACCCGCGCTCTCGCCTATCCAAATGTGCTCGGATTGGGGAACCACTACAAGAGCCGCATCTCTTGTACAGCAACGAATGGTGTAAATAGACTCTTTCTTATCCAACATAACCTAATACTTCGTACCACATCAACCTTCTTTCAATGTGAGAGACGAGCAATCTTACTAATGCCTAAATGCGCATGACCCACAAACAAAAAATGTACACACGCTCCATAACACAACAACATATCACAAAAAGAACGACTCTATTTATATGGGAATAAGTGTGTGTGTGTGTGTGAGGAGGGGTGCCAAGAACGCTTTCCTTCCCTTGACCTTTACGCCAACTTTTGTTAATTCTCTTTACTGATCTCCATTCACTCATGGTAGGCATCGCTGACAATCTCGATGCATTGACCACCGTTACTACTACTACCGTTACTACTGGTCTATGCGCTGCCACCACCCACAGTCGTGTCACTTTGGACCTTCAAGATACTACCTCCTCGTTACTACTACAGCAGCAAGAGCTGAGCTTTTTAGACAAGTTGCCGTACGATGTTATCCACAATATATTTTCGCGACTCACACAAAAAGATTGCCTGGAATGCATGGGGGTTTCAACGGTTTGGTATGAGCTTGTGCCGCAATACGCGACAATGCTTTGGCGCAAGGTTGAGATATCGTTCTTGGAGGACAATAACAACTCCGAATCGTACGCATACAAGTATCATCATCCATTGAGCATTCGAGTGATACGGTGCCTGGGCCCTCATGTGCAGCAAGTCGTGCTCTCGCATTGCGGTGAGGAGCAAGTGCATTCTATTCTATCCACACTCTCTCTCCGCTGTAACTGCAGCCCTCGTATTATTGGTATGTGGTCGGTGTGAGAAGCAGAGCATAATGGTATTACATGATGACGGATAGTCGTCTCAATAGTGATAATGCGAATTTACTCGCTCCGGCCTTCTTTCCTTTTAATAATGTACTAATTGCTGCTGCTATTATACTACTATAGAATTTTACAAGTGTGTGATTATCGATCAAGCTCGATTTGTAACGATCTTGCGATCCATGTCCAGTCAATTGGAAGAACTCACATTTGACGCACACAACTATAATATGGCATTCCTTCAAGTCATGAAAGCATGTCCACGTCTGACGCATTTCTCCTATTCTGTCTATGATTACGTGCCACCAGAAGTCTATGACACTGAGCCAGTCGTTGTTGAATTATCATCATCAACATCATCGTTAGCAACAGTAAAGACGACAACAACGACGGAAGCAGCAGTTGAAAAAATGGAAGAGGATGAAAACCCTTTGGATTATAGTAGTAAAGATGACGACGACGAGAGTCTGAACATTACGTATCTGTGCCTGAATGCTGTACTCCACAAGGATAAAAGAGCTGCGCCGATACTACGGAGATGTCCAAAACTCAGGTACCTGGCGATATCCAATATTGATATCGACTCTGACTTCCACATGTGGCCAAGTAAAGATTCGATCGATCTGGACATGTTCTTCCGTTTATGTCCATTGCTACAATGTATCGAATGCAATTCATGGGATGGCAACCAACAACAACAGCAGCAGCGATGGCGACAATATGCGCGAGATATCCATTATTCTCCTCGTAATCACCAGCATTTATTACTGGATAATGGATCATCCAACAGTCCCAGTAGGAGGAGCAAGGACAAAGGAAGCATCAACGATTTTACGGAAGAAGGAGGCTTACGAGAGCTAATCACAAGTGGCGCAGAAGGATATGGAGCGGATCAAATCATCCCCATTCTCAAACGTAACAAGTCTACGCTCCAAATACTTGATTTGGGAGAGGGCATTTCAGCACGCGGCGATAGTTGGGACGCTTCTTCTGACTGGTCTCAGCTCGAACACATCACTCATTTACAACGGCTCCATACATTTTCGTACAAATACCTTTCGCTAAATGATCGTGTTCTTTGTGGATTCTTAAGACAATGTCCTGTCCTGACGGATCTGACACTTTGGTGCAAGATGACCATTATCCCTGACGAGCTTCTCTTGGTAATCAACAACAAATTACCATTACTGACAAGACTCGATTTGGGCTTCACATCAACACTTGCAGTACCATCCGAAACGACCTGGCGCTGGTTTTTTACAAACAACAATGGCCGTTTGAAGCGACTGTGTTTGCGATGGAATAATTTTATATCGGATGCAGTGTTGGACGCGATCGGAACGATGCGGCAGCTGGAGGAGCTGCATTTGAGACATACGGCGAAACGGGCCACACGGATGGATGCATTAAGACGCTTGAATCATTTGGATCGATTGGAATTATGGACTGTGGATGCACCGCTTGATCCAGTACTTTCGGACTTATATTGGCTGAAGGAACTTTACTTGGTTGGATGTAAGGAGGTTTCAAGTCATGGTCTACGTGCATTGGTGGATACGCCAGGTTGCAAGTTAAAAAAACTGCGGGTACAAAGTTGTGGATCGATCCGGCCACATATGATGGATTATATCGACAGCAAATTGGCATCACTGTCATCATCACCGTCACATCAATAAATAAAATAAGCAAATTTGTAAATATTTGAAATCTAGCTACAAGGATACATCACTTTAAAGTGTTGGCTTGTTTACTGTCGAATCATCATTACTTTCGATGTTATTGTATCTTTTTTTTCGTAATTCTGTATTTCGGTTGGGTTTTCTCTAAAAGCTTAATATTCGCCGAGTTGGTTTGCTCTACGAGAAATAGGAGGTCTGCCTTTGTAAACAGGTGTTGATATCCAACCGTCGTGTCTAGTCGGAAAGTGTCGTGTTAGCGGTTTGTTCATTGTAATCAGTTATCGATTAAAACCGATTTCGTAGATCAGGAACACGTTTGCCTCGCCCAAATAGTGTATGAAGTCAAAAGGAAGCGAATATCGTGGGGATGTCCACATCAGCCTAGCATCTCGAGTACTGAGTGAGCTGAACCCAGCAGTATTGGTATCATTCAGTTTTGAGTGTACACGAATTGCCTATTTCCGTTCTCTCTTCGCGTTAAACTTTTATCTTTCGCTTGTCAGCAACAAGCTGGAGCAGTCAATAATTATCTTTCAGCAGCCCTACACCGTGAACAGAAGAAGAGTGGAATTGGTGCCGGCGATCTCGCGTATCAGCAAACCCAACACTTCCAGCATCGATGTTCACGACTAGAAGACGACGAATTTTACTACTTGATACAGCACCTAAACCTTGCGAGCTAGCAAAGGAACAAGCCGCATTTAGCTTGCGAGAAGATGAAGGTGTATCTAATGGACAAGACGCGTCGGATAACGGAACGCATTGCTATTGCTGAAGAATTTGAATGTTGCTCCCGTGGCATGCGAGATCCTCAGCTCCTACGCCGCCGAAGACTTGAGTATTTAAGAACGACAAAGTAGCAACATTGCCGCACAAACGTCTTTTTATGACGCGACTATATGTATCCCACAGCAAGGCACGCTTCAGAGCCATGGTGAGTGATGAACAAGCCTATGAGCGCGAGGTGATGAATGCAGTCTTGTTTCATTGACTGCAACCCAACCGTGGAGCAGAATGATCTAATTGTCAAATGATAAACGGTGAGCTCTTCCCTTAACGCAGATTGAATGACCATCATGCTATTTGAGATTTCATGCTGGTATAGAAAACCGAAAACTCTTATCATTGATGCCTTGCTTATAATATGGCAACGCACAACATTAAACTATGCTAAGAAACTTAAGAAGAATTCGGTACTCAATAAAAATCTCCCTTGAACGTATTTTGCTATTGATGTGGATCAGCCTTTGTTCTAGAAACGGAACAGAAGTAATCACTAGTGGGATTGGCGCAGAGCCACGTGGTCAAATGGAACAACTCTAAGTTAACCTTCTTGCTTCTAACCTTGATCAACATTGCCGAGGAGCTGACCATCTAGTAAGAAATGACTTCTTGCGTAATTGAATCTTATATGATATACTACTTTTCAATTTTTCTCTTGCAACTTTTTATTAATATTGCTAAGTTAAGTTACTTCAATATATCATAGTGGAAATATTGAGCATGCCTTTAAAACGGTCATTCACCCTCTTGAAATTCGATTAGTTTGGGTTGAGCGATATGAAGTCTAGCGCTTATAACGATATACTGGTAATTTGTCTGCTACAGGCCCATCAAGCCAAGCATCATCGCACTCCCATCACCTTCCTTTTTTTTATCAAACTTATTTAGCACGCATCTTCGACTACTTTATTTGCTTTACAATGGTTCTTTGACCCCATTACGTACAACAAGCTCCTTCCCTTCTTATTCTGAAGCAGTTTTTGAAAATTTCACATACTTGCAGTAGTAAGCAACTATAATTAGTTTGCACCTTGTATTATTATCAGTCTCATCCTACAACGAGGATATAATGAATAATGAATAGTATTCTGCCATCACTTTGATGCACTATTTATGTACTTTTCTTATATGATGTGACATACTTGTGGAACGCTTATTAAACTTAACTACATTGAATTTAACAGCTTTTTTCCGTACTCAACACGGTCTCGCCATAGCCTAAATTCAGGTTTTCTTTTATTAGCTATACAGCAGCTCAAATAATGAAACACAACACCTGGCACTCTCTGAAGCAACTTTGTACTTTTATAATAAGTGGTAATCATCTAAAGATTTAGCAGAAATATTGTGCTTCTTTAAATTACACTTGGGGATCGCAAAAGGTCGGGTGGGGTCGGGTCAAGGGTCTGACCCGTTGACCTGTGGGTCAAAAGAACATTAACCTGATTTAACCAGTTCAACCCGACAGGTCAACACTTGACAAGTTAAGACTGATGCTAATACTGTAATGAAGGATCAAGTGTCATTCAACCTGAACTCGAGTACTGGAAGCGCACGCAGCTCTCCAAGATGGCACGCAAATTCTTAGCAGTGCCAGCAACATCTACTTTGTGTGCGATTGTTCTCAGAGGTAAAGAGTGCCGTCATAAAGGAACCACTTGGGCTCACATGCATAAAAAAGTGTAAAGGTAAAAGCGTGGTTGAAAATCGACTTCCTTTAAATGCCCCTAATCCTTTTCCCTTTTCCCTTTTCTTTTCATTTCTTCCTTCTTCTTTCATTTTTCTTTTCTTAATTCCTATTCTCATTGTACTATTGCTACTTCTTTACTTTGCTACTTCTTTACTACTATTACATATATTGCTTATAGCTTACTTATCTTACACTTTTGAATATAAAATATGATCCCACAATGAAAAAGAATATAAGTACGTTTTATGTTACAGTTCTATAGCAGACATATTGACAACTACATCTTTAATATAATGATCCTTCCCAACAAGAAGATTGACTACTTGAATACAAGTACCTTATAGATATCATATGTATACATGGGTTACAACGGGTCAACGGGTCGGGTCAAGGGTTAGACAGGTTGACCCGTGGGTCAGAAAAGCATCAACCCGACCCGTTGACCTGTCCTCAACCCGCGGGTTGGTTTTGACCCGTGGGTCAGATTACGGCCCCTACAATTGAGTAAGGTTACTTAACACTTAGCTGTTAGTAGATGAGTTGTTGTTACTGTTTAATGTTGTTGCTGTTGGGTGGTATTATATTTTACTGAATTTTTCTGGGGTTTCTTATGTATTTTCTTAAGAGTTTTAAGCAAAAAATAATGATATTAATCAATCATCATCATCATCATCATCTCATTCAATAATATAATAATTTAATAAAAGGTGTATAACTTAATGCATATCAATTTTATTACGGGTTGAGGTAGCATGAGGTAACATGGCCGAGTTGGTCTAAGGCGCCAGACTCAAGTTCTGGTCTCGCAAGAGGCGTGAGTTCGAATCTCACTGTTACCAATAACTGTCAAATCTGACATTTGAAACTTTTTCGTTGCCCGTCTTTTTTTGGGAGGCTTTTATTGCAGCGCTGTATAATATACACAGGGTTGTTTGTGGTAGCTACCATTTAGTGGCTGTTTTTTTTTAATTGTGCTTGTTTGATTTCTTTTTCGGTGCTCTGCCACTACATAATTCATCACATTTTTTGCCAGCCTAAGATGTATGCGGCACTTACATCTGCATTATACTCAAGTATTCACGTTGTAGCTGCAGCTGTTGCTATCGAGGATTGTCTTCGGCTGATGTTATCGATATAGATATTGCATTTCATTTTTCTATTAAACCATAACGTTTGACCGAGCTCCTGTTCCCTGTTTCTTTAAATCTTCTCACATAGATACAATATAAGTGAAAGACACGAAACTCATATTCACCATCTTTTAGAGCGTGTGTCGATTTTAAATACTTTACAGAATATAAAAACAATATTAAGGTGTATCACTTTCCTTTGTAGTCTGGCCAAAAAATGGTTGGTTCAATAATATAAGTTCTATTATCTTGAACGGATCCTTGTCCGTATCTCTGCGGCATACGCATTTAATTTTTAGTATCGTCCGATTACCGTCCGTAGTGTGCGATTTGTAATTTGGAATCAGACGATACCCAGAAAACATCACTGAAAATTAGGATCCTGTCAGGCGGTGTGTGGTTTGAATGAAGTGGTGGCGCAGGCCGTATACTACGTGGATAACGGCTGTTCAAAATCAATGTTTTTCTCTACGTTAATAAGCGATGCTATAAAGGATTGTTGGTGGATATACCAGCTAGAACCTACCAAGACGCCCATACTTTAACACTTTTGCAACATTATCTCCAGATTGTACTTGCGTAGACAGTGCTCTCCCTATACAGCGTGGATCAATTTTACCGCATATTCAGTAGCAACACTATCAATGGGCCTTGCTACTCGCGAAATGTTTTTTTACGTTACGGAAAGCGATACAAGCTTTCGAGGACATTGAATTGATACGTATCGTCAGTGCAACAGCCTATTTGTGAGACAACATTAAGCTCACGTCGAATTAATTGACATTGATATTCTTCCTATAGGTAATCTGTCATCACACCATCGCCAGAATATACATTAACACATACATATATACGCCTTACAATTCCGTTGCAACATCAGTTCTGATGGCATCATGGAACCCGAAGGCACACTAGAAGATAACATTGCCAAAAGAAGGACTGCTTGCTGTAAGTTATTCTACCAGTATCCAACACAATCGAAACCTGACAACAAACACCGGTCTGTCTCCCTGACTTCGCCCTTTCCAGTAATTATCTTTGGACGCGGTGCTGAGAGACCCATTTCATCTATTCTGATGATATCTATAGGCTTGTTGCAATATGGTTTTCTCCAAATACAGCGCCTCACTCTTTGAGCTAAGAAAACATGCAAAAAAAAAAAATTGATGCATATCGTAACACAAACAAATAAAATGGTATCGTTGCTTATATTAAATAGCTATCCTATCGCTGAAATCAAATATTTTATACCGTTGTCCTTCGACCGTGGTCTAGCTTTGCTTATCGCTATGAGCTTTTATTGATTTTGCACGCTCGATCAGAAAAAGAATCATAACTTCTGTGAAAGAGTAGAAATGAAAATACAACGTATTTGTTTTACTTCTGTCTCTGTTTTATCGCTGCGAACCTATAGACAGTAATGACTCTCCTTAGTGTAAGGCCTTCGGTAATCTTTTTTACTGCAATTGCTAGCTTGGTATTCGCATCACGACTCCTAGCGCACTTCATTCAAATCTCCATCACGTGACTTGTAGATGTGGAGCGAAGCTGCTCATTTGTATGGGCCATTAGAGGCAAGCGCAACCGACACACTATGGGACTTGCTTTGTATTGTTATGCAGACGCTGCTTGAATTCTTGGCGCAGGGAGCTGAACCCTGGGCATTGGCACGACATCGCGCAATGCGGACATGATAGTGCGCGTAAAGGTTTTTCGCAATCATTTGTTTTTGTTGTGAGATGACGTTGGTGTTGTATGTAACACTTACAATATAGGTAGCGATAGGGTAGCTCCAGCAGTTCATCATAGCTTCTGTTTCAATTATATTATAAGCATCGTGCCGCGCTAATAGCTTTACCACATAGCTACACAAATACTGGATGTAACAGGAGCGCTGTGTATGCCACTAGCATTACTCTCGGCCCATGTTATCCAATAATCCTACCGTGCTCAAAAACCATTACTGACATATGCCCCATACGAACTTTGACCTCAAATGCTGTGTTTCCGTTTCAACAATAAACATGAAGATGGACATCATTTGTGTCTCTTTCCTTGACTTATGTTGTCACTTTCAAAAGTATATTTAGCAATTTCACAATCTTTGAATATACAACGACCGGAAACAATACCCAAGGGAGAGGGGCAATTAACGCTGAGCACATGTATGACCGTTTGAGCGCAAATGATAGAAGTGCGGTACACATAAATACAAAGTTGAGAAAGGCATTGATAGAGAGTCTTGAAAACGTATTTTCCTATTAACTAGTGCTGCAGCGGCAACGATGCCAATTAGCCGAAAATCATGGAAAACAATGTTCAATAAGTGTTTCATATGTTGTGTGGAGCTTGACTGGCGGTGGCAATTTATCTCGCTAAGCACAGCAAGATTCAAACAAAGGCTGCTATAGATTTAGTTCGGACCTAATTAACTATGTAATCGTGTATAAAAGTTATCAAAACACACCTACAAGCAGCCAGCACACAGTGACTGTTGTCGACCTAGTATAAAGTAGCACATACTTGTTCTTTAAACGATATGGCTGCATGTCTATTGAGATAAATAGATTACGTAGGTGCCATTAAACGGGTGAAAAATACCAAGACTATGACAATGAGCATTTAGGAAAGAAGTCGGTTGTGGTAGTCCCTATTTGAGCTCTCACGTACAAGACGATTTTTGTGATATCCACCTGAGGTGTTATTTCGTCTTCCAAATCATCATGTACTCTGGAGAAATGATAATCAACACTCCCAGTAGTGCAAGGGTGTAGGGGTCAAAAAACAAAGTTCTTAGGTAAGCTGTTTATGTAATTTCAAAACTAAGCCCTTTAAGTAGAGAAGTGTTACGTAGACCCAAGATTTCTTAAGAGCAAAGAGGAAGTGAGACAGTAGGTTCGTGAGGATGGGCAGTGTATACTATTTAGCAAGCGTGATGGGGAACCTGAGTACACCTTATTGTAAAAGAACAGAAACTTGATAGAGTTAGCACCGGAATTTTTGACACATTTTCAAATGGTAATTCTCCATTCGTGAGATATATGCGATAGACTACAACGAATATCCGAGGAACGGATACATTAGAGTCATCTGACTGGAGAATAGCGTAAAAAAAGAAACACTAACTGGTTGAGAAATTTCTAGCCTGTACACCGCGTCTGTTACAACGATGACAGAAGATTGGATTAAGAAGAGTGGACTATTGTAAAGAGAACCCGGAGGTCTTCTAGTTCGCAGACGGGAAATATATTTTTCGATCCTTCCGGATGATGTGGGCCATTACTTTGCCATGATTGGGTGAGCCATCCTCTGCTTTTTATATACCTAAAGCATAGCACTATCCATGTTCCTTTCTCCTTTAAATTATCACAGAGTAAGCTTCCGCAACACTTCAAATAGCTTTATTATATTCATATGAAAGGGATCTTGAATGTTAGCAGAAAATACGTTTATGATGGGATACTATTAAAATGTGTGATGTGATTATAGCATTGATCCTATTGAAGATCCTGTGTCACCAAGATTTCGTATAACAACCTGAAAGAGATCACCTTGTAATGCCTTCGGAACAGAAGCGAGAACTAAGTGACAAAATGGAGGAGATCCAGAGAGAAACAGCAGCATAAGCTGCATAGCAAACGTGCTAAGATACAAAATTCCCATGCATTAGCTGCTTAGATAATAAGCGCCACTTACTGGTCCCTTTCGCTCCCTCTATAAAACCTGCTTGAATACTTGATTTTTCTTCTTTTTGTGATCAAGTCTTCGACACGCACAGCAGTTGATAATATAATGCTTTTGAAAGGTGCCTTGACGAGCATATCACTGGCGATTGCTGCGGTGACATCTGTTATCGCAGTGCCTATCCGACAGAACTTGGCAAGAAGACAGAATGAAGGAGGCAATAGCACTGACTTAACCAACGGTCTGACTGATTTGGTGTCTTGGGATACATACACTGTAAAAGTCCAAGGAGAGCGATTGTTCCTTTTCAGTGGCGAGTTTCATGTAAGCATTATCTCATTATATTTACACGACCAGGAAAAAAAGGTTTCTTTTATACAAACTAAATGATTTCACGATTTTGTAGTACTACCGTCTCCCTTCACCAGGCTTATGGCTCGACATTCTGCAAAAATTCAAGGCGCTTGACTACAATGGTGTCTCTTTCTACTTTTTCTGGGGCTATCACTCGCCAAAGAAAGGTGTCTACGATTTTGAGGGCATCCGCGATGTACAGAAAGCATTTGATGCAGCAGCAGAAGTAGGCCTCCATGTTATCACACGCGCTGGTCCATATATCAATTCTGAGCTGGTGCGTATTATGTATATATATTGACATTGGATGGTGACAAGTAGTGTTGTCGCTAGTATCTCTTCTACAAGTAAGATCATTGTATTCATGATGAATTACCTTATCGACGTATTATAGGATTGTGGAGGCTTCCCCAGCTGGCTTATGGATATGCATAGCCCTGCTAGAAAATATAATCCCGAGAATAATGCGAACACAGAAGAGTAAGGATCAGTGACACTCTCTGTTTAGAAAGTGTTAGAAGGACTCACTATAATAAACCACGATAGATGGCTCACCGCGATCGACAAGTACATGGCTGCCAACCAAATTACTGAAGGTGGACCCGTTATCATGAACCAACTAGACAACGAGTTCAGCTTCAACACCGATCCCCACTATATGGAGCATCTTAAACAAAAGTTCCTTGACGATGGTATGGTAGTTCCAACAATTTTCAATGACGTGGGGACGAACGGAAACTTTGCCCGCGGAGAGGGAGCACCCGACATATACGGCTGGGACCGTTATCCGGCTGGATTTGACTGCAGCAACCCTCTTGCATGGCCTAATAATCGCAGCACAGACTGGCGAGACTACCATGAACGTACAAACGATGAGCAACCAATGGCTGTCTATGAATTCCAGGGTGGTGCCTTCGACCCATGGGGCGGTCCGGGATATCCGGAGGTACATGGATGCTTTCGTATACAGAAACTTTAGGCGCACAAAGCTAGAAACTGGTAGTGCTGACAAATATACTGACGCTGCATTCAATTGGTAACATTCATAGTGCTATAAAATGGTGAACGAGCAATATGCCAAGGTTTATTACAAGAACAACTATGCACAGGGAATACGTATCCAAAACTTGTACATGACATATGGCGGTACAAGTTGGGGCGGTATTCCAAAGCCAAGTAAGTTGTATTTTGTGATACAGGAACAGAAAAACGAACCTACGGCAGACCATACCATACTTATACATTAGATACTTTCTTAATTTTATGCAGCTGTGTACACGTCCTACGACTACGGTGCAGCAATCACAGAGCCAGGTCTCATGACTACCAAGGCTTACGAGAACAAGTTACAAGGTGACACATTGTAAAAGAATATCCACGGAAAGTCTTTCAAGCAATACTAACTAAATGCGTTACTTATAGCTACCTTCCTTCACACGGTTAAACCATTCTTAACGACAGAGCGTTTTGAGCCCGAAAGCGATAATAGCGATATTATTCTCATCGATGGTCTTGCTGATGTTAATACGCCGACAAAGTTCTACGTTGCTCAGCATTGGCTTTCCAAGTCTGAAGATTTGGATGAGTAAGTCGTATTTTATCACACACAAACGATTTAGCTACTTTTACTATGTAAATGGTATACCCTCAGCATCATTAGCAAGTTGACATATGGTATATCTGAACCTTTTCTCTCTTTTTTAACCAGATTCCATATCAAGATTGAAACAACCGACGGAAACTTTGAAATTCCACGAAGCAGCAAGCTAGTTTTGAATGGTCGAGACGCCAAGATCTTGACGACTGACTTTGACTTTAATTCGCAACATTTGGTCTATTCGACCAGTGAAATCTTTACTCATCAAGATATGGGATCGCACGACGTCATTGTTGTCTATGCCTATGAAGAAGAAGACGGTGAATTTGCCATCAAGGTTAACGGCGACGATACTCAGGTCGAAGCGGATGACTCGGTCACGTCCGAAACTGCTGATGGCATCTTGCAGCTCACTTACAAGCACCCCAGCGGTACTACTCCAGTGTATATCTCTGGTGGAACTGAAAAAGATTTGCTTGTTCTTATTGCCGGATACCGCTCTGCATTGCGCTGGTGGGCAACTCCCATTAACAAGGACACTCGTGTTTTGATTCACGGTCCTTACCTTGTTCGCACTGCTTCTGTTTCGGAGTCGTCCATCGCATTCACTGGTGACATTGATGAAACAACCGCTATCCAAGTGGTTCTTCCCGACGATATAACTTCCATGACATGGAACGGTGAACAAGTCCAATTAGAGCAAGGCGAACACGGCATCTGGACTGGAACTTTGGAATTCACCGAGCCTGATATACAGTACACTGATCTTCAGGAAGCTACTTGGAAGTATAGTCCTGGCTCCCCTGAAGCGGATCCAGAATTCGATGATTCAGAATGGGTTACTGCTGATCATCTTTCCACCAACTCTACAACTCCTCATGACACCTGGCCGATTCTCTATGCCGATGACTATGGTGGGTAAACACGTCTTTTTTGTGGCGTAGCCAGAATCAAAGGAAGAAAAGCCCACCCTTTTATTAACATTTTCTTTTAATTGCTGAACAGGTTTCCACACTGGTGTCCTTTGGTTCCGTGGTACATTCAATGGCTCCTCAGAAATTACCGGATTCAATCTCACTGCACACTCAGGCGATGCTTCTGCTTGGGTTGCATGGCTCAATGGCGAATACCTCGGCGGTTTTGATATCGAAAATAATGCCAATCATGCCTTTACTGACTTGAACGGTACATTAATCGACGCCGAAGGCGAAAACGTGATCTCTTTGCTGTTGTGGACCACTGGACACGAAGATGATTTCAATGCAGATGATGACTATGTACGTTTCCCACTTTTAACAAATTTATCCTCTTCAACTTTAGGCACGTAGGTTCTCGCTGAAGTTAATAACCCTTAAATATCATTGTTATCGTTAGAAACAAGCACGTGGATTTACACAGGCCGAACTTCTTGGTGTTAGCAATCAGACCATTTGGTCGATCGACTGGAAGGTTCAAGGTTTGTATACTTATCTCCATGTGATCACTTTTTTCATAAACAGAAGACTAATTCTTTCTTTTATTATGCGCAGGTAACCTTGGTGGCGAAGATCTGGCTGACCCAGTCCGAGGCCCATACAATGAAGGCGGTCTATACGGTGAGCGTAATGGCTGGCATTTGCCTGGCTTCCCTGACAACGAATGGGAAGACGCATCTATTCCCGAGAGCAACAGCCGCACTGGTGTTTCTTGGTACCGTACTTCATTCGAAGTAAACATTCCCGACGGTTACGACGCTCCCTTGAGCCTCCGCTACATTGATGACAGCAAGACCCGTTATCGCACAATCTTGTACGTGAACGGCTGGAACATGGGTCGCTACGCCAATGATCTCGGTCCTCAAACTCAGTATTACCTGCCAAAGGGTATCGTAAACACCCAAGGCGAAAACACCTTAGCTATCGCTGTTATCGCCATTGATGAAGCTGCACAGCTTGGCCAGGTCATTCTCGAGCCGTACGACGTGCTTCAATCTGCCATTCCTCCAGTTGAACTGGTGGAATCTCCTGGTTATGATGCGCGACAGCAATAATAAGAAGTTGCATGATTTCTCTTATCATCGCCACCATTGTATTTATATAATATAGCAAGTTAGCTAGTTGATGAATTACTAGTAAAGTTTCTTTCACTATCAAAACTATCGTATGGCGGGGATACATGCCTCATTTAGTGGCGATCATTTCTTGCCATGTAAGGAAGAATATCTGGTCCACCGGGTAATTTAATAAAAATTTGGTGCATGCTACGGGCATATTAACTTTTTACACTTGATGAGCTCACGATGGTAAAACCAACACAAGAACAGCAAAAATCGCCTAGCAATGGCAGAAAGCAAGAAAAGCAGAGCAAGTCATTCAGTCCTTTAATGAAAGGAATGGTCAATCCACCAGACACTATACAATGCATATCCTTTTTTTTTCTTTTCTACTCCTTGGTGCTTAAAAATATTATGCTAGTTTGTGTGCATACTCACATATATAACGACGCGATTTCAGCCTGTTAATTCATTTCGCTCAACAGCTTTTTTTCTATTACACAAACGCTCAAACCTTGACCATTCTGTCTTTCGATTTATACTGTGTTAGAGTCAGATTGCAGGAACTCGACTCGACACCTGTGGGATCAAACGACGGAAATCAGCATTACTTGGCTGTTGTCACTCGAAACGATGAAGCTTGGTAATAAAAGTAAACTTGCAAAGATATCATATACCCGACAAGTTCTATCTCACTCTTCCAATAGCGTTTTGGTGCTCGAGGAGCAGCCCAACAATATGCCTCCTATTGTACACAAGATACTTCCTGTATATGACGGTTTTCAATATAGCATTGGTTGGTATAAAAATGCAGTAATTAGAATTATCATTATCTTGACATAACAGGCTAAAACTATTTATATCATTTATGCAGCTCAGACAACACCAAAAAACAAGAAATTACAGCCTGGTATTGACTGATTAGAGAAAAGAAACGAGAGGAGAGGACGATTGAAGGCAGGGTTAACTGACCCAAACTCTGGTTATTGTTGTCTATGTAAAGATATCCTTGTGACACTTTCGGTAAAAGCAAAGAACCGAGAGCCAACGTCGGTGGCCGTCATTTTTCCCGAGGAGACTGAAATGGTTGACATGCTGGAAGAGCTCCGCACATTGATTGAAGTTGCTCGTAAGTTATTAAACAAACGTCATAACTTGTAGAAGAAAATTCATGGGAGGATTTTAAGATTTTTTAATTCACTTGATATGTTGGGTCTATACAGACAAGAACAACTATAATGTGGAATCCAATTCTCACAAATGGACAAGTGCTTATCGTAAATATGGCTGCAAGTATCACACATGCATACGCATATTGGAACATAAGATATGCATAATGGCCGAAAATCAAGCTAACATCCGATGAAATAAGCAGTAGCTAAAAGGGTTGCTCGGGCAGTTACTATGCCAACCAAGAATGAAAGCGCTCTACCGTACGTTTTGCCCGCCCAACGCACAGATTCCGCAAAATTCGTAAATTTGCGACGTGCTGGAACTCGTGCAGCTTCCAAAGCAGTCATTAACAATAACAACATCCCAGCCATAACTGCCAAGCAACATTGGATTCACGCCAGATTAATGGGTCGTGAGGAAGAATTTGTCAAATGGGATAATGCAAAGTGAGAGGAACAAAGAAAATTATGCAGCGAAACTCTATGTCACACAGACACATCTACAAGGAAATAGTGTTACTCACTCTATGTACGGGATCCGTATACATCTTAGGATTTTTGCAGGTACATGGAACGTTCATGGAAATTTACCAACGGAATCTTTGACCAAGTGGATTGTCGAACAATCGAAAACAGAAGATGACAAGCCATTTGATCCTGATTTCTATGTTATTGCGTATGATTTCCATATGTTTCCTCATCTTCTGATGACTGTGTCTTTCAAGTCATGATACTGATGAGCTCCTATGTAGTTTGCAAGAGATGGAGACCAACAAGGATGCATATCTTCGATACGATCCTGCTAAAGAGAATGCATGGTTAAATGCAATCTTTGATGCCTTGGGCCCAAAAGCAAACGATTATTACAAGGTACGTTATACAAACAAAGACAATGTGGGAAGGGAAAAACGAGCATGTCAAGACTAATACTATTCATCGGCTTTAGGTTGCTACGCAACAACTTGTCACCATTCTTATTATAGTGATTGCAAAAAAGCAGCACGAGCAATTCATATCCGATGTCGAAGCAAACTATGTTGGCGTTGGTATAATGAATATGATGGTAATATATTAATTGATAGTATTTCCTCAGAACCTGTATCAAGGTGAAGAAAGGAAACCAACAGCTTTAAAAAAACCGAAACTTTTCGTAGGGAAATAAAGGAGGCGTTGGCGTGCGACTACGATTCCATGATAGTTATCTGTGTTTCATGGGATGTCATTTGGCTGCATTTACCGACCAAGTGGACCGACGAAACCAGGACTTTGGCGAGATATGCAAAAGATTGACCTTCCCGCACCGCCCAGACGCATTGACAAGCTATGTAACTTATTCATGGAACGATGGTGGAGACGAAGGTGTAACTTTTGTTGAGAACGAAGGCACTCTCCGCGACTGGTCACAGACGGCGTCCGTTTTTCATTCAGAGTAAGAATCTTTCAATCATGGCTTCCTCAACACATCCCTACTCGTAGTAACTCGCAGATTGTGGTCATACATAGCTACCTGATTTGGCTGGGCGACTTGAATTATCGTATCAACTTGACAGAGCCCGAGATCAAATCTCACCTGCGCCAAAATCAGCTAGGTTTCTTAGTGGACTATGATCAAGTAAGCCTTTTTCTTTTTTTTAGGGGAAGAGGGGGGGGGGAACATTTGAGAGCAGTGGAGGTAGAGGATTAGGTATTTCTCAAGTAGAGAAATGAAGTAGTTCAACCACATGTGTTTAACAACATCCATCAATAACAACAAAATTTAGCTTACTATCGAACGAAGAGCGGGGCGCGCTTTCTCAATGTTTGGAGAAGGAGCAATCAATTTCATGCCTACTTACAAATATGATGCTGGTTCAAACCAGTATGATTCTAGGTAACTTTGGTTACAATTTTCCTCTTTTATATTTTCTGTAAAACGTCGTTAATGCTTGTCTTGGTTTAGTGCAAAGAGACGGGCTCCTTCCTGGACAGATCGCATTCTGTGGAAGAAAGAGCGTGCTCGTATCACAGAAGCGGAAGATGACAAGCACGAGGCTCCGCTCAAGTTGGTCAAGTACCAAAACTGCATGGACATGATGCTTAGTGATCACAAGCCTGTCTACGCTCTCATGGAAACAAAGGTAATGCGCACAAAATTTTCTTTTCTTAAAGTGGGGGTGGGGAATATCCTTGCTAAATATAGACAAATGCTCGTTCTCTGTTATGATAATGTAGATTCGAAAAATTGACAGCAAAAAACAAGCAGAAACACGAAGCGCACTTGTTCGGCAATTGACAGAAACCCAAGAGAACATCACCAAGGGACAGATATCGTCCTCGTTTGTTGAATTCGGAGATGTTCATTTCATGGAGTACAAGGAGCGAACGCTTATTCTCGAGAACACGGGACAGGTGCTGGCACCTTTCCGATTCATCCCAAAGATGGATGAAAATGAAATTTGTCCTACTTGGCTTCGCGTCCACCCTATCTCAGGCATCCTCGGTCCTGGTGAAAAGGTGGTGATCCACTTTGAGATACTCATCGATCCCACCATCTCTTCGCCTTTTAATGAAGCCAAGGAGGAAATTGACAACATTTTGGTCTTGCGGCTGGAGAATGGCAAGGACTTTTTCATCGTCGTTACTGGACACTATCAACCAACGTGCTTTGGTGTGAATCTTGAGCGTCTGGCATTGATGTCTTTGCCCGTGAGCGAAGTCGCCGTGGCATCGGACAAAAAAAAGTCAAGAAAAAGTCTCCGGCACGCTGCTTCATCCTCGTCTGCCAAGAACAATACCGGCAAGTCATCTGATAGTACCCCGAATAATGAATCGCGTCTCCAACAGCAAGCTACCTTACCAAAAGAGCTTTGGAGAGTTTTGAATTTCTTGTGGAACAAGAACATGTTGTGTCTGGTAAGAAGCCTAATCGTGATTAGCCGTTTGTGTGTCAATAATGGGGGGTTTGCTGCCGTTTGCTTGGTTCGATTTGCTTGGTTAGCCAGTTGCACTCACTCACTCACTACATGTGGATCTTACTCCTCTTTTCACCCCGCTTCCCGCAATTATAGGACCATTTATTCTTGGATCACGGTGATCGTGTCATTTCCGAGTATGTGCGACGGAGCCTTGATACTGGCGAACAATTCGATTCTAATGTTTTGCTAAGTGGCAAACGAAAGCAGCACAAATCTAAAGGTGCTGAGAATGACAACGATTATGATGATGATGATGATGATAGTAGCAGCAATGATACTGCAGTGGACAACGAAAAAGACAATACCGAGGCAAAGGATGATGTTAACGACACTGTGGGAGCCAATTCAATGATTGATATTCTTGTTGCATTCCTCGAATGTTTGCCTGAGCCCGTCATTCCTACATCCATGTATAAGCAAGCATTGCTAGCGGCTGATTCTGAAGAAGCCATGAACCAGGTATGTAAATAAAGAAAGGTAAATCATCTTGTGATCAAAGACTAGAGCTCACAAAATCTTAACTTGTAGTTCAAGAGCGAAATGCCCCATATCCATCTCAATGTATTACTCTATATAACCAGCTTCTTGAAAGATGCAATCAAATACGCACCCGAATCGTATCGAGACGCACGTCTGACCCGTATTGGTAAGCACTCAAACCCCCCACTGACTTGAGATTGTAGATACATAACTTTCAATCTTCTCACACGGCAACGTATGTTTTTTCTGTATCATGTAATCCAGCCGAGATCTTTACAGTCATGCTACGACCGGCGCCAGAATACAAAGAACAGAACCCGCCCTTGGCCAGACAGAAACGTGCGAAATTTGTCTTGAGCCTTTTGAACGAATACACGAACTAATTAAATACCTAACTAAACTTTAGCAAAATGGAAGATAACCCTACTGTGTATTATATTGAAATATACGATTTTGAAAACTATGTTTCCTTGGTGACGTTTACATCTGTTTCCATTGTTACTGTCAATAACCATGGATCCAACTTTTTTGTTAAAAGCGATTTTATTATGAGGACCAATTCATTGAAACAAGCAGCGATATGAGTGAAACTGATGTAATACCGTAATAGAGACAGGGCAAGTTGTACCAACAGCTACAGTATTGACGAAAATCAATTTACTGCTTTATCAATGTTATGGATATTGTGCTTTGATACGACCCATTAGCAGCTTGAAACCAAGTAAATTATGTACACGTTTGACAGCTGGATTTGCCCGTGCGACTCATTAAACAGGCAGCAGCGTATGCATCACCGAGGTATCTCGAAAGCACTTTACACATTTGTAAACGCACAGCCCGCACATGTAGCCAGCACCTTATCCAAAAGAAGAACAACTCGATCCCAACATAGATGATACCATAAAAGTTCAATTATGTACAATTATTATTTTTAGTTTTGTGCGAAATTTTTTATTGCAAGAAAATGAAGCAAAGAAAAAGTTTACTTGCGGGACTAGAGAAAGTGTAAAGTGGAGAGGTACGAGTAAGTAAAAGCCATTGGAGATAACGAAAAAAATGGATCCTTTTGTAGTTTTCTAATTCTTACCTTGATCTTCTTGAGGTAGAATTCAAGTTCCTTGCCCTCAAGAATGTAACCGTCGCAACGGCCAGACTGACCAGGACGCGAAGCAATGCGAGCTATGATGAAAGAAATATAAAATTAACCATCATATCTCCCTGTATGTATCTTTTTACCCCTTCCCCTTTCCTCCCAAAATGTACCATAAAGACGGCCAGCAGCGAACTGGTCATCCAAAAGAGGGTCGATGGCAGCGTTGGACTTGCGCTCTTCCCACTTCTTCTTGCGCTGCTCAGACTTGGCGTTGACAGCAGCGTCGAATTCGGCAGCCTTAGCCTCGGTCAACTTCTTCTTGCCCAAGGGAAGACCGTAGAAGCCTTCGTACCACTGACGGAAAGGTGTGGCATCGACCTGGATGATGGCACCCTTGACCAAGGTGTTGGTACGGACAAGTTCGTTGTTGGAAGCGTTGTAGACGACAGTCAAGGCACGGGTCTTGCGGGCTTGACCTTCCGAGGCCCACGAGAAGTTGCCGGCTTCCAAGCGCAGAGCTCGGTACTTGGTGTTACCACCACGCGTGCGGACGGTGTGGATACGCTTAGCACCAAGCTTGGTGTTGGCAGCAGGGCGGCCCAACTCGAACCTGAATTATCATAAGAAACACACGATGAGTCAAAAAAAGCATTATTGATACTGTGCTTTGATCTTGGGTTTTCGTGTTTGTCTCGTAATGCAAGTGGATTGAAATGTTGGCAATGTAATGGAGGTTGATGGTGGCGAGTATCTTACTTTCTCTTCTTGCGGTAGTGTGCACGTCTAGCACCGGTGGCACTGTAGAAAATGAAAAAATTCAAAACGATTAAATCATTAAACAATTTGTTACAATGTGAGAATCATATGCATGGCAACATATGACATTATTTTCTGCTATAATCGAAAAGGGTATGAACTTACGAATGCTTGTGCCTCGAATCACGGCTGATACCTTTTGAATTACAAATGGATCCAGATGTTAGTTTGATGGATGGATGGATGGATGGATGGATTTATCCATGTATCTATTCTTTAGATTTTTTTTGAATTTTCACTTACCCATATTGCTTTTTGAAAGAGGGGGTTCCTAGGCTTTCAGACTCGACAAGTTGACTCGTTGCTTTGCGAGCAAAAAAAGCCCAGCTAGCCCCTCAATTTTTAGTATCCGACCCGATCATAGGCTAGTAGGCGTAAACAACATAAGATATATTTTTCCCTTTTTTTTTTTTAAACCTACGAATATATAAATCATAATGGCCAAGAAAGCAAAAGCAAGAGTCATTCTCGTCAAGCTGCTTTCAACTGCAGGCACTGGCTATAACTACATTAAGAGCCGGCCGAGAATTAGTCCCAAGCTTTCAATGATGAAGTTCGATCCCGTTGGTAAGTTTTTCATTTTCTTTTTGGACATGGCGTCAGATACAGTAGGTTGTTGACAGTCTTCTTGACCGTATCTTTCTTCCATATGTCTCTAGTTAAGCAACACGTCTTATTCAACGAAACGAAAATGAAGAAATAATGTGGTATACAACACATTTTCTTTTTCGACGTGCGACAATACCGAACATACACGCTTTTAAACTCTTGTCTCTTTTGTCTCCTTTGTGAATATATATAAAAAGCATCACCCATTAACCACCACTAGTACCATTACCACAACAACACCGTCAACCAATCAACCATCAACAAGCTCCTAGCCATAGAAATTGTCCTTCTCTTTCCTGTAAAGTCTGACCCCACTCAAAAGAAATATTATTTTGTCTACTGAATGATCCTTCATGCGGTGTGTTTACGTATCTGGTGTATGAACATTTAAAAGCAATTCTCAGCAAAGCCGAACGAGAGATGTGTCGACTCCATTACCGCAAACGACAAAAGCGCTATGTTTCGATGGTGTAAAGAAGGTCATCAAGGGCACAGGGCTCTATTATCACTAGCATTTATGATTAAAAAAACGGTGACACAAAAAGTCGTTGGTCTTTTGCACTACCAAGTACTTCTTTGCTATACCTTATATATATTTTTATTTTCTGATACCACTAGACAAAGCTTTCATAATATGCGGTTATTGACTGCACATACCACGCTGTTATTGTTGCTACTATGTAGTATAGCACTCGTAGTAGTCCAGGGCAACACTGAAAAGCTCATTTTCCGCGCAAAAGAATTAGACAGTGCGAAGCTCGATTGCGTTCATGATGAGCATTATCACAATGTCCAAGTATTAAAGCCACCTTACAGTACAGTTCAACGCGTCATTGTACCTCGCAACGCTGTAGCACCGACCACAACAGAAAATACTCAGCATTGGTATTCCCTTGACGAATTGCAAATCGACTCAAGTTATGAATTACGCATCTCCTATCCGGCTACGGTAAAGCCCTTTTTTTTTTGTAAAAAAAGTAGCAAAAAGACACTTTTCCTTTTTCTCCTCAAAGGCTAAATCCATAAATCGAAATAGTCGCCTACGGATTTTTATTTAAAGTTATATCGAGCCTGTCAGGATAACAGTGGCAGCAACAGGAACAAAAGGCTCCTGTTGGTCGAAGGAGACTATGCAGGTGTGTCGAATGTACCTGGCATGGATTTGGCGTCAATTACGTATGATATTGGTAAGTTTCTCCTTATTATGATAAGTAAAGTTAGGGAAAACGATTTTTTTTAATCGAAGTTAAAAAATTCGCACAAGTAGTGTTGGAGAATCTGTACCTAGGATTCTTGTTTTACCAAGTATACAAGATTGCGGCAGCTGTAGCAGTAGTGTTATTGCTAGGTCAATTTGTGATTTTACCAAAGATACGACGCGTCATTCAAGAATCAGTTGCATCCAATGACCTGAGGAAACAGCTATAAATGCTGATATTTACCAAAAAGACAACATAATTGATCGAGAAAAAGTGCGAATTGTTATTATGAATGCACGAAAAGAAAAGAAAGCAAAGTTTTTTGTTCTATATAAAAACAAGGGTGGAAAATATAGTACATGAATGATTATAGAAAAGAAAAGAAACAAGGGCATTGAAAAAAAAACTTAGTGTGGTTATATGTGAGTTTTCGTAGGGAGGAAACATTATGGCGGTGGTGATAGTTGGGGAAAGAAACCAAAGGGAAAAAAAAGCAAAGAAAAAAAGAAAGCAAAGGAACGGAGAAGCATGTACACATAGAGAGAGAAAAGTAGAGAGGTGTATAGAAGGACTAGAGAAATCAAGCAAGAGTAGTGGAAGAGGAAGAGGTAGTAATAGTAGCAACGGTAGTGGAAGAGGAAGAAGTAGCGCTACTACTGCTACTAATTAAATCATGTTGGTCAGTTGTTTTGAGCACAGTCGTATTGTAGCTCTTGCAATGACAACACTTGTGATAAAAAAAGTGATGGGGAGCGTCAGACCGTTTTTCACAGTCATTGCAAAAGATATGAGAGACGTAATGCTTGTATTCGTTAGGCATGGATTGTTGGGCAAGCTCACGGTCCAGAAAGGCGAAATAGTCAGACATATCGGTCATGGATTTCAAACATGTGGGGCATTGATAAGAGGTTTGACTGTACGCAGTATAACATGGCTTGTGGATACAGTGACCGCAAGGCTAAGACAGTTGCGAAGTGGATTAGCCTAAATCAACCTTGTGACAATCCTCTCTCTCTTTTTTTTTTTTCTAAGCAACAACATACCATGAACGTCACTGTGGTACGACTCGTAAACATATATTCGCCGCAAATGGGACAATCACTTTCCAGACTGCGTTCAATACATTTGTGGTTGTCTTTCATCGAGATGGTCATGCACACGTTACATGTGGGACAGTGGAAAAAGTTGTCTCTGGGGCCATTGCGGCAAATGCCACATGCATCACAATGATACGTAGAATTCGATGGATTGTCGTCCCAAAGCTTGCATGTGTCGCAATAGTATTGCGCTGCCTGTTCACCGCAGTGATTGCAAGTTGGACCGGCCGGCTGCAGCGTTTTACAAAGCATGCACACCATGTTTTTTGTCTCTTGACTACTACCACCTTGCGTAAGCTTTCTTTTGTGTTTTTATATAGATTCAGTTGAAGTGAGGCAAAGTGAATGTTTGCCTTACCGCATGATTGGATGGTCACTCGCTTCGTCATGACATATCCGACATGGAAAGATCTTGCCACAGCAATTGGCTTGGATCTTGACCTTGCGTTGGTAATGTGGACATCCAAGTATGTCTCTATGTTCATCCTTTTGTTTGAATAAGAGTAGGCAGCCGAGTTAGTATTACAGGGCATGGCTAAGTAGCGTATCCCCCGCGACTTTCAACTGTACCTGATATGTTTTAGCATAGACATCTTCTGGTTCTATTAGTTTGGTTTCGATCGATGATGTGGCTGTAGGCGTTGTCGGTTGGCACATGAGATGCTAGATGTCCAGTAAGTAAACAGAAAGAGAGCCAGTTAGTGGAAAAGATATGGCTTGTTTACGTTGTATGTAATGTACCTGGATTTGCTTCGCCTTTTCTTTACTATCAAGGTTTACATCTTGATAGATCTCACGAATGCGCTTCCGTAGCTCGCCTTCAGATGCCTTGCGTTGACGCTTGTTGCTATTGGTGGTGGTGCTATATAAGGCTGATGGGGGTCGATGGAATGCAGCGAGTCTAGTATCATTGCCGCCAGTGACAACACGTTGTTGACGATATATCCGCGGAGGGCGGTGGTATTCTGTATTTGTAAGCGGATCAGTCATCATGGCTGAGGTATATGTATAGAGATACTGTGATATAGGTCTACGTGTTCGAAAGAGAGAGAGAGAGAGAGAGGGTAGGATGGTTAAAAAAGAAAGAAAAAGCGTAAAGAGGAGAAGGGCTTTTTATTTAAAGAAAGCGGAACGAAAGATTTATTTCAAAAGAACGAGGGCGACAAATAACGACATGGGGCGAAGAAGAGGAATTGAGGCTGTGTCGGTTAGCAGAGAAATGCTTGGTACGTCAATTGGGATGATGATAATAATGAACGGAAAAAGATAGCACCAGCATTCATAAACAACAAGAGAAGATTATTATAAAAGGAAGGAAAAAGAGACACCAACACGTTTGAAGCCCTTAATAAGTTTTAAGAGGCGCCGCGCGCACGATCTGCAGGAGTTCCACACTACCGGATTCTCCAAGAGCGAGCGCGCGAGTGCCGTCAAGTTCTTCAGTCTGTCCGTTAGGTCCAAGTCCCATCGCGCGAAATCACGGCCGAGCATTTAATGCTTGGTGTAACAATGACATCCGATCCAGTAGCGGGGAGAGACGTTCTTTTGGGGGGGGGGGGGGAGGGGAGGGTGGGTAGACATTCCTCAAACCATGGTGAATCATCGGTTTTCGGACGTATCCAAGCTTGTAGAACGATCCACGATGGCGATGCTGATGGTTGATGATGAGGTTTTGAAGTAGTGAAGAAGAGTTGTCATATTAACAGATGGTAAAGCGCGCGCGAGAGAGAGGTTGCTGTAGTAACGTTTCTTTATCTGGGGGGGATATCTGTCTGGCTTAGAGAAATTGATGACTATTAGATTTATGTTGGGGGTTGCCGGCGGGGGGTGGGGGGTGGGAAGGGGGGCAACAAGGATGGAGGAGAAGAAGGGAAACATGGAAAGCGGTTGCCACGGTGAGCAACCCGAATCAAACGGACTCTGTGCCACGCCTACCTTCAATCGCGCGAAAGTCTATTTACGGTTTGACCAAGTGTGTGTGTAACGATCGCTCGTGCAATAAGACACGACCCCCCGAACCTCCTCATTCTCCATCGATGATTCCCAAATGGTGGTGGGTGGTCAGTAGTCCTCACAGAAACTTTACATATCAAAGCGTTGTGTGGTGCATCCGGTCGGAAAGGGAAGAAGGGAAACGGAGCTAAAGGGGGGGGATTCGAGCGAATGGTAAGCAAATCTTTGGGAGCGATTGCCATACAAGGGCTTTAAGCCATGCATGGCATTATTGATTGCATGTGAGCTGTTGGTCTCTGCCAATGGTTATTCCTCCCCCCCCGACCCACTATCAGCATCAGGGTTTTCTGGCTCTGACATTAATCAGCCTTCGCGCGCGAAAGAGCCGAGAGATAATTGGTTATGCTGCAGCCCAAAGGCCATACTTTCTTGGGGGGAGGGGAGGGCGAGACACGTAGGTTGCACATCTTGTCAGGATCAGGCCATTCTTGCAGCAACAGGCAGAAAAAGTTTTTAATGCGGATCTTTTTGGGTAAGAAAGAAAGAAAGAAAGAAAGATACAATGACGGGGATTATACTTGGATTGTAAACTTCTATAGTGTAGAGGTCGTATATACAATAATAAAAAAAAACAGAATAACAAAGATATAGAAGATAGAGGAACGATGATTTGACGTGAGGGGGGAAGGGTAATAACGAACGATGGTAGGTAGTAGTAATTAGAATAGTGTGTGTGTGTGTATTACAAGTCAGAGAGATAGCAACAGATAGAGATTATTATTGTGAATGGGACCTTGTCCTTGACTGCTTCTTCTTAGTGTGCTTTGAACTTGAGCATCAGAAGGTCTCCCACCTCGCTGATCAGCTTCAAGGCATGGTCTACATGTATATATATATATATATATATATATATATGTATAACGTGTCAACTAAGCTCTCTCTTTCGCCCACACATATAAAATATACAAAAACCTTACCCAGATCTTCTCTTGTATGTGCTGCAGAGACGCAGAAGCGAGCTCGTGAGCTGATGATAGGGGTTGCGGGGTAGCCGACAACACAAATAGCGACACCCCGCTTGAGCATCTCGCGCGAAAACGCTGAAATTTTGGCTGGATTGAACAAGAGCAAGGGGACAACGGGGCTGCCTTCGTCACCATAGACAATGAAACCCAATTCTCTCAGTCTGGCTGCAAAGTAATGTGCGTTGTCCGCAAGCTGTCGGATACGCAAGCGGCCATCTTCGGTGCCATCTTCGCCTCTAATAGATTCGCGCGAAAACATAGAGTAAACATTCATGTAAGGTATGCCGATCATTCTCTTTTTCCGTTATATACCTCATAATACCCAGACTTGCAAGCACCTGTTGCGTCACAGGCGGTGTCATCGTCTCTGCATAGCAGAACGAATGATTCTTTAACCGTAAATGGTCAATTACAGCCTTGTACAAAAAGTCATGCTTGATAGTTAGCTTGGACTTATTCACTACCCTATCCGATCTTTTATAGACGTAGCACACGCAATAGCTACGTCATTGCCAATGTGCATTACCTTGTCACCGGCAATGTAACCACCAGCCGCACCAAAAGATTTTGTAAATGTTCCCATGAGAATATCGACATGCTTTGGATTGATGCCTATTTTTGAAGAGAGGGTGTCCTTTTTTTTTCAGTAATGCCACACCATGACATAATTTATATGTAAACAAAGGGTGCCTTGAAACAATAACAATACCATAAAAATCGCAAACGCCGCCACCGTGTTCACCCAATGCACCGATGGAATGGGCTTCATCCACATACAGGTAAAACTATCATTGTATCCGATAACAAAAATAACGTTTCGTTTAACCGACCGTACTCTGTAGCAACCGTACTAATCTGCTAATAAAAAAAGTACCTTAAAGTCGCGCTTCAACTTGATCAGTTCTGGCAAGTTGACCACCGAGCCTTCCATCGAGTACAAGCCCTCAACAATCACCATGATCTTTTTCCATGGACGGTGTGTGCGAGGCTGACCCTGAGAAATAACCTCACGCAAAAGATTTCGCAGATCGCCCATGTTGTTGTGCTTGAACACACGAATCGAAGCTCCGGAAAGACGTGCGCCAAAGATGATTGAGCTATGATTTAATTCATCACTAATAATCAAACAGCCCTATATGATAACATCAGTTTTAGCAAAGTTCTAATTTACATATGTATTTGAAATGAGATTTTTTTTTTGGTCGTGTGTACCTTGCTGACAAGGGCTGGGATGGTGGTTGAATTGGTAGCAAAACCCATGGACACAATGACAGCATCCTCCTTGCCCACGAACCTAGCAACCTTTCGTTCTGCTTCTCTATGAATGTCCATATTGCCGCATTCTGCACGGGTGCTGCCGCCACTGACACCATACTCGAGCACCGTTTGCTCCACTGCATCGGCACACGGTCCTTGGGCCTGAGCGAAACCCAGATAATTGTACGACGCAAAGTTGATGGCATCGATCTTTTTCCCTGTCAATCTATGTACAATTCCGACGGGTTAAATACAATGGTCGGCATCAATCCTCCTCTTTATTTACTTACCTAAATGTCTTGTTGAAATCATCCGTCTGTCGTTCCAGTACAGTAGTAATTCGCGTTGGCACACCAGTAATGGGCCGATTCCAGCAATCACTAAAATAATGGAGGCATGAATTTACTTATTTTCTTATGTCCATCCGTCCGTTCCGTCCTTCTAGATCACTGTTGCAAAGTATAATTACCGGATACGCATGTACATCCGTCTGGTATAAAACGAATCGAAATCAGACACAAGCGGCGCATATCCCTTTATTATATATGAGATATGCCATTATTGTAATGAGTACTTTTTTTTATGTCTAACAGATCTGCATATTCCCAAACATACAACAGAATAAGGGTTCTTTTTACCTGGTTTGTGCGTAAATGTGCATATTCACTTCGCTTAAAAACTTTACCAAGAATATCACGCAAATGACCCAACAGAATCAGGACAAAGTAATTAAGATAGGTCGAGACGAGAATATACATTGGCGCTGCTTCCATTTTCTGTTGAAAGTCTTCGTATTTCCGATGAGCAGCTGCGACCGAGTTACGTCGTTGAGCGGGCGTGACATGCTTTGCACGGAACCAGACCTCATTGTCGACGGTCAGTGTGTTTTCGGCTGGTTTCAGAGATGCTGGCACAAGCGAAGGATGAATCATCTTTGGTGGGTAGGCCGATGACACTGAGTAAGCTCGACGAGTTTTGCCAACGAGTGATGACAGAGAAAACGTGCGTGCTCGAGTGGGTGCCCGTTGTTGTTGCTGTTGCTGTTGTTGCTGTTGTTGATGACCCTGCGCTGTAAGGTTTGGATCGGCAGAAGCACCATCACGAGTCGATGTGGGTGGCGGTTGAATCTCGATACCAGGCACCTGTAACGAATTGGTGGTGGTCGATGACATTGTGGGCGGGCTCGTTGTTGCAGAAGGGAGGAGGGGGATGAGGAGGAGTGGGAGGGTAAGAAAAAGAGAGAGAGAGAGAGCGGGCGGATTGGCAAATTAGAAACGCAGAAAAGAGAAAAAATATCATCGGCCCGGTGTGCGGAAGTGGAAAAAAAAGTTTTTTCTTGCTTTCTGTGGAGCGCTGACTGTATGTCGTACGCGCTGTTATATCCCTTTTCTTTTTTTGCAAGAAAAGATGGTTAACCGTTTAATATATGTGTATATTTTTTTAATTACTTTCATTATTATGATTAACAATATTATGACTTATACAAGCGCGTCGCCAATCGCATATCCGCTAAAGCCCGATCCAAAGACTATCGTTAAAAAAAACCCATACGACAGAGGGGGGAAATGAGCGAAAGGTTATAGTTCATAGAAGGAGAGAAATGGTGTAGTGCTAAGGTCAAAAAGGGAGGTATACATAAAAGAGGTGCAAGAAGCGGGGAGGATCCGTTCAAGGGATGGAGGAATACTGTTTTTTTTTTCAAAAAGTAATACGTTGGGGGGCATAAACAATAGTTATAGGGTGATAGTAGATGATGGGGAAGGGGAACGGGTAATAGTCGTTGATGATAGCATTTCGGTAGTCATGTGCCAGCCAGGTCAGGAAATCATTGTGGACGGTCTTTGGTAGCACCGGATCAGTGCCACGGAGAAATCATAGGAGACGCTGAAAAATCCCGTAGACTTCTGTCGGTAAAACATTTATCCGAGCGAAAAAAACATGATATTTTACTTAGATTTCGAAAAACAGTAAAACAGAGGTATAATGTCAGTTATTTATAAGTAAGAGATGTATAGAATACATGATGAGAATCATTCTATTGCTAAATATCAATCTACATGTGATAAAAATGGGATCCTAGTCTATAATACATTGCTCGGGGAGTTTGAATGCTTATTATTGCTCTTAAAAAAAAGAGGCTTGTATTTGTTTCTCGTTCCTTCTCTTTCCCTCTCCTTCATTAAAATGAACAACAGTAACTCCACCATCGCTGCTACGCCCAACATTACAGTAATCAACGATAGTACTCACTCCGACTCGGTTACGACCGTACGCGAGGCTCGTAATGCTGGCAGGTTTAGCGAAATCGGACAGTACAAGTGTACTGATTGCCGCAAGACACGTGAAGGCACGCATTTTCTCGGACGTACCAAGCCTTACTTGACTTGCATTGCGTGTCGTGAAAATGCGACTCCTCGTGAGCGCGTTGCACTCGACCGAATGGTGTTTCTGGACGATTTGCCGGATCACTATCCGATTTTTTCAGAATACGAGAACGACCATGAAGAAGTTGTATGTTGGAAGTAACCACTTACATAACTGCTTCCGTACATGATTATTTATTTGTTTTATTGTAGGTTTACGAGTTTACCGGCTACATCTGTATCGATCCGGAATTGGAATTGAAGGACGAAGACGGCATCATCGATAGCATCATCGAAAGAATTGAACAGTTGGATGGTTACCACTATATTGGAAAAAATGTTGGTGATCCTTCTCTCTCTCGCGACATCTCGTTCACGGCTTACTGCTCTCGATCCGAGACTTTTTTGAATCCTCTTCCTGCAGCAGAACGCCAGCGTTTGACCAAGCGAATGCCCACATTTTGTTGTGGTGGCCGTATTAGAGGCACCGTTAAGAAAGCCCTCGGTTATGTGGAGCTGTCAATTACCCACTCAGAACACGAACGTGTCGGTACTGATCCGTCACCACGTAACCCTGTGCCTGCCAACGTCCGAAGCCATATTCAAAGCAGAGCGCTTCTTACGAATTCCTCTGATCTGTACCAAGAAGTTGTTGTCCTTTTTCCTGGTTCGGATGTTACGCCAATGCAAGTCTACTATTGGTGGCATGAGACTTTTAAGAGCGAGTACCACCTCAACGACGATCAAATGATATCCTCAAGGCTCGTCGTCGAAAAATACCGCAATCAAGGATTTCGCGAGGTACGTATTATATTAGAATGCTAACATATGAACCTAGCCTTTGCTTTGTGAGCTGTTCTGCTCTATGAGCGAGAAAAAAAGGTAATATTAGGTAGCATGTAGTATCTAGTATCTTATACAACGATAATAAATCCTAGGTGTTTTGGAAGAATACTTTTGAAGTCTGTGCATTTGGTTTCGTAACTCCGTTTTTCTCTTTGTTGGTTGGGTGCGAGTATGTGGAGGAGTACTGCATCGACTCGACTTACAAAACAAATCGTGCTGGCTCCGAGTTGTTTGGGATAATCGCCAATGTGAATGGTGTTGGGTATCCCATCGCGTACTTGGTCTACCATGGCTTCCGTGAGGCTGGACCTTTGACCAAGACCGAAACTCTTACAGAGTTTTTCGGTCAACTAAAGGAAGACGGATTTGATCCTTCGTTCATGTTCTCGGATAAAGATGCGGCACAGATGAATGCTATCGAGGGCGTATGGGGACAATCACGACTGCGCCTTTGCCTCTGGCATATGCAACGGTCAGTGGATAAAAAACTGGCCGAGGACAAAAGCAGAACCCTACCTGCATACAATGTCCATCAAGCACGAGAAGATTTTCCCTTCGTCGATATGCATTTTACACCATCTATCGGCGGTCGTACTGGGATCATTTGTCGAAAAGAGGATCGTCAGCATATTGTTTCGCTCATGACAAAACATTATCACCAACATCCTTTGATCCCAGATGGTAACGTCTTCGCGTTTGTCTCACATCTTTGACCGAGTTACTCTATATATATAATATGACTTCATAAATCATGTGTAAGTTAATCGTAGCGATTTTTCTGTATAGGTACTGTACAACGCACAGCCGAACAAATCCATCAGCTTGCTACCTTAGAAGTCTACATGTTTTGCATCACAAAGAATTACATAGATGCCTGGATATATCTATACCGCAATTGGTATCAGCCGTCTACTTGGAGAAAATGGGCGCGCAGCAGTATTCCAGACCGTATCCCAGCAGGAAAAACAACAATGTTGATTGAAGCGCATTGGAAGGTTTTGAAACGTAATCATTTGCACCAATTCAACCGAGCACGACTAGACTTGCTCGTATACGTGATTGTTGCGCGACATTTCTCTAATCTTCGTCACAAGTTCAACCGTGATACTGTTCGTTCTCGCTCTGCGACCCGTTGGCATCAGATGTTTACCCGTGCATGGAAAAAGCTGTATGGCCGAACAGAAAATTTAGCAACCGATACTATCTACCAGCCATCGGTCAATAATTGGATCTGTGGCTGCAGCAGTTATCTATCAAGTCGGTACATGATTTGCAAGCATCTTGTCTTCCGTTCTGGTTTTGGGCAGATTGCCCCCAACACATTCTTTATTCAACGGCAAAGCACAATCCCCTTTGTTCGCATACGACCGGTAGGCTAACAATAAGTTATCTCTATTCTGCCTATCAATTACAGCACCGATATTATTAACTTCTTTTATTAATATGCATCTACTACTATCCTTTCATCACTACTTTGCTTATCCGCATACCAGCTCCATGAAAATGTTTTCAAAGATATGGCGCTGGACGAGCATCTTGCCGATCATCATCGTTCACGAGGTGCTGCCGCCATTGTCACTACTACAACACCGACTACTACACGTACTACCACTACCAACGCTACTACTACTGCTAATGCTACTACTACTGCTAATGCTACTACAGCTACTGTTACCACTACCGCTCCGCCGCAAACGGACAGTGAAGAAGAAGACGAACCACTTGTTTTGAATCGTCGATCTCGCGTACAAACACAACAACAATCAAATATCATTGATTTGACCGAGACAATCTTCGATGATCAAGAGCATCAGCGCCTGCGTTGGGAGCGCCAAATGCAGCGTCTCCGCGCCCGTCAACGAGAGTTGATAGCGCAATTACAAGAAACAACGGAAAGTTTTGAATCTGCTTCGGCACACTATGAGCGTGTTGTGTCCGTCGAGCAGTATCAGGACTTCCAACAGTCACTGGATGACGATGCAGTCGATGCCTATCTCGAAGCAAACATCACTTTCCGAAGAAGACGCAACTTGCCAAGAACGTGGCGCGATTACAATCGCCATACACGCCATATATAAACACAAACAATTCACACTTACACATATACACCTCCCATAAACACATGCATATTGCTTTAACTATTATTATCTTTCTCTATACATATCTCTTTTTCTGATCTTTCATGACATCGAATGGTTATAGGTAGGTAACGATGTGACGTTTTTTTACCGGGTATATATTTACCCGGTTCAGGTCTACGGGATTTTTCAGCGGCCCCAAGAGCTTATTGCCACGGTCATCGTCGTGGCACAGGCGATCGATATCAGCTAGCAGTGTTGTCAGACGCGGCCAGAGCCATTGCCAGTGACGTCGCTTGTTTGCTTGATAGGGTCTCTTGGTGGGAAGAGTGTCGAGTACGTATGAAATCGGATCTGGCACACCATAAGGGATATTGGATCGTTGGTGAGCTTGAAGACATGCAATAACATGGTGGCGGGATAAGTGCTGACTGTTGCTGCAGTTGCGGCAATGTGCATCTGGTCGGCCATTAGGCATCCACCCGAGGCGCCAACGAAGAAGACGACTGCGTTCATGGTATGGCGTCCGTCTGTCCGACTAGCCCTAGCCGTTTCAAAAAAATCACGGAAACGGATTTCGGAAAATAACTTCTCCGAGCGGTTAATCATGTAACCGAACCAAAATCCATTTTTCAGTGGGTTTTTTCACTTCTTCCTCAAAGTGGAACCGCAAAATCAGCAACAAATCCAATCCCAAGAAACACCCGAGCAACTTCAACCGAAAAGATATAGTAATTGCAAATCGTATCGCCCTTTGCTATTTTTTGTTGGCAATAGACAAGATTACAACACGTGTAGAAAATGCCATCAAAGCCATAGTGACGTCGGTAAACCAATCGCAGAGCAGTTACTCCTGACAGTGGACGAAGTACTCGAGCTGATTCCTTCGCGTCAAAATTTGAGGAACGTAGCCGACAATCTCGAAGATTACAGCCTCGACGCGTATGTGCAACTTGACGACGATATGTTGGCGTTGTCAGATTCGCGACTTGTGATCAACATCCGCGATCGTATCCAGGCTGTTGACGGATACCATTACTACGAAGCATACCGAACAGAACCACGAAGAAAGTTCGGCTATTCTTTCCTTTTTCGAAGCTCGCAAGATTTCCATGTGCAGGATCAAGCTGCCATTCGTTTACGATTGTATCGGCGTATGCCAACTTTCTTGTGCAATGGCCGCATCAGCGGCATGGTCGATAGAGTGAATGCTTACTTCCACTTGAACTTCGAACACTCCTGTGGGCATGAGGCTGCACCTGCCGTCGAAAATAACGCCGTCCCGCAAAATGTACGTGCATACAACGCTGCAAATGCCATTGACTTGGATGCACAACAGCTGCATCGTAACATTATCCGTCAGTTTCGACGAGAAGCGACAAGAATAACGCAGGGGCAAGTGTATTACTGGGAGTGCCAGTCGATTTAAGACCAATAACACTACACGACACCAGTTCAGATCGGCAGAGTTGCTCGTCGGCAGAGGTCGCTGACAAGGGTGTCCGTAAAATATGTCAAAATGTCCTAAATAATTAGCTACTACTAAATATAAATACATGTGAGGATCGTGTATATGTTCACTTCGATGCGTTGAGAAATAGACAAGAACCATCAATATAGAACCAATAAAATTCAATAACCATTAAACAGATTTTCACCTCAGCACAAAACAGTAAGTATTTAAAAATGAGTGGTTATATCAGTAGTTGCACATGTCATGTTACGAAATTAGACAGATACAGAGAAGATATCAGCATGGACACTGCAAGAGAATGAATTTTGATATAAAGAGATGGAAAGTTGCAAGCTTTCCATGCAGGATAAATTAAATATAACAACTAATGATGCTAACCGTCCAGGGATGGAAGGCTCCATAAAAAAACATTTGATACATAGTGTAGAGAAGTTGAGATAATATAACAGAAAAGGCTACAGTACATAGCGTGCTACTTTATAAAGTGTGCGCGCGGGCATGGTAGTAGATATTTATCAATAGAGCTTGATTAGCATTGTATTCTGGAAATTGGATTTTGGTTCGGTTACATGATTAACCGCTCGGAGAAGTTATTTTCCGAAATCCGTTTCCGTGATTTTTTTAAAACGGCTAGGTAGGCGTAGCAGCATCCTTCTTCTATAGTTGCATCCTTTTCTATAGTTGCATCCTTTATATATAGCAGCATATCCTTTTTCTATAGCAGCATCCTTTTTCTATAGCAGCATCCTTTTTCTATAGCAGCATCCTTTTTCTAGAGCAGCATCCTTTTTAAATAGCAGCATTCTTTTTACATAGCAGCATCCTTTTTATATAGCAGCATCCTTTTTTTATAGCAGCATCCTCTTTTTATAGCAGCATCCTTTTTTTATAGCAGCATCCTTTTTCATTAATAGCATCTTTTTTCTATAACAGCATCCTTTTTATATAATAGCAGCATGTAGTGATTTGTTTTATGAAACAGAAAACTTCATCATGATCTTTAGAGATATTGCTATGCACTTGATCCAGGATATCTTTGCCTTCTCTTATCAGCTTGCCCATGTCGTTGATGATCTTTTCGTCTTCATCATCCTTAGCCACTTCAATTGTAATCATATCGTGTTCTTCGTTAGTAACATCTACTAGTAGCCGGCAATCGACCTTGAATCCAATAATATTTTTTTGGTCCAGATACAGCTCTTCTTTGTTTAAAGTGCTAGTCAATAGATTGATTCACCTCTATATAAGCCAGCCAATATTGATTTATCATACACAATAACCATAATGTCATCACAGATAGCTCCTCATAACTTTCGCAATGAACATGAAAACAAGAAAATATTGAATGTCACTTACGCTTTCATTCGAATGTTTGAATTTCTAAAGATAAGATTAAAGATCCTTGGATTCTGCCAATAGTCTTGTTCTGTATACATAGATTGGTTTGTGGCCTTTTTCCAACAAATGCTGGTAGTTTTCAATGACTTCAATACTAAGATAAAATAAATTAGGATATATTATACCAACTGACCAGCCAATGAGCCCACTAGTATATTTCTTGCAACTTATACATGCTCCATGATTCTATAAAAGTTTTTCTCGTCAGTGGTTGAGGTTTTTGATAGGAGCTTGTAAACCATATTTGACTCTGCATCTAAAGATGCATGTGAAACTTATTCAAGTATTCATTGGCATTAATCCTTTACAGATGATTTGTAAAAGTATTAGATTGTAAAAGCTGATGATTTTACTACTGTCAATATAGTTCATGCTTGATTTATCTTACTAGGCAGGGCATTAAGCAGTATTGGGCACTTTTTGTTATAATAAGTTTTTAAGCCTTCCTGATTGGCATTAAGAAATAGTGACTTTTGTGATGAACTTAAATTATCCAAAATATCGAGGATAAATAAAAGCCTAGCATTAGGGGTTTAAGCATTAATCTAGTGACTACTACATAAATTTAATAAAATTTTTATAATTTTGAAGTTTTAATATACTAAGAAAAATAATGTTTTTATTAAAACTTTTTTTATCTTTTTCTTCTCACAACTAGGGGTCGCAATTGGACGGGTCAAAACTCGCGTTAACAGGTCAAGACTGATTTCAATGTAGTGATGAAGGAAGTGTCGATCAGCCTGAACTTGAGCACTGGAAGTGCAAAACTCCATATATATATATAGCTCTCTAAGATGATGGCACGCAAATTCCTAGCAGTAGGGATCCGTATCAGAACCGTAGAACCGGAACCGAACCGAACCGAAACCGAGAAAATACGGTTCGGTTCCTGTCAAGAACCGAACCGGAACCGAACCGGTTCTGTATAACTAGAACCGAAGAACCGAGAGGCAGAAGATTGCAATCAGCGATTTTGGTAATTAGTATAAAGTAGGCTATAATGGAAGTTACGAACAATGTTATTCCGAAAAGACCACGAAGTAGTGTATTTGCAAGCCATACTTTATTGAAAAACTTAACAAAACCTGCAAAAGCAGAAGGGAGTAAAAAATAGTAAAGAAGATAAGAGAAAAAAATAAAAAAAACACTTCTTCTGACGGCAGCTTGCTTTCTCCGCCCATGACGCACATCATTACTTGTTCCTCTACTTTGCTACCCACAATGCATTTTTCTCCATGACGTACTACTTAACTAGATTTATCATGGCTTCTCGATCAGTTTTATCAAGTTTGTGCATTCCGTTTGAGATTGCGCATTCTGGGGCTCATAACAGAATTATCTTACCCATTCACCCTTTGCCTTTTATGAGACACTATACACTATACACACGTAGAGACACAGCAGCTGTATGTACTGCCGGTTGTGGTTCAATTCCTCCAATGTTACGATAACATATTGTACTAGTAATACTAAGTCGCTCTAAGTAAGTACTATAAGCTCCACTTTTTTTTGTAAAAACTGTGCTTCAATCTTTTAACCATGCAATGACCCACATCGTATGAGAATGTTTACATTCTGTTTCTCTTATTCATTTTGAGATCGCTGTTCAATGTACAATAATAAAGTATTCTTTTTTACTGCAGTATTCAAGTATACCGCGACATTTGAACACACACATCAGCTTTCATTTAAAGATACCGAATCTTGCCTTTTTTATATACATGATGGGTTCGGTTCTTCGGTTCGATTCTTCGGTTCTACGGTTCTCGTCGGTTCTAGTCGGTTCGGTTCTTGCTTTAGACGGTTCGGTTCGGTTCCCTTTAAGAACCGAACCGAACCGAACCGTGCGGATCCCTAGTGATGGCACAAAACCCTTTACCTTTAAGAATAATCACTCAAAACGTGGATGTTGCTAGCACTTCTAGGAATTTGCGTGCCATCATCTTGGGGAGCTGTGTATATATAGAGTTTTGTACTTCCAGTGCTCAAGTTCAGGTTGATGGACACTTCGTTCGTCACCAAATCGAAATCAGTATTGACCTATAAACCCGAGTTTTGACCCGTTGGGTTGGATGGGTTGGGTTGGGTCAACAGATCAGACCATTGACTGTCCCGTCCAATTGCAACCCCTAGTACATAGACACATTTATATCGAAGTTTAGCTACAACTAGAGAACTATAATTGTTTACTTACTGCTTTCGTAAAGATAATCTCCTGTAGTCATATTATCGCACTATTTTTATAGAGACGATTGCCCACACTTTTATATCACTGTTTATATACTTTTTATCTAATGAAATGTATGCACAAGTATAAAGATCATAAAGTATTAATTCATAATAATAAATTATGTGGTAAACTACAAATTTATTTATTATTCATTATACTGTCAAGCGTTCAAATAAAAATCTAACTTCGTTGATTTTTAAATGAACTAGGCGTCGTTGTACCTCCTAGCCTGTTTTAAATTAACTATAAAAGGATATAACATTTTAAATGGTTTAATAAGGCTTATATAAAACCTAAACCTTTTAAGGAATTAAAAAAATAAAAATGAAATATCTTAAAAGTTTCAAAAATAAATAAGTTATTATTTTTTCATATATATCTTTAAACAATGATATTTCTTTAATTAATAAAACCTTTTAAGGATTTACGATTAAGGATTAATTCCCTTAATAGCTCATTCCATTCGCCACCATATATAAAGTTACCCTTTTAGGGTTAAAAGCTTCCTTTGGGAGTTAACTTTATATAGTATTCAAATTCAGGAGGCTCCTGATGAACAAAGGTGTGTGGTGTTGTTGGTGCACCAACATGATGGAAAGGTAAACCTTTCTCATTAACGACCACCACCAGAGTATTAATTCATAATAATAAATTATGTAGTAAACCACTAATCTATTTATTATTCATTATAGTGTCAAGCGTTCAAATAAAAATCTAACTCCGTTGATTTTTAAATGAACTGGGCGTCGTCATACCTCCTAGCCTGTTTTAAATTAACTATAAAAGGATATAACATTTTAAATGGTTTAATAAGGTTTATATAAAACCTAAACCTTTTAAGGAATTAAAAAAATAAAAATGAAATATCTTAAAAGTTTCAAAAATAAAAAAATTATAATATAATTTTTTATTTTTTCATATAAATCTTTAAACAATAATATTTCTTTAATTAATAAAACCTTTTAAGGACTTACAATTAAGGATTAATCCCCATACATATAAATTCTTAAAATAGATACGTAGTGTTTGACAATATATAGCACTGAACTTCAATGTATAGACTCATCTAAATATAAATATAATGTGAGCTGAAACAAGGAATATGATCAGTGTTTAAAAATAGTACCAAATGCGTTTTGATGATGTAAGTGATCTCCAAAAATATGGCACACAAGTTTCTAAACTTTAGCTCGCCCAGTGAGAAGTATAAGCTTTTTAAGGGTGGCACTCAATTAGGACAGGTGTTGGAAGATTACAGCATTACGTGAAAAAGTTTAAACACGATGGCCTCCACTTCAAAACGCAAAAGTCATTGTTTACCGTCAAAAGAGGGCAAAAGAAGCTGAGGTGAAATACAAGCAACTTGTATTGCTAGACTCGCACAAAGAAAAAATCGAAGTCTTGAGTAATGAAATGTCGTGGGCGCCAGTTATATGTAAAGAAAATAAAGTGAAAGGGCGAGATTGAAGGGGGTAGAAGCCGAAGGAGCCAGTAAAGCAAAGGGAAATCTTACGGATACAAAGAATGTAATTGATCAGCACAATCGAAAAACAGCAGCGATAAAAGAATAATTAGATGCACACTGAGCCACTCTGGACGCTAACGCTTAAGAAAAGCGGGCACCTGAAAAACAGAAACTAGAAGCACAAACCGAGCTGGACAACATCAAGGGTGATATACACAGATCAATTTCCAAGTACAGCAGGCCAACAGAGTTAGTAAGAGTTATGAAAAGGATACACAAAAGAACACCGAACTTGAAGCAAGCTCACAATCAATGCATGATACACTGCAGCTGACTCTTTGAGCTGAAACATTTAAAGGCTGAAAAAGAAGAGAAAGTCAAAGAATGCAAAAACCAGCTCGAAAATAGGAGAACTAGAGGCGTAACGCATATGCTATACCTGTATTCAATGGCTGAAAATTTGATCTCGCCAAGGATCTCACTAGTCGCTCTCGTGTAGCTGACTACAAAATTTATATCCCAAAATTCAAGGAAGCCTATAGCAACGCACTTAGCAAATACTGGCTTCCAGTTACACAGTGATGAACAAAGAAAAAGGCAGGGGATATCCTGTCAATGATGCACACAAATGACAGAATGGATGACACGATCGACATATTCAAGAAACGAAGCTATGTAAGCAGCAAAAGTCTCATCAAGAGGCAGCTGTGTTGCTCCATTGTGCTGGCTGTTCTGATTCCAACACAAGAGTATGTTACTAGTCAAGTCTCACTGTAGGAAAATTCTTGTGGTTCTTGTGAATTTCTTGTGAATTTAGACCCCTGCTGGCCTCATTATTGTCATTCTTGTGGATTTCTTTTGTAAATTTGTGACACTGCTCTGGGTCGCCAAATTTTTTTGTGGTTTTTGTAGATTCTTATAGATTTCTTTTGAATTTGGACCCCGCCAGCCTCATTCTTATGGATTTCTTATAAATTCGTGACGTCTGTCACTGCCTGCTCTGGGTCACCAATTTATTTTTGGTGGTTCTTGTGGATTCTTGTGGATTCTTATGATTAAACAGTACTCTCTTGTTATAACCACCTGGTTTGCCAGGGTGACAAATACTTTTAATTTCTGCTAAAGTTT